GAAAGGAATCACGAGCATGAGCATGCTCCAGGATATCACGAGAAGCAGACTTACCACATGGCTATGAAATGCGAAAGAAAAATGACAGCAAAGTGCTAGATGTCGATGCTCAAGTCCAAAGAGACGCGGACAGAAAGTGATCGCCAACTCCCGTGATTCCCTCCACTTTCCTCCCCGCCACCCATCTCATCAAGTTTTGCCTTTCACCCCCTTTTAAACCCCTGGATATCCCTCGGAATTCCTGGAAATATTGACGGTCAAGCTTCATCTTCTGTTCCTGGGCCTTTTGCGCCGCTTACGTCGTCTCCTTGCTCCATACCCCGAGCCCCACGACATCCCTGTAGCCTCAGTTCCGTGCCCACGAACATTTACTCTACTGCCTCCGCGCCACTATTTGACACCCAACATCTACAAGTCTATGATCCATTCTTTCAGCTGGTCTCGGCGACGGATCCGTGATAATGGCCATGGCCGGCACAGGGAAACAGCCGGACAACAATGATGACGCTGCTCCTCCCACTGTATGCATACGTAACTGTTTTGTTGCACACAATAAACTAACATGAAATACAGCCACAGAGACCGGTGTCCTCCTTGCTGTCTCATTTCGAGAATCTTTCTCACCGCAGAGCTCCGTCTGCTGTAGCTGCCAGCCCGCGCACTTCCACAAACCTTTTACTGGCAACTCCGGAGTCTGGCGATGACCCCCGATCCTCCACCCGTGCTTCGCTCGATTTGCCCCGAGACCATTCCCCATGGACCCCTGCTGAAGATAAACCCACCCCGCTTCAGCAGTCGAATGGCGAGAGACTCCGGGATCGTGGGTTCTCCGGCAGACGATATGGCCGGCCCATGTCTATGAACTTCCACCGTTCATCGCCACAGCTACCGCCGACCTTGACAGTACATTCGCCTAAATCGCCGCCACGCGTACAAGATCGCGATGAAGTCTGGACACCGCATGGTGACAGCCGAAAGACTCGGAGTCCAGGCCATCGCCCGCGAGAATCGATGTCCGTCTCGCCGGCACCACCTCGCCCGATCTCCCCGATACCGAAGTTCGGTCCGTCCGTTAATGCAGGGGATACAATGCCTAGGGTGTCGCCTGGGTCTCTCCGCGCCAACCTCACTGGGAGCCCGGCAGACCGGAAATTAAAAAGTGCCTCGTTACCGCCCCCAGCCAACCGCGCATCAAAGCCCAAAATCCCGGCGAAACCAGCCATGCTTTCTTACCCAGAGACCAGCTCGTTGGCTCCTCGACCAGGACGAGCATCACCCGATCGAAGTGTTTCACCTTTTAGCACCCCTCCTGGTAGCCCAGAGAAGCATGTGGCTGAGCCGAAATCGTCTGGGAAGAGCAGTGCTAGGCCAGCACCAACTTTAGCTCGACCAAGGACGGAGCCACCGATTCGACGCTCATTCGATGAGCGATTACCTGCTGCGTCTCCGAGCGCCAGACATGACGCTAGAGAGTTGGGATTCTCAAGGATTCCTCCTGGTCCAGAGCCCTCACGTAACTCCAAGCCCTTGATGGTGCAAGTTCCATCTGCCCCAGTAGACGCTCCAACTGCCACTGCTACCCCTCTTTCCGCGCAAAGAGCCCGAGCCAGTGATATTCCCTCCGATCGCCCAGGGCTTCCTCCTCGACCTTCTGGGGCTCCCCGCCGAAGTGGAGTCTCTCCCGTGCGAGAGTCTTCTAGACATCAAAGCACTCATTCGCAGCTGGCACCGGCTGTTGGTTCTGTGCCTTCTTTCCCACGTGCTAGCCAATCCTCCGAGCCAAAACCAATCCAGCGGCAACCATCTATACCCCGTGAGACTAAACTGTCCTCTTCTCTTCCCGAGCGGCGCGTGGTGCGTACAGACACAGAGGAAGAAGAGCAAATCGAAGAGCCAGCTATCTTACGGACCGACTACCCCGATGCCTCAAAAGCTAATCGTCGACCTCCCCGCTTTAAATCTGGACCGAGAGATATCCTGACAAAGTATGATACCCGTTTGCTGGCTGTGTGCGGCAAGTACGTGTGCACGACTGGGTATCTGACTAGGGTGTGGGATCTTACAACTGGTGATCTAGTGATGAGTCTCAGCCATGGCGAGACTGTGAAAAGTTTATCTCTTGCTTTTAAGCCAGGAAAAGATCTTGAAAGCGAGGGTGAGCGTATCTGGCTCGGTACCAGTGCTGGAGATATTCACGAAGTCGATATCCCGAGCCAATCCATCGTGGCCACCCGCGCATACCCCTCCCGCCGAGAAGTCATCCAAATCTTGCGACACAAGAAAGAAATGTGGACGCTTGATGACGAAGGCCGACTGCTTGTTTGGGCACCAGACGAGACCGGCACGCCTAACTTGCAATACAGCTACCACACCCCTTCCGAACGTGTAGCCCGAGGTCACACGTTCTCCATGGTAGTTGATGACAAGCTGTGGTTGGCAGCAGGGAAAGACGTCCATATATACCGCCCTAATGCACGGGATGATGTCCCATTCAAGGTCTTCAAACGACCTCTCGGTCTTCAACACTCGGGCGATGTGACTTCCGGTTCCTATACCACGCGAGATGGAGGTCGGGTATATCTGGGACACGCAGACGGCAAGGTTACTGTGTATTCCTCAACCGATTTTGTTTGTTTGGCAGTGGCCAACGTCAGTGTGTATAAAATCAACTGCCTTGGATTTGTCGGAGACTATCTTTGGGCTGCGTATAAAACTGGCATGATTTACGTTTATGATGTGTCCACCAACCCTTGGACCGTGAAGAAAGATTGGCGTGCCCACGAAAGTCCCGTATCCAGCTTCGTGTTAGACATGAGCAGCGTATGGACCATGAACCGCCTGCAGGTGACCTCTCTCGGCACTGATAATTGCATTCGCATCTGGGACGGAATGCTTGAGGACGATTGGTTGGGTAAGTAAAATATTGCTCTCATCCGTTGATGGCTTCCACTAACACATAGTAGATGCGCGGATGGATGCCAGAGACGTGGAATACTGCAACTTCCGAGAAATCAAGGCTGTTGTCTTAACTTGGAATGCGGGAGCTTCTACCCCTGGCAGTGTGCGAACGTCGGATTTCATTCGAGATGTTGTTACCCCCGAAGACCCGCCTGATATCGTGGTATTTGGATTCCAGGAGTTGGTTGATCTTGAAAATAAGAAGATCACAGCTAGTAAGTGTAACAATGTTTGTTTGACAGGAAGGCCCGCTGACACCGCCACAGAGAGCTTGCTGCTTGGTAGTAAAAAGAAAGAGAACGGCGAGAAGGAGCATATGAGTCGTCAGTATCGAGTATGGATCGATCATCTTACTCGTACCCTTCACGAATGCATGCCTCTCGAGGAATCCTACGTTCTCTTGCATACTGCAAACATGGTGGGACTGTTTACTTGCATTTTCATTAAACACAAGGAACGCCATAACATCAGAAACATCCATGCCTCCGAGATTAAGCGCGGAATGGGCGGTTTACATGGAAACAAGGTTTGTGATATTCCGGTCTTTGCTATGGCCTTTATCTAATTGCATTAGGGTGCCCTTGTCTTTCGCTTCATCCTGGATGACACCTCGATGTGCTTTGTGAACTGCCATTTGGCGGCCGGTCAAACCCAGACCGCTAACCGAAACAACGATATTGCTGCGATCCTAGAAGCCGAGTCTTTGCCTGCGGAAAATAGCATGACCCTGCGGGCAGACCAGTTCGCTAGCGGTGGTGATGGCACCATGATCATGGATCATGAAGTGTGTATCCTGAACGGAGATCTGAACTACCGAATCGACTCAATTCCTCGAAATGTGATCATTGACGCAGTTCGCCAGAACAACTTACCAAAACTTCTGGATCGAGATCAGCTACTTGCTTCTCGGCGGAAGAACCCCGGTTTCCGCCTGCGCGCCTTCACCGAGTCACGTATTACCTTCGCCCCGACCTACAAGTACGACGTGGGTACAGACGAGTATGACTCTAGTGACAAAAAACGCTCTCCTGCCTGGTGCGACCGCATCCTTTACCGTGGCCTGGGCCACGTCAAGCAGCTTGATTATCGGCGCCACGAGGTCCGCGCCTCCGACCACCGGCCGGTCAGTGCAACGTTTAAAATCCGCGCCAAGACCGTTCTAAGTAAAGAACGGAACGCGTCGTGGGAAATCTGCATTGATGAATTCCAAGATGAGAAACGCCGCTTGGCTTCTGAAGTTAGCATCGAGTATCTCATCACTGTCCTTGGCACCGATCCCCGCCAGGCCCGTGAATTGATCCTGGGAAAGCATTAGCCGCTCGCATGATTGTCTCTCCTTATCTTTCTTTTTCGAAGTGAAGAGCACTTCTTTTTAATAAGCATTTGGGTGGAAGCATGGTGTATATTGTACGACTAATGATTTTACGATAGATATGTATCATGACGGTTGTTAGAGCTAAAAAGGTTTCTTTATATGAGTGTAGTATTGTACCAGGACATACTCCGTACTCTTTCTAGCATTGATCTGCATTGAAGAAGCCACTCTAGAGACCTGATGTGACATACAATAATCGGAGTATTTTCCGAATGCGCATTTCCTGTTATTTTGATTCTTTTGCTGTCGATCTTTCTGCCTTTCCCCGTCCCCTGTCCTCCGCCCCCTGTACTGTTCCCAGTCAGGAACATTGCAAGATACTAAATGAAATCTCAGGAGAATGTCTCAAGATACGTTTTACCACAGGACTACTCCGTACGCAGCTCGTATAACAATGCCCTTTGCAAATCTTATAGTTTAGGGCTTAGCTATCTGAACTCTTCAATCTCATCTTGACGTCTTCGTAGTCCTCTCTCCATACCCCTCTATTTACCAATTGATGCGTGTAAGCGATACTACTGTGATGATCGACACTGTTATCCCCGGCGAAATTAATTAAAGTGACATGACATTGACCCTTCCCCGCACGAGACCGGGTTCTATAAAGATCCCCGGATTTACAAGATCTAGTTAATTAGCACAGCGGAACGAAATACAATATACAGTCATGCTAGCGCCATTCACTCTCGCTGTTGCATTGCATTTGCTACCAGTAGCAAATGCCCTGGTTAGGGAAAGTGGTGTTGTATGTTTTCTTCTGTCATGAACTAATCACAGAGATACTGACTCAAATAAGGGTAGATTGCCTGCTCTAGGATGGAATTCCTGGAATGCATTCGGATGTGATATCAATTCCACCAAGGTTCTAACCGCTGCCAATGAGGTTGTTAATCTTGGACTGAAGGATCTGGGTTATGAGTATATCAACAGTATGAACCGAGCTTTGCATAAAATGGGTTGAATCACTGACCCTTTCTAGTCGATGACTGCTGGAGTATTCAGAACACCCGCGATAATAGCACAAATCGCATCATTCCAGATCCATCCAAGTTCCCCGATGGTATCTCCGGTGTTGCAGAGCAAGTCCATGATTTGGGACTGAAAATCGGCATTTACAGCAGTTAGTATCCCCTCCGTCTGTATACTGATCAGAAATCAAGACTGATATACGCCAGGTGCTGGTGATGAGACTTGTGCCCATTATCCCGCTAGTCTGGGATACGAGACAGTCGATGCGCAGTCTTTTGCTGACTGGGGTATTGATTGTAAGTTTTTTTGTATTCCCGTGAATCTGCTTTCACCTAAATGCTAAAACTCGTAGACCTCAAATATGACAACTGCGGTGTCCCCAGTAATTGGACGGATTCATACCATTACTGTGTTCCTGAGGGCTCTGGTAGCCACCCTAATGGCACCTGTCCTGATCTTAGCGATCCCGCCCCAGAAGGATATGACTGGAAAACATCGAACACATATGCCCGGTATACTGCAATGCGTAATGCTTTACTCAGCCTTGACCGAACAATCTTATATTCTCTTTGTGACTGGGGCCAGGCTGACGTCAATACCTGGGGTAATGAAACCGGAAATTCATGGCGCATGTCTGACGATATCAACGGTAAGTTGTTTGACTGATACGCAGTGGTAGATTTAGAAGCTGACTCTGTGTTCAGCAAATTGGGCCCGTATTGCAGAAATTGCCAATGAGAATAGCTTCCTGATGAAATATGTCGATTTCTGGGGTCATCCTGACCCGGACATGTTGGAGGTTGGTAATGGAGCTCTTACTCTCGAGGAAAATAGGGCACACTTTGCCCTTTGGGCCATCATGAAGTCCCCTTTAATCATTGGCACGGCGGTATGTGGTATCTTTGGATGTCTTATGCTTATGGCAAGATATACTGACAACCCCAAAGCTTGATTCTATCAGCGATGACCACGTGGCCATTCTGAAGAACAAGTATCTTATTGACTTCAACCAAGACCCTGTTTTTGGCAGTCCTGCCCATCCTTATAAGTGGGGTTACAATCCCGACTGGACTTTCGACGCCGTCCATCCAGCAGAGTATTGGTCTGGTACATCCTCCACTTTACAGGGCACTTTGGTGCTAATGCTGAATTCCGAGAATGTGACTTCTACTCGCACTGCGACATGGAGCGAGGTTCCCCAGCTCAAGAGCCATGATGCATATCATGTCATTGATGCTTGGACTAGCAAGGATCTGGGCTGCGTGAAGACTGAGTATAGCACCTCCTTGGAGAGTCATGATGTGGCTGTGCTGGTGGTCAAGAGACGATGCTAGACAGAGATCATCAAAGAACAATGGCTTTGTTCTGAGTGGTCAGTATTTAGTATCGCAGTTATTGCGGTAGACAAGCACGAATTTTGAGACTCATTACCCGTGACATATCTCCAAGCATGTAATGCTTAGGTTAGAGAGCATAAAGAGCATAAAGAGCATTTTTCATGGTTGTTCAGGTGAGGCTCAAAGAGCTTAAGGGGATATTGGCCACAGTGAACATAGAAACACAATGGCCATATTTAGGAAATCTATAACAAGGATATGAATATTATCCAGTCAATCAGAACTCATTACAGGATCCGAGGCTGGTCGAAGAACAAAGAATATTGGCGTTTGATATTCCGCCGAGTATTTATAGTCTCTTTATCGGCTTTCATGATTATATTGGCATTGTTCAAATAGAATCAATATATTGTGAAAAAGAAAAGCCCCCTTGAGTATTTAAGTGCTTCGATGTCCCGGCACAATCCTCATTTCTCATCACACTTCACATCTACAATCACATTCTCAGTATTTACTACCAAACTCATTAGACTAACTAACACATTGTCTTCAGGACTATCTTGCAGCAACCATGCCTGCCCACTACCACTGCAACTCTCATACCGGCCTGCCCCGGGTTTGGCTAGGTTGGGGTGAGCTGGGTAACCGCAAGGCTCAACTCCAAGCTGAACAGAACGAGTAAGTGACAAAAGACACACATAAAAAGGATATATACTAACATTTTATTAGATATTTCGAAGCCTATGCCCCTGACTTCAAGCTGCTACACCCAGACCACCCCCGACTCGGCTGGAATGTGCACTTGAATATCATTCGCAAGTCGACCCGTTGGATTGACTGGCGAATCCACAAGACTGGAGATAAGCAGAAGCTTGTTCTTCCTGATTTGGTACGTCCTGAGCAGGTCGACAGCCTTCTTAATTTCTTTTATACTGGTGACTATTCGGTTGACGAAGCCGACTTGAAATATTATTCAGTTAGGCCCTGCCCTGGTGGCTGCGTGACTTGCCCTCAGATCTGTCAGCTTTTGCGCATTCATTTGTCAATGTTTCAGACTGCTCTTCTTCTTAGAATTACTGACCTCCAGGCTATTGCCTTTCGCAGATTCCGTGATCTTATGGATACTGCTCCTGCTTTCGTTTTGCAGTATGCTGTTCACTCAGTGTATAGTAGGGAGCCTATCCCTGACGGGAGTAATAACTTTCAGATTACTGGCTTAAAGTCTGTCAAAGACTATCGCCCTGAGTTGGTACTTCCTGCAGTCCTTAGGTACTGCGGGTATTATCGACTGAATCCCCAGCAGCTTACAAGACACGGGAAGAGAGTGAGAGTTTTTGGTGAGTCGGAGTTCGCTGAGCTCCGCCGAAAAAGCCCTAAGTTTGATGGAGACCTGGCTCGGGGCTTATGGCTCGACACTATTGATATCACAGTCCCGAAGATTCAGTTCCCGGGTAACTCAGAGCCCATCAGGTCTCTGCATCCCTATATGCACACTCTGCTCCCGCCACAGGCGGTAGACCCCAAACGGTCAAACTATCAGTATGTTACTTACTTGCAGCCATTGCCCTTCAAGGATTTTAATGACCAGCGACCTTCTAACACACCTACATGGACCCCGTCACCCGAAAATAGTTCCACTTGGTCTTTTGCTACCGCAAGCACCTCCTTTCAAAGCACGCAGACACGTCCTTCGTTCAATCAGAGCATTCAGGCTTCAGTACAACAGACCCCTGATCCTCAATTGACTCTAGAGCAGACAGAGGACCTGAGTTTCATTGACGAAGCTCTAATCGATACTACTATGGAACAACTCACCGCGCAACTACCACAAGAATATGCCACGAGTCCAGCCGATTTGAATAATATTGACTGGACACACACGATGGACTGGAGTGCAGCGGATGTATCAGATATCGATTTCAGCACGCTTTTGGATGATGATGCTGTGGATGAGCCGGGTGTGAATGCATTGGACTTGACACAGGTAATAGACTGGACCGAAGAGGACCTGGCTAATGTGGACTTCACACATTTTTTGAATGATGACACTTTGGATCTACAGTCTTTCGACCCATCCTGCCTGGACCAGCCTATGGATATGGATTTAGACCTATCAGACCCGAGTTTCTTTGATCTCCCAAACCCGAAATCCTTCGATATGACAGCACTACCTGATATCGACTTTTCCGGGCTGACTCCACATGATTCCATCGACACTACTTTCTGGACTCAATCCCAGTATATGGACTCAATCTTCCCTGTGGGAATGGATAAGTATGTCACTTTGCCTCAACAGATTACTTTGCTGCCAGATCCATTGAACTCAGGGATAAACCCGGACTTGACCGCTTCGAACCTGAAGGCCGGACAGTCGATCCAGTCCGCGTTCTTTTCTGTGAGAGCCAACCCGCGTACATCGGTCTCACATCAGAGTCAAGACTCTACTCAATCTCGGTACAATTTGAGGAACCGCCCGAGCATGGTTGATTTAGCTGAGGAGCTATAGATTTAAATGATGAACTAAGGTGAGTCATTCCCAACTTTGCTATTGAGCAGTATTAATTCTTCTTCTTTTGTCTGTACTTCTACGCATATAGACCTGTCTTTTCACGTGTTCTTTGAAGATTGAGATTATCTATAAGAATCAATAAGATATATAAATCAGCATCATCATCTAGTATATCCATAGTAATAATAATATAGAAAAGAAAGAGTATCAGCCGGATAATAAGCGACGAAGTATGTGACTTGATTCTCATTGGGCACCTCACTTTTGAAGCATATACTCCGTAGATAGGCATAGGAATAGTCGACTGCTTATTCATCTCTTTTGGTCTGTCTTTTTGGTTTTCAAACCTATTCAGACCTTGCTCTCCAGACAATTGCATCTCTCTCACTTCGAAATGTCAATGAGCCATCATATGCAAGCATGCACGTGCTACGGCACGCTAATACAGACTAGGCTAGGCTGCCTTACTTAATCGACACTCCCACCCGTGGATCCACTTTCACGTGCCCCTTGATCAAGAAGCGGCACGAGGTGAGCACTAAAATGGATGGAAGTGCCAGGCACTAAGCGATCATAATACATGCAACTGCATATTTACCACGTGTCACTGCTGTGTTGCCATTAGTTACACCAACCATGCTAATTGTATATCTAATTAAGCTGAATGTACGGATCTTGATTATGTTGATGCCAAGGGGAACCCCTGGAGCCCTGGAGTATACTTGGGATGACTAATATCGGTACCTGGGGTACCTGAAGGGCTTAAACCGGAAGGTGCCATTTTCGGCGATTTACCATCAACCTTGGAATTAGCCCTAGAGGTCATCTAGGAGGTAGTAGTTTATCCAATCGAGCTGGCATTGCTTGCGCAGAGGAAAATCAATTAGCATGGTGTAGTATAGTGTCGTACTCATTGTACTCATATACATGGACTTGGTGGTATGTATACATCGAGTCCTGAAACCAGGATGTCCGCTTGCAGCCTGAGTCTCCCCAGCCCTAGGTTGCAGATCTTTTAATAACTGTGGATACAGAAAAGAACCAACTTTGAACCATTGCTGTTCTATAGATCGTGGACTTTTGTATGTAGTAACTGTTGTATGTTGATATCTCATGTAACCATGGAAATCCACCCAGTCCACTACGTCAGAGCGTCTGCCCTGTTATCTTTCTTTTTCCATTTGACCTGAACATTGCCTACTTCCTATCGTCTCCTGTCTTTTGTCCCTTCCCTTCTGTATTTCCTTGCCCCTCTATATAAATACAATGCAATGAGGCGGCTCTATTCCCCGCTTCGGGATTGCGTTTCCCCCCGCGATGCCAGTGTCTCACCACGGTCGCGGGTCTTCATCTACCTCGGTATAGCAGTGACATTACTGCTTCTATCATATCAGCTGATTCTCGACCGATCACCGAATAGAGGCATAAGCTGGACAGCCATTCAGGATATCGTGGCTGGCGATGACGAACGCTTCGTTCTGGATGATATACCCGCTGATAAAGAGTTGGTTCTCGCCGCTATGCAGGCTAGCAATATGTCCTGGGTTGAGGAGCATCTGTCACACTGGAAGGTGAATATCTATCGTGCAGATGCGAAACACGAAGACGGTGGCTTGACCGTCCCGGTAAATAAAGGCAATGAAGCTATGGTATATCTGACGTACGTTTTTCATACTTCAAGTCTTGTTGTCATACTAATTGCCCTCGGAATCAGCTATATTATCGATCGTTACTGGTCCCTTCCTGAAGTATCAGTCTTCCTCCACGGCGGCCGCTACCAATGGCATGTCGATAACCCGCTCTACGACTCCGTCATCTCCATCTCCCACCTCAACCTCGCCTTCGTCCAAGAGGCTGGCTATGTGAATTTGCGCTGCGCCTGGACCGTCGGCTGTCCCACCGAACTAGAGCCCGCTCGCTATCTCCGAGAGAGACCAGAAGACCACGGACATCCCACCGCGGTCGAGTATCCCGATCGGTTTATGGAGTTGTTTCCGCGCGCTGAAGTCCCAGAGATTGTTGGGACACCGTGTTGTAGTCAGTTTGCTTTGTCCAAGAAGAAGATTCACGAGCAGAGTCTGGAGCACTATGTTCGTTTGCAGCGGTGGTTGATGGAGACGAATTTGGACGCCGGCATCAGTGGGCGTATTCTGGAGTATTCATGGCATAGTGGGTTTTCCATTCGCTGATCTCTTGATCTCTTGCTAATATTGACTGTTTACAGTGATCTTTGGAAAACCGGCTCAGTATTGTCTCGACCAACGCAAATGTTATTGCCAGACATACGGTTATTGTAATATGACCGACAGCGAAATCCAGAAGCAGTGGGTATGGCGCGGTTTACAGCTGCCAAAAGGATGGCCAGGACAGAACCAAACCGCGGAATAGCCACGCATGTATATCGCCCGATTATGCTTGAATGAACTGAACATTTCCATTAGAGACCTGACCTATGTACCCAATCATCATTTCATGAAGCGCGTTCCTCGTCCGCTAGACGACCTCGGACCAAATGTCTCAAGATACTGACCCTCCTATTCAGTGGAATCCATATATAATAATCTCACCGCCATATATCCTGCTTACTCGACCGCTTGTGGTATCCCTGACTACTCATGGGTCGTTCTTCCTCAGCCGGAACAGCCAGGAACCCACCGAACCCGTTCCCGACGAGCACGCTCTTGCGAGCATCGCCGCCCCAAGACCGGTTTAGCTGGGCCTCGTGGAAACTTACGGGGCGCGTCCTTGAGTCGCGACGCCCGAACGCCGGGCTAGGGTCGTAAGGTGTGAAATTCCACTCAAACTCATCCAGGCCCTTGCTGTACACATTCAGGGGCTGCGAAAGACCGCCCCGCATCTGCGGCCCGCCTTCACCCCCGCCGAAGAGTCGTGGTGGCGGCATGAGCAACAGAGTATCGGGGAAGGAGGAATCACGGACATATAAATCTCGAAGAGCTGGTAAGGTTCGCGACACCAACGACGAAATAAGATAGGTATAGTATGAGGATACCACTGGTGGCATTCCGTGATTATCCGTTTCGGATGTGAGTTCATAGTGCAGGAGATGCAGTGACTTCGATGCCATGGGAGGAATCTGCTCCATTGGGAATGAGCGAGAGACCTCCTGGATGATAGAAAGGCTGTGGAGTCGCGGAGCGGCAGAAAGAATGTAATGTAGTCGGGACGGAGCAACGCCAGTAGAAGATAATATCAAAGACCCCAAATTCGCACAGTTCGCTGGCATGGAAAGAAATGCGACAAGCCCGCTTGCCGTGACATTGGGGGTATCGCGAAGTGTAAGAGACTGAACTGCCGGGAATGGTGGAAGGGGTACGTTCACTGCAAATGCAGAATCGTCAAGCCAACCAAGATCTTCGAGCGTGAGATCACGAAGATGGGGGAATGAAGCGATTCCGCCGCGCAGGGTACTAGCCTCCATTTGAACTCCAGACAGCTCGAGCACCTCCAAATTCATCCATAGTTGAGAGCCCGGGAGACGTGAGAAACTGCCCTCCGCACCTTTGCGATAGGCCATGCGGCGCAGCTCGGGGCATCGAGCCATCAACTCCTGTTTCAAGGGTAGACACGATGGCTCGTCGCTATACAAACCCACCGGCAGATCAACAAAGCGGAGATTAGGAAGGACGGAGATAGTGCGGGCCACGCTGGCTTTGTTGGCCTCGCGGGTCATGTATGGCATTCGGAGTGACAACACCATATTTCCCAGCCCCTGTGACTCTCGCACTGTTCGCATAAACAATTCCAGACGGACTTGCGGGGCATCGATGGGATCGCCATTGCGGTCAAAGAAAGAGCGGCGTTTTCGCTTAGCGGCTAATTCGATTTCGAGTTCGCAGTAATGGACGGGGTCGATTCGGACGTTGGTGTAACTGGCAGCAGACTGGTGTTAGTCTCTCGCTTGACAAAAGGCCCGGGGATCTCCTACAGAAGCGCCCGCGCATTCATAAACCACTGCTTGTTGACGAGGGTGCAGTGTGCCAGGTCGCGCATGTCGCATAGCATACAGCCATCGCTGGCAGATTCCTCGGATGTGCCATATGTGTTATCGACGGCGTGCGGACAAACAAAGGAGAAAATAAGTGCCAATACTGGTCGAGGTAGCTGTTTGGTGTAATCTCGACCAGGCACATTAACGCGGGGCGATGGTGGGTCGGGTGTTTCTCGGTCACTTCGCCGTGAGCTCCGTCGCGAGCTTCGTCGCAGCTTATCAAAAAGGCCCATTCTGGCTGGGAGGGTGTGGGAGGATGTGAAAGGTAAAGAGGGGAGATGATTGGGACAAAGCGCGTTAATGCAGGGTCCGTCAACCATCAACCCCCCTTCAGCCCCCAGCCCCTAACATGAAACACGGGTTTCATCACGTCTAATATAGCTCGAGGATCTTTGAAGATCTTTCGGATGAGTTGACACGCGGCAAAAATTATTTCTCATAGGTCGAATATTATGGAGACGATTTGAGGCCGCGAATTTCATGACATCACGGAGTCAACAGCGTCATTTCTAGGAAATGCCTACACAATCCATCCGATATCTATACATGGTTGGCCATTGACTGACATCGATCTGGACAGAGACTAGGAGAATATACATTTCCCTTCACACTCCTCACACCCCTCAAATCACCATGTCTGAAATAAGTCGCAACTTCGTCGATCCTCTTCCCTGCCCAGCACGTACCAACGCAATCCCAGAATCCACCCCTGTAGAACACTGGAAACACCTGCCACCATACAAGGTGCAATCCGAGGAGCAATTCGGTCCCATCAAGTGGCGTGGAAGGTGTTTCTGTGGAAATATCACCTATCTCTTGAAGCGAGAGAAACCACTCAATGCCAAATACTGTCACTGCCCTGTGTGCCGAGTTACCCACGGAGCTCCTCTTCAGTGGGCGGCGCTCTTCCACAAGCATGATATGTCATTCACCAATGGTGCAAGCGGTTTGGCGTTTTATTCTTCTACACATCGAAGTCAGAAACATATCTTGCCTACCAAGGTGTCTTGTGCCAATTGCCGGACACCTATCATGGATGAAGGTCGGAATATGTGTTTGATTTTTCCTCAATTGATTCAGCTCGAGGGATCTAGCCAGGAGCAAAGAAAGAAGAGGGAGGTTTTCAAGCCGACGTATGTGCATTTGCTACTACTCCAGGAGTGCATACTAATGTCCTGCTAGATGTCATATCTTTTATGAGTCACGCATGCTAGATCTTCCGGATGGTCTTCCCAAATGGAGTGGAATGGCGAATGTCAGTGACCGGATGGACGACCACGGTAACCGGATCGAAGTCGGAAAGATGATTGTATAAACAGGCGACAACCGGATATGGACATAGAAGTTGAATATATGTACGATGTTCCCAACCAAGCTTGCAGTCACCACTATGAAGCCGCGCATACACCATCCTGCACCGACACCGGATCACTGCTTGCGCTACCCCAATCAGCAGCGCCGATAACCTTACCAGCCTCCGTACTATCATCCGCTCGAATCTATCGAAACATCAGCATTGGCTCCACATTGCAAATCAAGAAACTTACATAGTACTGTGGATTGACGGAGTACCACCAATCATCACTCCGGAATGCAGTATCCAGTGATTGACTCGCCGGATCGTTCCAGCCGGTATTGCGAGTATCGAAGTGAGCATGCTTCGACCACGACACATACACCTTGGGGTGATCATTCCCCTTTACACCGTTCGGGGTTTTGGCATCTCCGGCATTGATCTCGTCGGTCGTAAGGGTGTTTTGGATATCGCCCCAGGCCAGGTTGTGGTACCCGCTATGCGCAGAAAGCAGGGCGCGTGATGGTGCCCACATGTTGTCGCTATCCCGAGAGTGGATGATCACCACTCGTTCCCAGTCACTGGAACGATGTTAGAGTTGGGCTGAACCACAAGGCCAGAAAGGGTCACCTACTAGTCATGCCCAGTGTTGATGCCAGCAAAATTTGCGCCGTCTTTCTCGTAAAAGAGATTATACACGACGCGAATCTCGGTTTCGTTGCATTGTCGGTATGTATAGTAAACGGGAAATGCAGGTCCCTCATTTCGGATACCAACGCCAGGGTTGCGACAATTGCACCCGACATCTGGGTAATCACACTGTGCCGCGGCCGGTGTCTTGTGGGCAGCATCGTAGACATCCGATGTATCCGGTGAGCCGCTGTACGCCCAGGTTGGATAGCAGGGTGGCTGGTTCTGGGCTTGCCCAAAGAACCAGATGGGCGCGTAGCGGTCTGCTAGATCTAAACCACCGGCATCGAGGAGGGAGCTCATCTCATCATTTGTTATCTGTGTGAGAGCTGCCACTGCCACATGGCTGACGGCCAGGACTGCCAAGCTAGCTCCTAGCTTGAACTGCATGGTTGGACTTGGGGGAATGTTATGGGATACAGGGGTCGCGATTTGAATTGTCCAGTATATCTCTCTCTTAAATACATACTCTTGGAGACAGCATAGCCAGGAATATCCAAGACAATTCCAGAGACCATTTTCCAAATGGGGTGATGAGTTGCTAAGGGTTACATCGCGACATGCGGGTCTGCATTTATATTAGCCCCGGAGGTACCCCGAGATATCCCGCACGTGTGTGCAGTAGATTATCTCAGTCGCTAATTATTATCTGGCTTGGATTACGGAGTATCACTATAGCACCTTAGAATATACACAACTTAAGCAACTTAGAGACCGTCGATGTGTATGGAATTCCTCAAACAGCGGTGAAGATGGCCAGGTAGATTTCAATGGGGGCTACAGACGGATTGGGGAGAAAGCAGGGTAGAATATATATATCTTAGTCGCTCAGATGATGACTTCGTATTGCAGGCTTATGACCCTCTTCAAAAGATATCACTTCAGGACTTCTCGTTTACCAAGTACATGCAGAAGCAATCCCCCAAAAAACCTACAATGGTGGTTGCACGAAAGGATGTATTGATGATTTCCTTTCCTCTGGCCAACAGATCATTATCTCAAACGATGTCCGAAATAACCAGCTAGCATCATATTTATTCGTTCCTAGTTAGTGTTATTATTCATACATCTCTTCGGTAGCTTTAATGCAACAAAAACATCAATAGCTTATATCAGGTGACTTCTATTTTGACAGATCATGTGATCGATCTCTGGTAGATCAATAAGCTTCCCTAGGGCGCCGTCATTTGTCGGAGAATACACCCAAGGAGTCGGACAGCATCCCTGCCACTAGACCTTACACCAAATCAGGCTATATTCACACTATGTGGAGGCAACCAGCGTCTCGAGGTCTGTTTCGACTGATATCTAGACCCTCGCCCGTCAAATTTCCATCTTGCACTGGTCTAGCTACCATTTGTTATGGCCCTTCGAACGCAGCTTTTCTGGACACAGTTACGTTACCGTGGAGAATCCTAATAGAGGTCTACTGGATGGATGATCTCGTTGAGAGAAAAGACAAGAGTAGATTCTGTTGTGCTGATGATGGACAGAGAGGAGAGGAAGAGAGACAAAGGACGGAACTAGCTGGTCTATCTAATAGTGGGTGACCGCCTTGCCGGCCACCCAAAACATCCACATCTAGGTGCCGGAATGTTAACTGGCTTCCCTTTCGGCAAATGACGCACGAGGGCGCCTTTAAAACGGAAATTCCCTATGCCCTAGGATCGACTAACACATGTCCAACTGCTGTTCACATGGAACCTTTCCCCACTTCAGTCATCAAAGTTCTCATTTGAGTATTTGCTACTACCACCAAGATCTGCACTAGGGGCCATTCGACCCGGGATCGCTTCCAAGGCTTCGTCACGGATCCCCACGCCTGCCTACTCGTCAGGGCATCGTTTCTACCCTGACGGCGAGGTATGGGTCTAGAATTTTGACAAAGTTCGGCGACAAAGTCATCGTTGACCCGAAGCAATTGGCAAGGCTTTTCAAAAAAGTAACACCAGGGGGCCGACTTCTGCCCACGCGAACACACATGATGAAGAATATCAATGTCGGATTGACGTGGGCGAAGATGTCAAGGACAAGCCCGATCACTATAACGTCTACCTTCAAGTCAATACCCAGGCAGAAAGCGTTACTAGTGAGCCATTTTTGGTAAGTAGAACTGGCGATACGGAATGACCCGAACACGAGGTTAAGGTGCCGGAATACACACAAGAGGTGTTAGTTCATTTAGACAGCCCGACGGTGCGGAATCCGCTAAGGAGTGTGTAACAACTCACGGGCCGAATGAACTAGCCCTGAAAATGGATGGCGCTTAAGCGCGTTACATGCTTTCGAATTCTGAGCGGATATTAGCAGGAATCTTTTGTCAACCGGTATGAGCACAGATTTACTCACTTCCATTCGGATGGAGGAATTTAAAAGGAAGGAGCTAGACATCCCTGAGCACTCTTGCGTATTTAATGAGTCTAGGCGACTGCCTATTTGACCCGTATCTCGGTTCTTCAGACCTCCAAAGCCATTTCAAGGCGCTTGTGAGCTGAAAGGTGATTGGCCTTGAGGTAATTTCCTCTTCGCGCATTCGTAAGAAATCTGCCAGCCTATTCTCACGCCAGTCGACATTCTCTGGCGCCGAATTAGCGCCGAATTATTCGTCACGCGCTCTGGGAATCGATCAAGAACACAAGCAATCAAGCAATATCTGCATTCGCAAATACCCCTTCGTCCTCGAGGACTAGCGAGTCAGGTTCGATAGCTTCAGGAATATCTACGTATTCGTTCCAAAGCATTTGGTGGACTTGTTCATTTTCTGTGTCGTGTTTCGTACAGATCTACATGCCCTCAGAACTGTTCATGCTTTGTAGCCGGCAGCATAGCGGCGGAGAGAGCCCGGGCGTAATGGAGAATAGGATTAATATGTTTCTGTGTAGGCCGGGCGCGTACTGCCAGTCCCGTCTGGTTCGAGTATAGTAGGGGTTTTTGACTATGTAAAAGTAGAATTCAAAAGTGTAGAATTAAGTCTAGCAAAATTGAATTGATGCCTTCTACCCCGTTTCCGGTTTCTTGTTCTTCCCTTGCTATTCTAGTGCCACGCTGAATTAATCCCGTTGATCTGAAGCTTGACGTTCTGGGTCACTCCATCCGTCGAGACAAGTCGCGCTTCAGTTGCATCTTCCTTAGGGAATATCTGAGCCGTCAAAGAGACCTCTCCTTGACCCCCAAATACCTCAACACTAGACCAATCCACGAAGATCTGCAGGTTGATACGTTTATCCGCGCCTGCTGACAGTGATGTGTGATACAAGGTTGCAAAAGTGTCGTCAAAAGATGCATCTCCTGAATTTCGCCGATCCACGAAGACCTCCTTGCTGGTAAAGTTGTAGCCGATCAGTGTTTCTTGCTTAAAGTCAGAGCTAGCACGGACAGCGATCGCAAACGTAGATGCAAGAGATTTTTTGGAGTCATGATCGGAAAAGCTCAAGTCGATCTTGAATGCCTTGCCGGGGGAGTTCAGTTTGGTTGATCCTTTCGATACGGATTTCCAGGAATGTTGCAAGGTCTGGTGGTTGGCAACACTCTGCCAGTTCTGTTGCGGTTGTTGAACGAGGGTCACCTTCCCATTGATCGTCTGCAATGACAACTGACGGGGAACAGACATGGCGCTTCGCCAAGGGCTTGTCGGGATCTCCGTGCCATACTGCCAATTATTCATCCACGCAATCTGGACCACATCTCCATTAGGAAGTCCGTTATAACTGGCAGCAGCATAAAAGTCCGGACCCCAATCCATCCAGTTGGCAGAACTGTTTCCTGGATAGATGCTAGCAGGATCAGCCTGGAAAGTTGTTCCGTCGAAGTCGCCGATGAAGTATTGTGTTCCTGATCCGACCGTGCCAGGTGGTCCACCAGGATTGAGCCCAAGAACAATTACTCATTTCTTGATTGATTTCTTTCCTTTGACGGGCAGTTGAATCAAACTGGGACATTCCCATACGCCGCCGACAGAGTTGTAGGGTCCGAACTCGCTGGCCAAGGACCACTCTTTGAGGTTGTCAGAACTCCATATCAGCAGCTTGTGGAGTGATGCCAGAGTTGTGACGGCTATCCATTTCTGTGTATCGCCATGCCAGAATACGAAGGGGTCCCGGAAGTTTTCGAATTCTGCTTCATATGGAGAGGGTGGGTTATGAATTACAGGATTCTCGGCATCGTATGTTGTCCACGTCTCTCCCTCGTCGAGACTATAGGCGATTGACTGGGATTGCTGCCCTGCGGTAATAGATTTTCCGCTTGGTAGGTCTTGAGACACGGGATACTTTATGAATCTTGTCAGTCTCCATCAGTGATCAAGTGAAATAGCCACGCGTACCGAAGAAGTATACATGGCGACCAAAGGAATCTTTCCATCCACTCCGAAGCCACTCGTATTGTTCACATCTGCTACCGCACTTCCTGAGAAGAACATCTCGGTGACCTCGTTGGGATATCCGCGAGCAAGTAGAGCAATCGGGTGCTCTTCCCAGTGGGTCAAATCGCTACTCGTTGCATGACCCCACGACATATTCCCCCATTCAACACCAGCCGGGTTATATTGAAAGAAAAGATGGTAAGTGCCATCGTGATATAGTAGTCCGTTAGGATCGTTCATCCAATTTTCGGCAGGGGAGAAATGGTATTGAGGACGGTATGGTTCGGTATAGTCCAGGCCGGACGCTGTCCCGAGCAGACCCAGGGCCAATGCGAGTAATATGCCCATTTTGGAATTGGAGGAAAGTCGCTATGCAAAATAAGCCTATTCTGTTCTATCAGGAGGAAATTCCTACAAAATTTATACTTCTGCGAAAATCGAAAATCCCTCATCCCCCACATTCCATACTTCTTGGCATACCCCGTGGGGATTCCACTGCCCTGCAGATCTCGGGGAAATACAAACTCTCACCCCACATTCTTGGAAGAGAACACTTAAACAATTGGCACGCCCGGAGTTAACTCGCTGAAACTCGGAAGTAATTTCGGAGCTGAGACATCTGCTGTCTTAATCGGGTAGTGTTTTCGCCCGCATATACATATCGTGGAGGTATGTGCGGGTGAATTATGATGTGATCGAAGTTGCTTTACAAATGAAGTATGAGCAAATGAGCGATTTATATCATTAGGGTTTGCCAAGTCGGCTAAATCCTTGATGTTAACTTGACGATGGTTACTTGGCGTGATGCGATTCCAAGGCACACCGGAAATAACTTGCGCCACAATATTCTTAGTCTAATAAACTCGGTGAGAGAAAGCGAGAAGAGAGATCAAGAACTGTCTATTGGTATGTTGGACTAATTGTCTCGGGAGAAAAAAGAGGAAAGGAAACATCTTCATCTAATTGAATTGCTGAGCAAGTTTGAAGTGTAGTCCCTCACTCATAGTACGGCTTCGCATTTATGAGCTTGTAGGCAACCTCCTTGTCGTGACCGAAAATCAACGTCGCGTTGTACAGTCTTTGCAGTCTGCGGATCATGTTGAGACTGCGGAACCACGCATTGTGATCTCTAGCTAATCCGCCATGGGGATGACCCAGCGTATAGTTCTCTGCAACGTGGAACTGGTCCGAGGTCCAAATAAATGGTCCATCATTGACCAGGTTGACTTGCATAATGCAGAGCCCAGGTGTATGGCCAGGTGAATGGTGGAGGGTTATGCCCTGGAAAAGGTCAAGTTGCGACTCGGTGAAGGTGTTCCACTTTAGCTCTTCTAGTAGCATATAGTGTGAAAGATAGACGCCCAAGTCCGCTCCGGTTGCTATCGCCCAGCAAGCGTGCTTGAACTCTTCTTCGTGGACATAGATTGGGACATCTGTGTTCACGAAATGCTCAAGTCCGCCGGCATGATCAAGGTGCAGATGGCCAATGATGACCGCTTTCACATCCTTGATGTCATTTCCAGTGGCTTTGATAGCATTCGGGAGTTTATTGTTCTCCGAGTATTCAACTCGCGGAAAGACATCCGTGACGGGCGCTGGCCATTTCTGTATTTTGTTTAGTTATACATAATGACGATTGCGATACGATCCGACAAACCACTTCTAGATCCTCAGCACAGCCGGTCTCATAGAGAATGAGGCCAACGCCCGGGTACTCAATAAGAGCCGAAATAAGCACTAAATCTCGGCGTTTATTCACCGGATTAAGGTTGCTCAGGGTGCTTGAATTGCCACCTCGGAAAATCCTGTGCAAGTTAGTAAGAAAATCATGACTTTAGCTTCCATTGGCAAACACAAACCATGATTCATCTGCTTGAAGGGCGCCCAAGTTCAGAATGTGCATTTTTGTCCCAGCAGGACACTTGAATGCTGGGACTGCTGCAGATACCAGCTGAGAGGCAGGGTCAACGGAGGAATTCATATTTCAATTTGAATAGTTGAACAATTTGAAATGAAAAAAGAAATATGGAGGAAATTAAAAAGTCATGCCCAATATGCCGGCAGATCTGATGAAGTCATAACCGTAGTCTTCCCCCGCATAGACCTTGGTATAGCGGCCGAGGAGCAGACCCACCAGATGCCCAGAAGGGAATTGACAAATGGAATTGACGAATAAGAAGGCAGGATGGGTCAAGAATATTGACTTGGCATTTCTGATTTAGTTACCTCGGCAATGGTAAAAGCCCTTTCAATAGGAAGGTATCTTAGTTCCCTGTTGTATATGGCTTCTTAAAGGCAGTCTGCCAACTCTGCCACGTTTTCGACATATACAATCTTTAGCTATGAAAGTCAACCCTAACTAGATAACATGTAACGGATCTACGATCTTCATCTATCTTTAACCTCGGTATCCCAGCTGACCGAGGTACGGAGTATAAGGGCTCTAATACCGCTGCCTTCCGCTATCCTGGCACTGTTTCTGTGTGCATATAGAAGAAATTAGCCGTAGAATCTCATCGGTTTAAATTATACCACTCATGGCTGCGCGTCTATCGCTTAAAAATTCACCGTTCCTGGACTGACCGATCTCGTGACATCTCACGAGCTGTACGCCTGCAATATTTGCCACCCTTCGATGCAGATGCTTAGTATTTAGATAGCCAGGCTGCCAATGAAAACCGTACTATAATAGGAAATGTCCGCTGTTCTGAAAACAAAGATCAGACAATCAGGGCCCTACTTACATATCTGCCGGACTGCCACGTCTTGACGTACACCATTTGCAGCAGGAAGAACAACCACCGAGCACAATCTTAATGTCTTTCTCGTGATAATAGTACTTCATGATACATGCAACGAAGATAAATAAGCTCCGAATTTTCATAGCATATGGAGTCTATTTGCTCTCCGTTGGTCACGTGTCGTGGGGTAGAGGGCGAAGTTGGGCAGCTAGCATCAACCTCTAACCTTCGGGTGGTTGCGTCTCTTCTTGTTCACTACAATTTGGTACAGCCACCAAAGGCATAAATAACACTATTGCTCTGTTGGAAACGCGCTCGTCCCCTGACCAAGTCCTCAAGTACTAGATATCTCCCGAAAGAAGTTTATCCTGGAAGATTTTGAACCCCAAATGGTCGTTTTCAAATCCTGCAGTCCAGACATCTTCAGGAATTCGACCTCGCTTGTGCTTGGCTGGGAGCTGATGTCCCTTGATAATACACGAGTCAAAATCGATGATCACGGCTTCTTGGCTTGCAATCATGATGTTTCTCATGTGGATGTCATTATGGATTAGATTGAGAGCATGGAGGTGATCGAGTCCCGCCTTGATCTGCTGGAGACAGCTTTTGTTATCGACTGAGCGCCCAGCCTCAAGGCAGCCGGCAAGCGTCTCCACATATCTCTGGAAACAAAGCCCGGTAATCCGCCCCCCTTTCACCACACATCCAAGATAGCGAGCAATATTTCGGTGTTCATTTTGCATCAGGACCTGGCAGATACGAGCTTCCTGAAGCAGGAGCACACTCAAAAATTCCGAACCATCATAGTCAAGGAGCTGGGGCTGTTTGATGTAAACATCTGGGTTATCGGCATCGTGGCATATCGAAAGACCATCTTCTAGCAGAGGCCAAATGTGTTCGGCAGGAATCTCCTTGAAACAGCTTTCGGCCTCAGGCAGAATCTCATCTGGGTGAGCGAACTTTCCAGGCAGCTGAGCTGCAAAGTACTTGTCGCCATCCTGGAAGATGACATTAGTGTACCGAAGCTTTGGGCTGCCGCCGAGCTCCCAGATCTCTGCCATATCACGATAATGCATTGCGGAAAGGGGGAATTCTGGCAAATTTGAATCGAAATAGATGTGCGAATAATAGAATAGGAGATTGCGAGCCCGCCCTATATAAGAGACATAAGTCGGGCAACCGCATACGCACGAACCTCCTGTCATACCGTAAAGTGTAGCGGTGAGATGACTGCATCGAACATACAGGAGGATTTGCTTTTTAGATGCAGAGACCATAATGAATAGCACTCATATTTGGAATATATCCCAGCATGGTGGCCCCTTTTGGGTGTGGTCTGAGCGTCCACGGATCCACGGTAGAGTAAATGCTGACTAATATTAATCGGAGAGGACTAATATATCACGTGACTGGCTCTGAGCACTCTCATTAAAGCGGCAGCTGCAATAGGAAAGCCCTTTGTATAGTAACCTAGATACGTCTTAATGAGGTGCCAATAATAAAGTATGGAGTATAAAGTGTGGGAAATTCCCTAATACTATTAAAAGACAAATCTCGATACATGTTGCCCAAGATGTTGCTACACTGTATAGCTCTAGGTGGGACGGACACAAGACTGAGAACAAGGGCTTACACCTGTTCGAAGATGAGCAGTAGTGGAATATATATTGCCAAATTGCAAGAGAAATGAAGTTATCCCCAACCTTTAGAATGTATGTTCATAGATGTACGGAGTACGGAGTACCGAGTTAGATCCAATGACATCAGAGAACCCACCCAATCGCACTCTTATTTTCTTCCCCTCTATATCCTCCCTCTTAGCAACATCACATCTCCATTTCAGCTCATATAACATGTCTTGGTCACAGAAGACTTTTACTCTCCCTACTCGCAGCCGCGGCTCCTACCTGATCACCGACCATGTCCTCCAGGAGGTCCCCGAGATCCGCGACTACAAAGTCGGCATGCTGAATCTGTTCGTACAGCACACCAGCTGTGCGCTTTCGCTGAACGAGAACTGGGATGACGATGTTCGCGCCGATATGAGCGATGCCTTGGATCGCATTGCGCCTATGGATAAGAAGGGGGATTTGTATCGCCATTCTGCCGAGGGCGCCGATGATATGCCGGTATGTGTTTGGAGATAGCAGGGGATTGGGCATTGATTAGATCGCTATGCTCGCTTCAGGAGTCTAGAGTCCTCTGATTATCCTCCGCTGTTATTTTCACTCTCTTCGAATCCAGCACTAATTCAACACAGGCTCACATCAAATCTGCGCTCATTGGCGCTTCGGTCAATATTCCTATCACAAACGGTCGCTTGGCAACAGGAACATGGCAAGGCATTTGGTACCTAGAGTTCCGGACGAGTCGACACAGTCGCAAGGTTGTCGCGACGATCCAGGGACAGAAGGCTTGACTGGATGGGGCTGAGCGAGGGCAATTGTGATTTATCTGGTTTATCTGATGCCCCAGCTACGAGTGATGCAAGACGAGTTGCAAGAAAAAAAAATAAAGGTTTGGGTTGGCGAGATAGTCGACATATGACCCGGATTATACGAGATCATCATATGGTAGTCGATGTAATACACACATTTTTGGGGACAATACCATCATCACACACGATCGAAGAGCAGCAGATCCATTCATGGATATTCTGTACACGGCCTCAGGCCCAAAACCAATTGAAAAACGCAAATTGTGCAACGCCGATAAAGAAATCTCATGCTAGCCGTCTATCGCTGCTCCAAGCCACCCTCTGTCACACGCTGAGACTCGTTCACCTCGGCAGCGTCACCGGTAGGTTCGAGGGGATAGCTGGTGGCGGGCAGGGACTTCAGGTAAGCGCGGTGCTGTTCATGAGCCTAGAGAGGTGTTAGCAAAGATCCAATCGTAGCCGGAAAGACCGCGGATATCAGGGGACATACGAAGGGGACACCGCAGTATGTGCAGGTAGCGATCTCGGGCTTGTCGGTGTTGATGAAAATCTTAGGGTGACCGAGAGGGCCACCGCCACCGTCACAGCTGACAACCCTGGACTTTGTCCAGCGGACGGGCTGTCTGTGAATGAGCTCGATAGCAGCATATGGTCGCGGCTAAAGAGTAGCATGTTAGTATCAGTCCTTGAGGCATTGCCAACAGCAATTGCATGAGCACTGCTGTTTTCAACGAATTCGCACCTGGGACTCCATGATTGTCTGCTCAAAGCGAGGTCCAACCATGGCTTTCTCGCGCGGCTGCTGGCTGGAGGCCCAGGTGGTAGCGCGGTTCGGAGCCTGCATGCTCCGGATGCGCTCGCCAACCTCGGGGGCCTCCTGGAGAGTACCATCGTTAGTGGGCTCGGCATTGGTCGCGGAGACATTCGGCGTGGGCTTCCGCGGGGTCGGGTCGTTGACTTGGATAGGGTTCTCGCTCAGACGGGGCACGGTCGAGGAGTATGCGCGGACAACGAAGCGTGGGCGGGCCGACGCAAAGGTCGCAATTCTGCGGCCACAGGACATCATTATGGGCAAGTTTCCCCGGGATGGTTGGTTATGACGGAGGATAAGAAGAGGGTTGGCAAGGGACCAGGTGCAAGTCGGCACTGAATAATCCGCGAGGTGTGGTTTGGTGGGTGGTCACCGCTTGCTGGTTCGAGATAGCTCCACCCAGAACTTGGATTTTCTGCCGCGTCATTTTATTTTGCGTTTCGCAAGTGAAGTGGCTCGACATCTTTCTTTCTCCTGATTTTTAAATTGGGGTTTGTATCCATTAAGATCATCCTTTCAACCCATCATGGCTGGCTCTTCCTCCCCGGCTGGAAAGCCTGAGAAGACCATGTCGTCAACTCTATTGACCATGAAGGTAAGAATGACAGTTTCTTGGTTAACAGCCATACAATTAACACTATATCCCAGTTCATGCGACGCGCTGCAGCTGCCAAAGAAACTCAAAGCCCATCTTCGGATGCTAGCCCGCACAACACCAAGCGCCCCCGTCTCTCCACCGAGGCTGAGAGCCCTTCCACCTCAGATATGGATGCGATCGCGGCTGCACTTGCTGCCGAAGAAGAAAAGCGGCAAAAGGCCGTCGCACGAGCAGCCGCAGAGGCCGGCGAGACACACTGGGTTTTGGACTTTCCTGCTACACCCCAGTCCACTCAGCAGCCTATGGTATTGGCGGCAGATTCGCTGGATGCAGATGATGATACCCATTCCGGTGGTCGGCGTGCATATGGCAATTTCAAGCGCAAAGAGCGCAAAGAGCGCAAGGTCAGTATTCTATATCTTGCACTTGATATTTTGTACTCATTTTTTCTTAGCCCGAGGACGATGAAAATGAAGACACCATAGTCAACCCGTCGAATCCAGAAGAGGTTGCCAAAATGCAGGAAAAATCTAGACTCAAGGCAGAAGCCAAAGCAGGAAAAACACGACAGACGAAACTGTCTGAACTCACTAGTATATCTGGCTCTGGCCGAGCGTCTTTGTTGGGAGCCCCCTCCTCTGACAAGAAAAAGAAGAAGCGCAAGAGCTACTAAACGGATGATTTTCACGATCCCACCTCAGATGTTTTGATTGGCGTTTTAGCATAGCATTTATGGCGTTTTGGGGTTATATCAATCAATTCCTTCTCAGTATCACCTCCTGGTGGTATATGCTTAGCAATCACCATGATCGTTGGCCTACTAGGTATGTACTTCTTTGTGTCCACCATACGACAAGTAAATCAATATCTATAAGCGACGTAGTCAGAAGTTCTTACTTACAACCGTGTTTACTCTCCTTATGGAAGATATTGAATCATGTACCGGGATATTATCATCAAGTATTATTCATCCTCTTCTTATAAACCAGGTCAACATCTATACTCTCGGTCATCGAGAATTTCGGACTTTGTACGGCGATACTGACGGGAGCTCGAAGGATATTCGGTGGGACTTGAAACACAGCACAGGATGAATGTGAGCTTACATGGATATCGTAATAAGAAATTAGTAGGGCCGTATGTTCGAGAGGTGTTCCATAAGAACGGAATCTGAAGGCAGCTTGTTTGGGCGGCTCATTGAGACAATAATCAATGTACATTGTATATACTAGGCCCTAGGCTCTGCTAAGGACCTCACTGAGAGCACTACATAGAGTTAAGTAGCGACCGGCTCTTCCCAAAAAGAAGCAAGAAGATCATCTCAAAGCTTCGCCTTCTCCTCCTGCTTCTTTTTCTCCCACCCCTTCTGCGTCGCGAAATTCACAATCAAATTCCAAGCAGCAACCCCAACCCCAACCGGCGGCACAGCCAACAAGGTCCAAGCCCACCATTTCGGACTGGAAGCTGCAATACTAGCCATAGCCCCCCTAACAGCAACCTCCAGCTGTGCTTTATCAGCATCATTCCAAACCACTACCCCGCGCCCCGTCGTCGTCCCCCGGAACTCCGCCTGCGTCGCTTTCGTCCGCACATCTCCCTGACTCTGGACCCGGTTCGCTGCATCCTCGGCTGTGAGATGTGCATCGCGGGCGCGCAACCGCGCCGTTTGGATTTCAGGATCGTGAACCCCGACCACGATTACGGTTCCGCAGATGAGATCCATCCCGCTCTCGAAGAGGAGCGGTACATCCAGGACAACCGCCCATTGGCCACGCAGGTAGTGGTAGATTAGGGCTTTGTAGACTTCCCACCGTACGGCGGGGTGGACGATGCCGTTGAGGACTTGTCGATCCCGTTTGCGTTCTTCTGTGCTGCCGAAAATGCGCCGCCCTAACGCTGGCCGATTCAGTGGCTTCCCGTTTGGATTTGTAGGCGCATCGTCCAATAGTAGATCTGGTGTACTAGGGCCGAAGTAGTTGACGATAGCTTTGTAGCCTGCGGTGCCGGGTTCGACTACTTTGCGGGCGAGGAGATCGGCGTCGATTATTGGGAGGGAGTAGGGTGGTGTGGAGAGGATGGACGAGACAGTAGACTTGCCCGTTGCTATTGAGCCGGTGAGCCCGATGATCAGCATTTTAGCTTTAGAAGAGGAGAGTGGCAGAATTGTAAAGTTGTAAGAAAATGAAGGTGCTGAATGCGGGGAGATAAATTAGCCTCGGCTCCGCATTAAGCACGTTTTCATGTACGTCACGTCACCTATGCAGCTATGCAGTAGGAGATTCTGGATTCTCTAAATTCCAAACTTCATCCAGTAACTAATTTGCTATATATCCGATAACAAACTTTGGAAAATCTGTGTAGTCTCGGTTGCGAGGGGTATCCTCGGCGTGCACTTGTAGTCGCATGAAGCACTGCAACTTGAGAGCGCATATACGCAGAGCAAGACGCCTAACCCAAGGCAGTGAAAAAGCGGGCTTATATGGCTGATATCTTCCATCATCAATTCAAGTTTCCGGCAATCCATGTGAAGTGTCTTGTACTTGGCCCTTCCACCCAATAGCCGGCCATCCCTTGGGCAGCGAGGAGAATGGTGGCAGGGAATAGCGGTCGTCACAGCCACCTTCCCATGGACAAGTCAGATCGCACAGTCCAAACACTTTGCAGTAGCATTCCTTCGCATCGGGGCAATGTACAGGGTCCTTTCCAAATATCACTGGAGAAAATGTCAGCTTTCGATCGGAACTGGGTCATTGCGGGGAAAACACATACTATGCCATGAATATTCCATAATTCGTCCACTCAAATCATCCTCTAGCGGCGTGTCCGCTAGCCATGTGCGGAAGCGCTCGTAGTCACTGCGCGGCCGTTCCAGCACCTTGGTGCGGGACACACCAAATTGCGCGCAGCACGACACGCCTACCTCCTCTGGGATTGGCATCCCAGGGAATAGCTCCATGAATCCATACTTGAAGTATTCGCCAGCGTGTACATTGCCGCGATGCGTATCCGTGAGAGGACGGATTTCCACCGGGCATCCAAGGGTCCAAACACATCGTAGGTTGACATATCCTTGCTCTTGTAGGTATGGAATCTGGAGATTTTGTAGCGGTGGAATTCCGTCGTAGTACGGGTCGTCGTTGTGCCATTGATAGCGTCGCGAGTGGATGAAGAGCATTGTCTCTGGTAGATTATCGTAATTGTCGATGATGTATCTATTCAACAGCTCGAGTCAGTATGCGACACGAAAGATAACATATTGCATGTCGAACTCACGTCAAATACACCATCGACTCCCGGCCTTTGTTGCGCGCCACCGTCAATGGTGCGTGCTTGTCATCCACCACGTAGATACTTTTCGTCCAGTCGGGGAAGTATTCTGACAGCCATGACGTGTCATCACTTTTCATGCTGGCGACGACCATATCCTTTCGTCTCAGTACAGCAGGGCGAGCCAGCTCGCCTGATTGTTTTGTCGGTCCATCATGTATCTGCGCATAGCTGCCTTTTTCGGTCTTGACGCGGGACTTTGTTGCTGAGAAGAATAAAAGGTATAGGGCGATGACGATGAAGATGGTAAGGAAGATAGCCTTCATGCGACTGCGACGTCGAGGGCCCTGAGGCCCGCTAGGAGCGAACAACATGTTGGATGGAGGGCACTCTGCCCAGGTGGTCAAGTCATTGAGGGGGGAGAAGTTGACGATTAACGGGAAATCAAGGGCCCAGGGAGCTCAAGAAATCCAGGGAAGACAAGTAGGATATACCTGCGATGTTAATCAGATACTAATTCATGTAGTATCTGTGTAGGTAATAAATCCTTGCGATTGTCAGAGACATCTAGGAGGTCGACGTGTCGCAAGTTGAAGTTCTCCACAGCCAAGCTCTAACTAGGCGCTGCGGTGAATAGCTCCGAGTCCACAATTATAGCTTATAGTTAGCAAGGATAGCAACTGTACAGCTATAACAGTTGGAACATATAAAAACAAGCATATTTTCAAATTATTTAGAATGCATATATTGATGTATTTGATATGATAGATTGAATTGATTTAACCACGATATATACATCTGACCGGTAGATATTGTCTTTCCCCCAGGACATACTACCTACATATCCATAGATGTATTCACCCTATTTGCATGCATCAATATGTCCCAAGTACCAGTTGTGTGCTGCAGTATCCGGATTCAACGTCCCCGCATTTCCAGACTTCGAGCCCACGCCGACAATGACATCAATATCAGACGAGGTCACCGTCGTATTGTCGCCACTAGTAATCCAGTACTCAGGACTTGCGTGGCTAAAGCCAACAGTCGCGGGTGGCACCTTAGGCACCAAGTCGTCTGTATGTGTCACTCGCCAGAGACTGCCCTGGTCTGTGATATATTGAGCTAGAGCCTTGTTACCCACCCGTGGCTGGCCATAAGTATACTAGTCTCATTGTGAGTATACACTATCAATTAAGGCAGATTTCCAAACATGGTACTTACCACACTTGGTTCATATCCGCCATTTCGAAGCACAATACCTCCCAACGTGGCAAGGGCTCCGCCATAGCTGTGGCCTGTCACGACAAGAGTGTAGCCCGAGTATGTTGCCTTTGCGGCCTTGATCTTGGATGTCAGATCAGCTGCGACAGCCTCCCAGGCTTCCAAGAACCCGCCGTGGGCTTCGCAACCGCTGCAGATACTACTAGCATCGGTGAAGCCAAAGTTGATGTTCGCGATCCAGTTACTCAGTGTGCGACTGCCTCGGAATGAGACAACAAGTAGCTTGTTTGTCTTGTCAACCGCGAGGAAGCCGGCAACATCACCATAGCTGGAGGTCCTGAAAGGTGTCACTGTATTAGCGAACGACTTGTGAATGACATTGGAAGTTGGTCTCATACTCGTCAAACTCGTATAGAGTAGTTGTGTCAGCGGACTCCACCAAGGGGCAGTTGCCTTGCTCGCAAGATACCCCATCGCCGGTGGAGTTGCTATTGTTCGTGCAGTATGATGCTGCAGCCCACTGCGAGAACAGGGTCAATTGACCGAGCACATCAGCCGACACATCTATTGCTTGCGTCAGTTGGTCAATCATCGGATGGCATGAACAAAAGGCAAACGCATTCATACCTCGAGGAACAGAACGAGAAGGAGCAGCAACCGTCAGCGCCGCAAGAGCAGCGATACTCCAAAGACGACCAAGAAGAAGCATGATGAGGATCTCTGGAGTAGGGCTTTCTCAACGGGTGTGCATACACGTCAACACAACCACGCAGACACAGCTCCCTTATGTATGTTCGGCGAGTCCAAATGGATCCCGTATAGATCCCGAAGTCCTTCACAAATCAGGACAGCTTGAGGGGCGGGGTATAGCGCCCGTTCTCTCGTATATTAAATTGTTGCCGGACTCAGCTCAATCTCCGGGCTTATGGCGCATATTTCACGCGTGACCGGTGGGATTCCGGCGGGATCGACATGGAATTCATGCAACTGTTGAGTTTGTCACCGGGAAATGTAACCCCTCAGAGACACATCGGCTGAGTAGATGATAGTCTGCATAGTAAAATAGCGGAGTATTTCGTCCAATTCGAGATTAGGGCTGTGAGTGGGACGCTTAGTTGCGCCTTGTAATGCAGGACAAAGTTTTGCTGTTGATTTATTTCTTCATGCGATATAAGTGCCGTGAAGACGAATATTTTGGGCTCTTTGCATATCGGGTAGAAATAGCTTGCAAGGTTGTTGATTGGTTTCTGCTTGACTGCTCCAGGTGGTGTTCGACGATCTTTTCTCATCTTATACTAATGGCCCGTTGTGGCAGAAGAAATTCCAGCCACTCGCTTCCGCCCGTGATCGTATCTGTATATGAACTGTTGGACTGTTGAACTGTTCTAGAGGCAACGTCGAACTACGACATTATTATTAAACACGTGTGATCATTAGAAGCGTAAAATTGATTTGACTGTATCCATTCCATTTTCAATGGAGGTTTTTTTCGGTTATTTCTTTTTCCCTTTTCTCTCTTGAGCTCTCGCAAAGAATTCCATTATTGGAGAAGCCCTTCTTCGCCAGTCAAAGCCGTATCCTGTTCATCATCGCTGCCAGCAAAGAACCTCGGGCCCTCGGGACACTCGGTGCTTGGGCCCATACTAGGCTGCGTTAGCGTTTCATTGTCATGAGAATCACTCCCCACTACTGGTGAGACTCGATCTTCATGCCCTCCTCAACTCCTGTCATACCGGTGTCCTGTCCATCTTCTGCGCCATCACCGTTGAGGATAACTCGGGGAGGGATAGTGTAGCCAGGAGGCAGTGGGGTGCCAGGGGTCACAGCAACGATGTTGTCGTTCTCGTCGACCATCTCGAAGTTGTATCGCGATAGGAGATGGGGGATGGCAGAAAGTTGGGGGCCGTAGCGGGCAGTGTTATCGTACAGCTCGAACAGCGGGACAGCCAGCAGTTTCATGTTCTTTGGGACCGATAGAACCTCTAGAATAAGTGATGTGTAAGCAGTGTTTACCGCCCACGTGAGGCATGGGTTGGAACTCACTCTTCTTCGGGAGGCGGATGAAGTACAACTTCTTGCACTCCTTGGGCCGGGTGACATGGCCAGGCAGGAACGGGTACATGAAAGTCTCGAAGTTGGGTCGCCACCATTGCGCAAGTGTATCGCTAATTTCCCAGTCATCATTAACACCTTCGCCAGAGAACTGAGATCCCACAGGTGCAAGGCGCTCGTTCAGGCGCTTCTTGAAACCTTCAATCTCATCATCCTCAGGTTGCAGATAATCACCTGGCCTGAAAGACAATTAGCAGTGAACTGTGAATGTATGCAACTAAATCTCAAAGAACTCACAGCTTAAAGAATGCATTGGCAATCTGCAGCATCAGCACATGGGGATGGTTGTGCTCGTGGCACACCAGGATTCCCTCACAGGTTCGTCGCATTCCATGGAGGCCATAGTGCTCTTCAAGGCGCTTGAGCCGTGCCAGAACCGAAGGATCCTCTTCCGGCTGTGTCTCCTTGGTGCCGAAGGTATAGTTCGACAGAGGATACAGCCGGACAGTCTCCGGCTGCTGAGCGGTGAAGTCCTTAGGGACAATGGGCCTAGAAGGTTTGTGTTAGGTCGCATTGCCATTTCGGAGTTGCATCCATACTACTTACGGAAATCCACTGACAGGAGCCTCCTGCGTGGTAGTAGCCATTTCGACGAAGCAATTGTTGTTATTGTCGAGAACGGCGAGCTGTCTAAAGCTCCGATGTCACTATCGCTTATCAGCGTTGACCGCCTTCCCAAGTTCAACTGTGGAACATCGAGTATACAACTTAGTAAGAATAACTAGTTAACTATAGCATTATTTGGTTACTTGATGTAATTTAGAGGGCATGCTACTATACTATATAGCCGTATATATAAAAAAAATAGCAATGTCGAATGAATTTAACTCTGTGGACCTTGCGGTTGAGAAACCGATGACTGACTGTATGTACCTTTTATATGTGAAGCCCTAGCAAACGGTACATTTGACGGAAACCCTATGTTATGTTGTACACCCACTTGTCAACCTTACAAGGACCGGGTGCTATAATACTCGTCTGAACGTAGTTTGTTTGATTATTATCCTTCACTATATCCTTCAATTGACAAACACCCCAACTCTCGGAGCCATGCAACCCAGACCAACACCAAACCTACTCCATGTATACTATTCATAGCTTGGCATCAAAATCCTCATACACGCTCAAATCCATCGCAGGAACAGGGCCAGCGCTAACAGGCAAGCTTGCCTTGAAGGTTGACACATCGGTGATAATGACAGGCTTTTGGGCCTCGCCATTGCCATTAGCCGCACCCTGAATGTCACTGCCAGAGCCAAGACCCAGCTCCTTTAACTGAGCACTGAGTTTCTCGTCCAGCGTCTCAAGGACAGGCTCGAACTTCTGCTGCGACAGGCCGGTCTCGGTCAAGAAATTCTTCACAGCAAAGATAACCTGGGACTTGTCCGCCGCTGTCGCGTCAACCGAATCGAATGCCGTAGTGAAGCGGGCAGAATCCACGATGAAGTCTGCGGCTTCGAGGTGCTTGGTGGCTACTTCGATAAGGCGCGTTCTCTGTTCAGCTGGTTTGGGCTCCTCAACCTGCGCGCCTGCCTGGGCGTTCATGTGGATGGCGAGCTTGGCGCGTGTGGCCGAAGAGGGGTCGATGTATTGCTGGTAGAATGTAACGAGATCCGCCTTGGTCAAGGAGCGCACATTGGCTGCGTCGGTCTCATGCTGAAGGAAATCAAAGCGCTCAGATCCGATATGCGACCAGTACCGGCCAGTCTCAGAGCCTAGGTTCTTGAGTTTCTCCAGGCGCTTGTTCACGACGCTGCGCTTGTAACCCTCGAATTCTTCTTCGGGCATCTTCTCGAGGATGGAACCGAACTCACGGAGGAAATTCTCAATGCGCGATTCCAGATAAGGTGCCGTGCGCTCACTCTGGATAATGACCCGGTAGCCCATAGTGATGGCGTTGTAGCGTGCGCCACTCCACACCACATATCCGAGCTGTTCCTTGCTGCGCAGCTGGTCGAATGCAGGTTCGTCAGTCAGCTGCGCGAACAGCTGGACCTTCGATCGCAGGACGTCGTCGGCGAAGAGCCCGATATAGAGGAAGTACTCAATGCAGTGATTGACGTTGGCCGGATCCTTGAGCGACCGGGGGTAGACATAGTTGGCACCGGGCGGCAAGATCATGTTGCGGCGCAAGTACCACTGCGATGGAGGCAGAGGGCGGCCTCCCAGAATCTTCTCAATAGAGTCGGTCATACGCAGAGCATCCTCCTTGTACAGGTTTCCGTGGGCCAGCACTTCGATGTGGGTCTGCTCAAGCAGCTGGGGGAAGAAGTTGACCACATCATGGGACTCAACATGCTCCAGCTCTTCAAGATACTGCTCATTGATCCAGCTGCGCTCGGCAAGAAGATAGCGAGTATAATCCCCGACCTGGTAGTAAGGCTGCTGGTACTCAGCATTGCGGAATGCCCGCGCCAAGCGCTCTTTGATAATATCGAACCGATCCTGGTTGACAACTAGCCCATGCATAGTGTTGAGTACTTTGTCCAACAGAACGGACATCTTGTCGTTATATCCGCTCACGGAAATGTCCAATCCCAAAATGTTCGCCGAGAGATTGTAGTCTAAGCCAGCAAGCTCGGCGTCGTAGGAGTATTCATCTAGCGAATCCCGAACCAACTCGCTGTACAGCTTTGTTTTGATGAGATTGCCAGGCGTGGCCCACACCAATGAATTGCGGAGCGTTATCTCGACACTGGCCTTGGGCACCCAGAAACGGTCATCCTTCTTGAACCATAGACGCACCCGGTCGTCATGGCGAATCAGCTTAGGGTTGATAGCTGGCTCGGCAACCTCCTTCTTTTCTACCGAGAGTCTAGTCGGTACAAATTCGTTCTTGTGAGGCATGTGCACGTTGGAAGTACGGGTAGCCTCAGTCGACTCTAGAGCCTTCTGAAGACCACCCAAGAACTCCTGTGGAATCTTCTCGACCTTGTATTCGGTACCATACCACTTCTCCTTCTGATCCCATGTACCCGGGAACTCCTGGGACACAACGATCAGACGGAAGTTGTCAGCCCGCAGATAGCTGAGCGCCTTCTTGATCAGGTCAGAGTCAAATCGTCGCAATAAAGACCCGCTCAGAAGCCATTCGTTAGGCAGTGACTTTTGCATAACGCTGCTCAACCGGCTGGTGAAGCGACTAGCCGGGGTCTTCTGCTTGAACCGGAAATTGACCTCGGCAAGGTTCTTCATCTCGTCGAAGATCCACTGCTCGGGCTCGCGTTGCTTGATCATGGCAATATACTCGAAGACGACGTTTGCGACTTCCTGGTATTTCTTTAGACCTTCGGGGGTCAAGCGCACCGAGATAGTGAAAAATGCAGACCCAGCGCAGACAGGCATGGCGCCTGCAGACAGACCATTGGCCCACCCCTTGGTCTTGAGATAAGAAAGAACACTGCCCGGGCCCTCATGGCCAATCAGATGGCTGATATAACGGCTAGGCTGGGTTTCATGCATCTCCTCCTCATCAAGGAAGGGGAAATACATATCCATGGATCGAGTATCCATAACCGGCTTCACAAAAACCTGGGTGCACATGTCCTTCTCAGTGAAGGGCTGAACACCGTCCCAGCGGTTCTTAGCCAGGTTCTTGTTCTCGACATCGGAAAAGAGCTCGGAGACCCACTGCTCCAGGGTGTCCAGAGATTCTCGTCCTAGGACAACCAACTTCGCCCGATTGGCCGAGTAGTGCTTCTCGTAGAAGCGGATGAACTCACTGCGGACTTCCAGACCACGTTTCTGTGGATCTTCTTTCAGGGTCTGCAGATTACCAGTCGAGAAGTGGCTGTAGGGATGTTTAGGGTTTGAAAGCGACTTGTTAAGTTGCATCAAACGCCACAGGTCACTTTGAAGGTTCTTTTTATTTTCCGAATCCACCGCCTGCAACTCCCGGTCTAGGGTTGACTCTAGGAAAAGCGGGGCAACAAAGAACTGGGCAAACCGATCTAATGCGCCGTAGAGGGGCGACTTCCCATCTAAGGCACTCCCATTTGACACGCCATTGTTATCATTCGTCTCGGCAGGGGTGCTGTCTCCACTGGATTTTGGGGCACTGGAGTCACCTGTGGCGGACACTTCAAAGAAGTAGTTCGTTTCAGTGGCGGCTGTGTAGGCATTGGATGAACCAGAGTGGGACGCCAAGTACTGGTTGTATGCATTTTCCTTCGGGTACTAAACAACAGGGATCCGGTTAGCACTAACCCTGGCTAGGAATATGGTTGCGGTGGTAGCTTTTAGGTTGTAGGTTGTTAATTTACCTTTTTTGTGCCCATAAATAGCAAATGCTCTACGGCATGAGCCATTCCTGGCATATCATCTTCATCAGAGAAGTTGCCAACATTGACATTCACGGCAGCACTGGCCTTATCGGTGTCCGGGTCATGAACTAGGAGGGCCTCTAGCTTGTTTGGCAAACGGATGACTCGATAAGAACGATCATCAAGCTCTGGTCTCTCCAAGTTCTCTGTAATACGCTCGATTTGAGCCATGGTCGGGGGTGTGGCGGTGAAGTTTGGGGTTGAATGGGAGAATGAACGGCGGGTCCAAAGGACGGAAGAAAGAATCTGTAAAGGTACGGGCCGCGCTGAACGAATACTGGTCACAGTAATACGTGACAACAAATCGGGACAAGGGCGGGTTGAGCTGCGAATGAGACCTTTGTGACACAGGTTTGCTGCAGAGGACCTTGGAGGCATTCAGTTGCCGAGGGGAGAGGGAGAGGCCAATGACGTGACTGATAAGGTCAATGCACCTAGGAATTCCAGAGGGTCTAAGAATGAGACGCGTTAATATATACTTCGATATATATTGAGTGGGATTATAAACCAAATGGAGGGGCCTCGGGGTGATGGATGTTGTAAAGTCGACTGGGAGACAAGCGATGTTGATCCAGCCGGGCCTGGTGGAAATACTGCCCAGCTACTCGAGGCGGTGATAGACCCTCGTAGCCCTAATACGCGCTCTCATCTACCGATGGCGTTTTTCCAAACAAGGCAGACTCGTATCCGACCAGGATTAGACTTGAAATTATAACAATATTCCCATTAGCAGATAGCTACATACATCGCAGGGTCCTGGGTGGCTCCACGTCGAGGCTCTACCTTTCCCCGCAGCTCCGCAGGTCAAAACACAGGGGCTAGTGGACACGGTCCCCACCATTATATCGAGCTATCACATACGTATGGATCCGGGCGCTTAGCAGTTGGCTGCACAGAGGTCCAGGTTGACACTAGTGTCGGAGTTGCAGTTCTTTGTTTGGCTGCCACCGGGGTTGACACCCTGCGCCCAGCAGATGTTCGAGCAAGTTGTGTCTGTGGGCCGCACGACAATCGACTTGCCGGAGAATGGGTCACCGAAGACATCTGACAGGTCGTACCAAACTGTGCCTGGGTCCAGGGTGTAGGCAAAGTTGGTCTGAGGGCTGCCGTTGTACAGACCGTTGTCAACGGTGGTGATCTTAAGCGAGATGCCACCGGAGGCACTATCGTGGTGCAGAGCTTCGGTGTAGCTGCCACCCGCCGGGATGGTTTGCTTGGGGCCAACACTGCCACCAACGGACCACAGGTAGACTGGGAATTGGCAGTGGTTGGTCACGATAGCGTTGCCAACGGCGCTAGCAAGCGGTGCCATGGCGGCGACGGAGGCAATAACGGCAGTGGAAAAGTGCATATTGGTAGGATCAGTTGGCTTGAGGTCAAGTAATAAAGTCTGTTCGAGGTGATGAGAATATCTCTCTCAGGTAGGATTCGAAGCCCTTTATATAGTTTCCTTGGTGGATTGAGCATCAGTTTCCAGCCTATACCTGGTTCTCCTTTGATACGAGCATAAACTAGATTCTAAAAGGATTGCTAATGGGAAGAATGACGGTTACTCACCAAATCCAAGACACCTCATCCCAAATCAACCTATTGAAGCCTTAACCACTTGGGCAGTGGTCAGGCCATCCTTCCTTTCGTATGATCTTACCAAATCCCCGCATCACACGGCCAACAGTTTTCCAACGTTGATGTCAGTGGAGATGCGAGAGATAAAAGGGTCCATGGGTGTAGCGAAAAGAATACGATGTCTCAGAGCGCTCCGACCCGATCATTGGATGTATACATTGCATAGGCAAGAGCAACAATTATGAGATTAGCATGATCTTTCTGCTTATGCATGCCAAGTGTGGAGAGATAGAAAAACCAAGGGCTTTCTGGCATAACAATGGAACGAGTTGTGTCACGCCTGGATTTCTGGGGTAAAAAGTGAGACATTGTTACATACATCCAGGGACAGCACGCAGATCAACGCCATACTGAGAAAGTAATTATACGATATGTATGTCTAAATTGAGCAGAAATCAGCTCATACTCGCCGCTCTGTCTTAGAGACTACTAAGCTCTAGAGCCATGGTTGGTGATGTGTCATAGTGAAGTCCCAAATGTCTCAAAACTCCAAAAATGTGCTGATATCACTGCTGCACAGGGGCCCAGGGACTTCACACCTGACGTCTTCTCTGGTGGCGGTGGACGAGAAAGTATTAGAGGCGACAAATATCAAAGAGAGAAATGTTTTCCACAACCTATTTTTATCTGCGGGGGGATTCCCCTGTTGAGAAATGATAAGCAAATATAGTAACAGGACTGGCAAGATAATTTCATGTCATTACTAGGGTATGAAAAGAGGGTTCTTCGATAACAGACCGCATAACACCATGTACAGCCTTGGGAATTCTACGGTTCACGCTCGCCGAATCGATCAGGAACCAGTAAAAGCAATCACGAATCTTCGTCTGAGTCCTCCTCTGTCCGGTCAGCACGATCGGATATCCACTTGAACACTTCCTCCTTATGCTCGTCAAGCATCTCGTTCAGGTCCGTTTTCGGGGAATGAACCAGCTGTCCGTAGCGCTTGGAAGGCCGTCGGTCCAGGCTAGTCCAAATACCATGGGAGTCTGAAACAAACACAAGGGAGTTCTGAAATGAAAATAATAGCGTGAGTAATGTATATCATTGACGAATATATTGTGGGTGGCTTACCTCGCGGTACCACTTCGAGAGCCACGTCTGCGTCTGGGATGCGACCGCGCGGACGGGGTCTACAGACACGAAGGAGATCACGCCGTTGACACGCTTGTAAAGGTTTTCTGCTTGGTAATTAGCAAAGCTGCATAGCCGGATACCCGATTGGCCTAAACATACCCCTGTTGATTAGCAAGTTCGACACGCCAATGAAAGCGTTGCCGACGCCGAGCAGGAAAATTTCGGTTGCCTGGTTCGCACTTTGATAACTTGTCAGCTCAATTTAATCAATGTTCTTCGCCGGTCATCGCTCACTCGATGTAGTTGTCCCACAAGTATCCGGCAAGCTCTTCGGTGGCAGACGGGCGGTCCTCGTCGTCCACCTGGTATTTACCGGCAGTCTAAACCCATCCAAATTAGTTGATTGCCCGTATAAAGGGTTGCATAGCTTGACTTACCTCCTTCCGAGTTACGAACTTGGGAATGTTAACATCGATCACCGCGTAGCCCTTGCCCACGATCCATTTCACATAATCCGAGAGCGAATCGGCCTTTTGTTATGTTAGCGGACAATCTCAGTCAGCCATCTTGGGTCACGTACCAGCCACACATTGTGCGCTTCCAACTTATTGGTCACGGGATGAGCCTGTCCCACAATCTCAGGGCTAGATACTGTCAGTTATAGCTCTGGCGGTTGATTATCGGAACACTTACGGATCGTGGAAGATGACAACAAGCGGCACACGTTCGTGATAGTTTGTGCTGCCAGATGGTGAGTCCAGGTTAGGATATCAAGGTACGGTGCAACTTACCTTGCCAGAACTTGTTTGTCAAAGGACTTGGAAATGGCGGTGCGATAAATGTGGAGCGGGGTGAGCTTGCAGGTTTCATACAGCTGGTTCGACTGGTGAACACGGAGGATATCTAGAGGGCTTATCAGCTCTGTTGAGTAAGAGATAGTCTATAATTCTTACCGTGAAGACGATTCGCGTAGATCGGGTGAGCAGATGTCTTGGGGTACAGGCGACTCCAATACTGGGATTGGATGCTCCTCACCCGGCGGACTGTTGCGACCGCAGAGTCTGTCGGAGAACTGCTCAACAAACGGTCAGGGGGTTCCCCCATAAGGGTCTTGGTCACAGCCAGAGCCGACTTGGAGATAGACTTGAAGTTGTATCCGCCCTGTTTCAACGTCAGATCAAGCAAGCAACAATTTGGAGAGGCAATTGACATACCTCCAAGCAAACAGCGATCTTTCCATTGGCCAAAGTCATGAGCATGTGGATCATTTGGGCATAACAAGCTGGCGAGACAAAGCAGGCACCCAGTACATCGCCAGCGGCAGCATCAAACCCAGCAGCGACTATCATGGTCAATAACTCTATACTAGATAAAAAGAGGGGGTATGCTCACCAATCACCATGTCGGGATCGAATTCTTGGGCAATGGGCATCACCACTTCCTGGAAGGCGAACATGTAATCGCCATCGCCCATACCCTGGTCGGGCCATGGAATATTGACATTTCTAAGAAGCGTGAGACTTTAGCCATTTCATTCATATGCTTGAGGAAAAACTCACTTTCCGACTCCGGCGCCTGAGCCACATTGATCTGAGTCTCCAGCAGGGCCTCCAGGGTAGAAGCGACCGTCTTGGTAGACATGCATGGAAATGTAAAGAACATTAGGGTCCTCGTAAAATGCTTGCTGGATGCCGTTGCCTAAGATCTGTAAGCTTGGATTGTTTTCAAATGTCATACTATGGGTCTAAGCATACCATGGTGAACGTCCCTAGCACAAGTTAGTATTTCTGCAGTGACCAAACGGTGATGTGGGGTACTACTGACCAGTCAAGAATCATGATCTTCCGGCAAGCGTCTCCTAGTCTATTTTGGCAAACGCGTGCTGCAACAGACACATTGTTGAATAGACAGAATCCCATCGCAGAATCATGCTCGGCATGGTGACCGGGTGGGCGAATGACGGCTATAGCATTTTTCACCTGACGTTGGGCGACGGCTAAGCATGTCTCGATTGCGCCTCCAGTAGACAAAATGGCCGAAGCGAAGGTCAGATTATTAAAGTAGATGGAGTCACGTTCCTTTTCGAGCTGAATAAGTTCATCGTTGGCCATATCTATTGGTCGAGTCAGTGAATCTATCCAAGCCAGCTTTTCCGGTAGTAGCAAGACATACCTGTTGTGCTTCGAACAAATGCGTAGTGCGCTTCATCATGGACGAGGGTGATTTCCTCCTCGGTTGCATTGCGAGCCTGGATCCGTTGCAAGGTTTTGGGTGCCAAAGGCCGACTCGATTCTGGGTCGTCAACAAGACCGGCGCGACATAACTCCTTGTAGATGTAGTAGATGCGTCTGGGATCCTCTGGATGAACGTCACTCTGTGGACAAACCTCGCAGTGGTAACGCATGCGAGGATCATAACAAAGTCCTGAGGCAAGCGACGCCAGTGGAAGACCCGCCTTAGCCATGACCTCGTCGTCAGACCAGTCAGAGTCGGGCTCAACCAGGCTATCACGTTTTGACAACTGTTCGACGGTGAAAATATCACCTTCACCGATCTTGGTCAAATGTTCAGGAGGGGCCATTCCGGTGGAGGCGATGACCACCGGAGGTTGAGATTGCTCGGAGCCAGGTGTTAAGGATGCAGGAATCGCTTGGTGAATGGAAGAAGGAGGAAGATTGGGAGTCGGGTGATTGCTGAGATGCGTGGGAAGATGGAATCGGTTTGCAGTCAAGGTGGAGGTGGTATGGGAATCACCCATAACTGTATCCTCGTCTTCGTCCATCATGAGAGGGGAAGCCGCGGAAAGCTCTCGATATAATTCAAGCTTGGCTCTTATTAGCTCATTACCAAGCACTACCACAATAGAGGTGTTGAGCTTGTATTGGCAATCTTGGAGCTCAATATCAAACTAATAGTGATTCGGTTGATGTTCCTGGTCCAGGCTGTCGAATGCGCTTTGCACAGCAGAATTTGAAATATATCAATCGGTCAAATGTTCCACTTGTTAAACAAAGATTTTGTTTCACCAAATATTATAGGAATGTCTGAAGGTGCGATTTGAGCAAGCATACGGTGGTATACCAACGTCTCCTGCCGTATATTCGACTGACGCTGCAATGCACCCACAGTATGATGAAGCAAGAGTGATCTTCAAGTGAATAATTTCTAAGAGAGATTCAATTTTAGACCTTCATGTAGTGGGTAAAAATGAAGAACAGAATCCAAGTCCACTGAGTGACAAAGAGACAAGGGAATGGATCATTGGATCCCTTTTGGGCCAGTCTTTCTTATTGCCAGACATTCTTGAAGTCACCGCCAAATTGACCGCCGCTCGGAATGGATTGGCGTGATATATTATAATTGGCGGTGAGCATTTAGTATGTACTGACTTATCGTTATCAACAACCTTCCAAGGTACATGGATAAGAACAGTCGGCCTATACGGCCTCTATACTTGATGAGCTAGGTATTTACATAGTTCTAAGGTTAGCCAGAGGTGATTCAGCTATGATACATTGAAGATGATGACTTTTGTATAAATTTTCTTGGATATCTTCTCTTATCAACATCTAGACAGAAGGAATGATCGATCACAGACCATGGAATTTGGTGGAAGGCATAATGCTACAAAACGACATTTCCATATGTAACATGTGATGTACCCAGTTATATGTATGTACATAGGCACATATGCAGGTAGTTAAGACATGCAGCATACTTCCAATGGTCAACATGTAAAAGCTTAATTTTGGCAAGTGTGAAAGTGCCTCGGGATTAGATTGATTGTATATGTATATGGAGGCAAAGCCATTCCAACCAAAAGGATTACGATAGTACAGCTCTATAGCAGATTGGAGAAAATGAATTGGAAATGGTTGGTTTCATTAAATGACGTTATCATCTTGTTTTTTTCTACCAGGCGGAGTCCTCATGCACCCATATCCGTAGGCTGTGGAACAAGGAGCTCAGCACCTTAAAGAACACTCTTGACCCCATGACGGGGTCCTGATTCCTACTGGGAATCCACACCGGCAATGTAGGAGATGAGGTCAACAACACGGCGAGAGTAACCCCACTCGTTGTCGTACCAGGAGACAAGCTTGACGAAGTGGGGGTTAAGGGCGATACCGGCGGCGGCATCGAAGATGGAGGAGCGCGAGTCACCGTTAAGATCGGTGGAGACAACCTGGTCCTCAGTGTAGCCGAGGATACCTAAAATAGTTTGTCAATATGAGTTGTAGACGTGATCGAAAAAAAAATAACTCACCCTTGAGCTCGCCACTCTCGGAAGCGGCCTTGATGGTGGCCTTGATCTCATCGTAGGTAGCACCCTTCTCAAGGCGACAGGTGAGGTCGACAACGGAGACGTTGGCGGTGGGGACACGCATGGCCATACCGGTGAGCTTGCCGTTGAGCTCGGGGATAACCTTACCGACAGCCTTGGCGGCACCGGTGGAGGAGGGGATAATGTTCTGGGCCGCGGTACGGCCACCACGCCAGTCCTTGTTGGAAGGAGCATCGACGGTCTTCTGGGTGGCGGTGTAGGAGTGGACGGTGGTCATGAGACCCTCGACGATGCCGAAGTTATCGTTGATAACCTTGGCGAGAGGAGCCAAGCAGTTGGTGGTGCAAGAGGCGTTGGAGAGGACATTGATATCCTTGGTGTAAGACTTGTTGTTGACACCCATGACGAACATGGGGGCATCGGCGGAGGGAGCGGAGATGACGACCTTCTTGGCACCACCCTTCAAGTGGGCACTGGCCTTCTCCTGGGTGGTGAAGACACCGGTGGACTCGACAATGTAGTCGGCACCGGCCTTACCCCAGGGGATGGCAGAGGGGTCACGCTCGGCGAAGAAGGCAACCTTGTGGCCGTTGACAATGAGACCGTCATCAACGTACTCGATGGTGCCGTTGAACTGACCGTGGGTGGAGTCATACTTGAGCATGTAGGCCTATTCCGACGGGAGGTTAATATCATTATACAATCGGTTGGGTTGACCAGAAACATACAGCGTAGTGAGTCTCAATGAAGGGATCGTTGACAGCGACAACCTCGACGTCTGGGTTGAGGAGACTATATTGAGGATGGGTTAGGATGGTTCTCGGGTCATTTTGTTCTCTCTCTCTCTCTCTCCTCCTGCGGGTTGTAACTTACGCATTGCGGAAGACCTGTGATGCTGTTAGTAACTGAAGCTGACCTGTGGTGATCCAGAGAATGACTTACAATGCGGCCAATACGACCGAAACCGTTGATACCGACTTTGACAACCATGATTGCGGTTTACTAGAAGCTGTTAGCTCAGGTAGAGGAAGGACAGACAAGGAAGGATAGAGAAGGGATGGACGTACTGTAATAGTGAAGTAATTGAAGAAAGGGGAAGAAGTGGGATGGAGAGAGAAAAGAAGAAGAGGAAAAAATATCTGGGGGAGGGGGAGGATTAATGAATGGATGACTGACGCAATGGACAGATCACGCCCCCCCGTCTCACCGAATCAACCCTTTCACTCCCACACAGCCCGTCAGATCAGACCGAGCTAGATTTCCCGAATGTTGCCGTTGGCACATCCGCCCAGCAACCCATTTCCGGTTTCATACACCGGGGAAAGCAGGAAGGGCCACGATATTGGGGTCCTCATCTGCCCCTCGGTAGCTCCCGTCTACCAATAGGAGCCCGCTAGACCCAACTGCTCTTCGGGTTCTCACTACGCTTCGGAGCTTTCTCTTGAATCTTTTGCCTATTCGGTGCCTATATTCGGGTATACGGAGATGAGCACGATAATCTTAGGTACAAATATCTGTAGGCGTTCCCGAGGTTGACTAAGGAAGCTATGACGATGTGGTTTGGAGGGGTCGATGAGGGGCAGGAATGTAAGTGATACAACATAGGTCTACAACATATAGAAGGGATTGTCCAGTTAAACCCGTAGAATTAAATATATCATTATTATTATCTTCTTTCGAACGGAAATGCTCGATTCCTCCACTTTGGCGGGCCAACCGTGCCGCTTAAACCACTGCGGTGGACGGATCGAGTATGGTGATCTAACTTGGTGGCTCCCTCCGCCCTGAAAGGAGTCACCGGTATCTCACATGGGGCCACGAGACTCTCATGGTTTTTTATTTGTTGATTGGAATTATTTCATTTGAGCTTGGGAGGGATTTGACTACTGGGGTACCCAATAACTATTCTAATCATTGGATGATGATCAAATGCCGCAACAGCACCAATCACAAAATGAGATCCTACAACCTGTGGTATCTCACTGGTAATCCCTCATGCCTAGGTGGTAGCTGTGGGAGCCCAGACCTCATCAGCCCATATCAACGTAGGATGCGGAGCCGATACACCAGTGGCGCAATGTCCAGATGGGTGCCACGACTGAGCGTCCTTTTGTACAGGATCTAGATCGTACAATCTGGGGGATGGCATGACCACAGGATTCAAGAAGGATTAAAGATATAGTCCAGGCCCGATCCAGAAAAGGAGAGTCTGGACTTGAAAAAAAGGATGAATTATGGATTATGATACAATGGGGAGAAATGAACAGTGTGCTATCATTCATATCGGCCATCGAATACCCATAGCTAGGGGAAATCAATTGATGGCCTAGAGCAACCCAGCGTTTGTATTTATTCCTCCTTGACACCACCGCGCCAGTTCTTCTCGGCCGCCTCGATGGAGGCCTTATCGCTCTTGGGTCCGCCCTGGGACATGAAGCCACCGGCGGCCTTGAAGGGACGGGCGAGATCACCAGTAGCGGGCTTGCCGAAGACGTAGATCTTGGCCAGGTTGGACTCGAAAGCGCCCTTGAGGGGGATGATCGACTGGATGAGGAGGGGGTTGGTGTACTGGAAGTACAGGTGCATCACGCCCATCATGCCGACACCCATCAGCTGGCTGCGGATCAGCTGGCGCAGCTGAGCCTTGTCGTAGTCCATGTTGGTGGTCGTCACGGGCTTGGGCTCCTCGGTGCTACCCATCGTGGGGGGCTCAACGTACTTGAGGGTTGTCATGTCTGGGGAATCGCGTTAGTTTTGGTTTTTAGTCATGGAGCACGCGATCGATCGACGTACCCTTCTTTTGGTTGATCTTCAGGTGGGTGTACAGGTGGACAGCCAGGATGAGAAGATTAGACAGGATATAGCATGCGCGCACCAGCATCAAGACTTGAGGGTCCTCAAAGGGAACCTTCTTGGACAACTGCATCATCACCAAGATGATGGCGAGGTTGGTACTGTGCGACCATGGTCAGTTTCCGCAAAGATAGATGTTGGATTTGAATCGAACAATTGTCGATCAAGCATACATTTGAGGAGACACCATTTTGCCGGACACTTGGACACTTTTCGATACGGGGAAATCGTTGAGTATGGGGGAGACAACGCGAACAAAATTGAAAGCCGCGGGCCACCTGGCATTTCTGGAAGGTCAGGGAGTCGGAAGAACAGTTATCCCGACGCGATCTATCCGCTATCGCCATCTTATGGCCTGAGGCATTTTATCTTGTAGCCTGATACATAAGGCTAGTATATCATGTGACCTCCCCCACTGCCGGTAGCTGGTAGCTGTGATGGTCCAGCTTCAAACCAGACCAGCTTATTTGCAAAACATCAGCACCACCACACCAGTGAACTTATATTTTGGCTTAGAGTTACACAATGGTGTGGGTTATGACAACTACAGGGGTTTCGTATGTGAATACGGCCATGGATGCCGGAGACCTCCATTGCAATCGGACGGCTCAAGGCCACACTTGGCTTCCGTCATGGTCTCCTCGAATACCAAAACTCACTATGGCTTCTGTCTATTTTTGAGATAGAGAAAAACAAGTGATAACCTTCACAGCAACTGATTCCTAGATCATTCAAATGGCTCCACAGAGGGCCATCTATACAGGCAAGAAACCGAATGCTGAGAAAGGACGGTTCCCTTTTCGGACTAGCGCCAAGTGTCTTTTTGGCACAGTCGGCGCCTGGCACATTCTGACTTCTCCATCCATCAACAACGCGCGTATTTTCCGCACTCTGAATCCCCTCCACGTCCCCACCACGGCCAGATCGTCTCGATTTCTGTTTCTATCTGCTGTACCTACCTCTGCGACCGTCTTCGCACATTTATTTCGCAATGGCTGGTGGAAAGGGAAAGTCTATCGGTGGAAAGGGTGGAAAGGGTGATGCTGCGGGGAAAGCCCAAAAGTCTCACAGCGCAAAGGCTGGTCTGCAGGTTAGTGGGATCATGGCTTGTCTATTACTTGGCTAGGAATCATTTCATCTGAGAGTGGTAAAGCGATACGGGCGATGAGTTACTCGATGAAACTGCCTCGAAGACGCGTCGACTCGGTTCCTCTTTGCTGTTCGATAAGGGGTAGTTTCTTTCGCTATACGTGCCGTCGCACGCCCTCTCTTCCGACCATGTTTTCCTCGAATCGCCAACGGTTTCAAATGACGCGACTACTAACCCATTTTCACTCTCCAGTTCCCATGTGGACGTGTTAAGCGTTTCTTGAAGAACAACACCCAAAACAAGATGCGTGTCGGTGCTAAGGGTATGCTATGTCGCTTGGACGGATCTCCGACGTGACCTGTCGCTAACACTTTTTCCCACCTAGCCGCTGTCTACGTGACCGCTGTTCTTGAGTACCTGACTGCCGAAGTTCTCGAACTGGCCGGTAATGCCGCCAAGGATCTCAAAGTCAAGCGTATCACTCCTCGCCACCTCCAGCTCGCCATCCGTGGTGATGAAGAACTGGACACCCTCATCCGCGCAACCATCGCCTTCGGTGGTGTCCTTCCCCGCATCAACCGTGCACTGCTCCTGAAGGTCGAGCAAAAGAAGAAGGGTGGCAAGATCGAGCTCTAAATCAACCTCTGAAAAGTTCCGGAAAAAAATGGGCTGGCAGCGGGAGTAGTCGAGACCTCAACACCTCGACTCCCAGCCCTCCGACCAATCCCGGCCGCCCTTTTTTTTCAGTCCTCTCGTCTTTGTTTTTCATGGCGCTCTACTTTGATATATTTTTTCTGATATTCCCCGGTCTTTGCTTTCAAACCTGCTTTTTTTTCATTCGAGTTCATAGGGCGCTGTAATGGGAAAATGGGGATATCCTGGTAGTGGGAATTTTACTGATTCGATGTGCTTCACCTTCACTGACTATGTGGTAATTGTAGGATTATGTATTGTAGATTTTCACGCAGTCGAATCCCAGGATAATGCTTCCGTGATCGGACCGATTATCACATTCCTGAGGGGTCAAATATTGATAGACACTTGACCTTGCATATAAAGTCACGAACTTTGTTGGCTCCACGGGGGATCGACAGGGACAAATATGCATAACTACGATAAACAACGCAACGGAACCGCGTCATTTGTTCTTGGCATCTATATTTTGGGTTAATAGGTTCGTTTTTACTATTGGAAATTCAGATTGGAAGTACAGAGTAGAGGTTCTATTGTCAGAATATTTACACACAACTATGATCTCGACTCACCTACTGGTAGGATAGAAGTCAGGTTGAAGGTAGATGGATTGAACAGTGAGAATCTGAGTACAAAGGCAAAGGCAATGGAAAAAAAAAGAAATTGCTGGACTGCAAAGACACCAAACAGGAAGAGGAATCCCTTCAGAATGGGAGTTGGAAAAATATATCAACATCACTGACACAGGAATGCAGAAAATGCATCCACACTGCATAAGGTAGATCTGTAGAATCTGCACAGTCGAAGGCAGCAGAATCACAATATAGCTGTTTCAGAAACAGCAGTGGTCCCTGATCACCATTCCGCGAGACGAACGACCAAGGGGAAAGCAGTCAAAGCACGCGGAAAAGAAAGCAAAAAAAAGTGAAAATGAAGAAACAGGCATGTCACAACCGCCTTACCCGGACAGATCGAACATGAATTTCCCCGAAAGATTAGGGGAAAGCGGTTGTCGGGGTAAGACGGGCCAGAAACATTAAAACGGATGCGAGTCACCCCATGTACAAACTAAAACAGACAAGAATATGCAAAATGCTGGTATTGTCGTTTCTTCTGCCATCGGCAAAATGTCTTTTGTGTCATTCTTCGTATGCATCCCATATCACCAGGAGGCGTTCGGGGTCGTGGAGTTCGTTCCGACACAGCATAAATAGAAATCCATGGATTTGCATGCAAGGCGCCCGCAATATCAGAAAGTGTTGGAAATAAAAAAAATATCAGTCCAGAACAAGTCCAGAGTCTTCTTGAAACTGTGTGAGTCGGGGAAAAGTTCAAAAGCGTTCATCCAAACCGCGTGTCTTGGGCTGCCCCAAAAAGAAAGAAACGTCTAAAACTTGGCTAGATCAGCGAAACAGAGGATTTTCTGGTCTTTTTTTTTTGTGTTGTTGTCATCTCGTCATCCCTCATCGAATCGTAAGCCGGTAATTCGCAGAACAGGGACTCGTAATACAAGTCGTATTCATCTCGCGGCAAATCAGTCGGATGCTGGCAATAAAAAGGGGAGTCGCCATCTTCAATAAATTCGTCCAATGTTCTACTCCACAATGATCTCTACTCCGGAGTTGGTGCGGAGTTCATCACTTCCGCGGCTTTGGTGGCCGTTCTGACGGCGAAACCCGGGGCCCTTGTCGGGGGTCGGGCCGCGGGGTTGGCGGACGGGCATGCGCTCCTGCTGGCCGTCATATCCCATACCCATGCCACGGTTGCTTCCAATGGCGCCAGCGTTGGATTGCTGGCTGTCCTGCTCCCAAGAGAACATGCCTCTTAAGCGACGAGGGCTCGAGTTGGGGCCACCGATACCGGTGCCGAGGGAGAGACCACCCAGGCTGTTGACCAGCAGGTTGTCATCACGCTGCATGCCAAGAGAGGAGCCAGACTGGACAGGGGTGAGGGTCGGGGTGTTGGAAGTACCAGTGGGCGCACCCTCATACTGGAGGCGGGCGCCGTTGGACTGCAACGCGGCGGGGAAGCTAGCGGAGGAAGGCACGGGCGAAGGAGTGTAAGATCTCAGGTCGGCAAAGGACTTGGCAGCCCGTAGGTTCTGGCCGTTGGCGAAGTTGCCAGGAGAGTCCATCACGCCCAGAAAGCCCGAGTTCTGTCCACGCAAGGTGTTGAAAGTGCCAGGGCCAGCCTCTTGGCGAGCCTCGCCGAAGTCGATGGTCGCCGCCCGGTTAAGGCCGCGACGACCACTGTCTGACTGGCCAGAGGGCGGGATTGAGGACGTCGGGGGGCTGACATTGGCACCTGCGGCGATCTTAAAGACTTGCACCTGGCGCTGTTCGCCGCTACCACGTGAAGCATGTCCCAAGCCCATGTTGTGGGCCAGGGTGTGAACCGTGCGACGCTGAGAGGGGGTGAGGTTGTGGGGGAAGATCACGGAATCGCGGACAGTATCTTCCTTAAACAGGAGTAGTTGGGAGTAGTAGGAAAGGGTCTGGGTGTCGTTCAAGTCCACATCTGTATTAAAAAAGACATGGTTAGCGACAGGTCGAGATTTCAATAACCTTAAAACGAATGTGTTAACGCACCAATTTTTTGGCCACGCTGGGACACGGGCGAAGGGGAGGTGGCCGGGATGTGCGAGGTGAGTGAAGACATGGAGCTCTGCGTCTGGAGCTGTGGACCACCTCCCATCGGGCGGTGCTGTTCTTCCAACTGGCCACGGCGTTCCCGCTTCTCACGCTCGATCCGTTCGCGCTCCTGCAGGGGAAGCATCTTCTTGTATTCGACTCGCAATTTCCGACCCTGTAGCTCAAAGTGGTTGAGCACCTCGATCACGGTTGCTGTTTCCTCGGCGGAAGTGAAGTTGGCAAAGGCCAGACCACGGAAGACACCATTGTCAAAGTGATAGTTAAATGCGTAGGGCAGGGGGAGGTTGAGTTCCGTCATCAACTGTACCAACTGTTCCTTCTTTACGGCAAAGGGGATATTCTTGATGACAATCGCGGTTGGGATCAATTCATCGTCATCTGCAGAGGACGCGGAGGCTTCCGGTCGCATCGCGCTGCTCTGAATGGGACCAGGGCCCAAATTCGAAAATGCTTGGGGCATATTCGGTTGCTGATCCAACCAAGTCTGGAGAAGCCTGTTAGTACTTTTTTCCTTTTTCGCCTTTTTCGTACCTTTGGACGAGGGGGTCCATTGTCGGATAAGATCAAACATACCGTGGGGAGGCCGGCACGTCCACGGGCATTAGGCTTCAAACTGGCGGAGGCCGAGCGGATTCCTCCGAGAGCTTGAGCATTGGCAAACCCGTTGGGGTTCCAAGTCTGCGAGCCAGATATATCATATCCGTAGTTGTTCTGCAAGGACGGGTTCAAGCGTTCGAGGCGAGCGGACTCGTAACGCATCTGATCTTGCTCATACATGTTGGTCGGCATAGGGCCGTACGCATCGAACTGTCGAGACGGCTGACGGTGTAGGGGTTGTTGATGCCTCTGAGACCCAGGGGAACGCGCAGAATGATCGTGATACATGTCTTGTTGATAACTCATCGAGAATTCCGGAGGGAGGAATGTGAAAATCCACCAAAACCAGTTTTAAGGAAATAATTGTCACTACTCCACCATGAGAGCGACGCAAGGCGTGGAAGTTGAAGAGAAACCGTCGAGGGACGGGATTGTGCGGATGTTTTGGGGGAGGAAAACTTTGGAGTAAAAGCCGATCGGAGGGAGATTCTGGGGCGGAGAACGAGAAAAAAAAAATAAAAAAACGACCAAAAACGACCAAAAATTCAAGACACAAATCCAAGACAGAATATCTTCACGAGATCACGAAATTAAAGGCTTCGTTTTCATTCAAGGGGCTCTTGTTGCTTTGCTGTTTCTTTTTTTTCCCTTTGGCCGAAGGTGACTGGTTCCGTGTGTTCGGGGAATTTCCCTTTGGAAACTGGCTTTCCCAATATCAAGGCCCAGATGAAGGAGACAAAAGACAAGAGAGCGGGGGGAGAGAGAGACGAAAGGAATTCAAGAGGGAAAAGCGGTCCACAGGTCCGCCAAGAACGGAGGGGAGTAAGGAGGTGAGTTGTAGAAAAGACACAGGCACAGACACAGAGAGAGGAGAGGAGAGAAGAAAGAGATGCGATGATGAGAGATCGAGTCCTCAGGCAGAAAGCAGGTGATCCGTTAGATATGCAGCTGTTTTATATTAAACCAGTAAGAAAAAAGGATGAGGAAATGCCATACTTATAGCAACTTATAGTCACTTTATATAGTCCACCTCTCTAGTTTATATTAGATCTTCGACTTTTATTCCCCCCTGGATCTTTATGTGGACTCGCCCAATGAGATTATACCATTTAATCTTCGACTGCATAAACAAGTACACCGTACATTGCAAGTCTAAGTACGGAGTCCCGGAGTGGTAGATATTGCTTCATGCTTGAATTTCTAGTGTATCTCCTTTTCCTACATCCTTCTGGAATCATCAGCATCCTAGATCAGTCGTTTCCCCAACCGTTCCAGTCACCTGAGTAGCTCCTTATCCCAATTCCGAATTCCCCTTAGTCTTTTCTTTTACCAAGGAGCCGGTGCCTCGTTAGGCTCGTCACTAGGCGATTTTAGAGGACCCCGCTGTGGTGGACCACTACTTAGAGCTTCTCATCCCTGAGCAGATTGGGGGAAAAGTATTTCGATTTCACGGAGTACGGAATAATACTCCAGTAGTCCAGTACTCCGTACTTCTGACATACTCTTGCTCATTTGCAGTCCCACGGGTTGCCTGACGTATAGAAGTCGGGGTTCGCGCCCTGCCTCGTGCTTTTGCAAGGGGGTGCACTGCACTATACTGTATGTTGGATATGTGATTCTCTATATTTGATACACCGGCTTGCACTTTGCATATGGAGTATTTATCATGGACTCCGCTTCCTTTTAATTACTGTACGTTGTACTCCCGTACTCCGTATTATCTGAATGTTCCATCTCCTTCAGGGGGGGTTTTCTATTATTACTCCTGAGGTTAGTTTCCCCCCCTAATTTCATTTCGCCCCATCCTTCCACCCAACGCGAATCCATGACTCGCCACCTTATGAACAAGCCACCTGAGTTATTTTAACAGCTCTCCCTAATGGTTCGGCCCAGTCGGATAAGCCACCTTATTCCCCCATCGGCTGCTGCAGCTGAAAGCTAGTATATTGTGTCCCACTCCAGGAAATTGGAACTTTCGTCCGGTACCCACGATCCGCGCATCCCCCGTTTCTAGCGCATGCGTCGAAGCTCCTCAGAGGCTCATATCGTTCAGCTAGAACCCGCTAGACGCTGGTTAAACCATTTAGTGGCAGTGTCAGATCCCGGTCGGGTGGAGCTCCGGACCTCATGTGGCCGAGCTAGAACCCGCTAGACGCTGATTAGAACATTTGCTGGCAGTGTCAGATCCCGGTTGGGTGGAGCGCTGGAGCTCTTCGGCTCGTGGTTACTACCACAATCGTACTCGGAATTGACATCCCCGTCTTCCGTACGGAGTATGGTCGCTGAATTCAGATTGACGCTAGAAAAGACTACGGGAATTTTGGCTTTGGATGGCTCTGATTCGCTCCGGTTGTCATTCCCGTAACAAGTACTCCGTTCTCCGTATGGTTCGGGGAGGTTGACAAGAGGGATCGTATATTTCACACACTCAGGTACATCTGCTGAACCTGCACGACCTTCTGGGAGTTTGCGATCAGCGACCCAAACCCAAGGGAAAATTATGGTAGTGGATTGATCTACAGAGGATCGGGTCGGGTCGCAAGGACATCCGCGTGCTTCAGGAGAAATTCGTGACTTAAGAGGGAAAGCAACCCTGGTCCCTGGCTAGCTCTATGAATCCTAACAACAGGCAGACCTTGAACAGAGGCAAACAGCCCCTGAGGTTCATATCCACACAATTTGAATGAACGGAGGCTAACTTGGACATCCGACATGATCCTCAAGCCTAGGAATAGAACGATAGGTAGAGACTAACCACAGATATTGAACTGCAACTCGTATAGGACCAGTCTGGAACATCAAAGAAAAAAGACAAGGAAAGTCAGACAGCTGCACCAGGAAAAGGCAATATCCAGATGTCATGGCTGACAGTAGGCTCCCCCTGGAAAATAAGACATCCTTCTAACACCCATTCTTGATCTTTGAACTGAGTCAAATTTGTGTCCGTACGAGCCATTCTTGAACCAAGATAACCGGAGTCACGGTCAAAGACATCCTTGAAACGACAGGCTGTCAGTTTCAAGAAGAAACCAGGAAAGGCCCAATAATAACGAGACTAGGCCCTGGAATGAGGCCTGAGATATCAGGCCAAGAAGCAACTCGTCTTGAACGTATTACAACATACATCGTAGGGACTGATGCAAGGCGACAATGGAATATGTAATATTCCAAGGCAAAGCCGTTTGAAACGTTCTAGTGTTGCATGCCAAACCATTCGTTGATCGCATGCAGCATTATGCAGCCTTAGGTCCGCTCCAGTCAAAATATCGAGAGTTTTCTACCTGTAGAATGGCCGGTCGCATAACCAGCCCTGTTGTGTCTTTTTGATAGTCCTATTAGATGTCTTTTTTATCGATATCTTCTTTCTTAAGTCTTCTGATGTAGACGGAAAACGCGGAAAAGGCATGATTTGACTTTTCTATGTATAACCTTTGATATTGAAGTAGTACTGTAGTTAAATATTTCATATATTGCATATTACATGCATCTCTTGAAGCAATTCAAAATCAAAAGATCGACAGTTTCATGATAACAAGATCCAATATTCGACCCGAGTGAGTGACGACTGCCAGACCCACATAGAAAGAGGTTGCACTCGCCGGATTGAGACCTGAGCAGTGATGATGATTTCACTTGAAGCAAATGAAAAGTGGCCAAAAACCAAGCAGATAAGTCTGAACATATTTTCTAGGCGGAAAGGCACCTAAGTATACTGTCAGATAGGGTACGTATATTGCGTGTAGCAACCACGCGGCCAAGCTGACGGGCTGAAGGCTAAGGCGTTCGAAGTGGAGACTAACGTCCAGTTTAAAAGTGCGGGCTTTTCGCTTCGACTCGGAGTTCGATTCGATTTGCTCGATCCTTTCGATTTCTGATCTTCAACCCTCCGCTTGCTGGACAATGCGGACTCTAGCACGAGCGGCTATAGCCATTGCGCTAATTCTAACCCTGTTTTGGGTCAAATCCCACCTCGAATCCATCCTGCAATGGCGAAATGATGAATATAATTCCGATCTTTATGTCCTAAATGGCGATGCGTATATCGAGCTGGTCTCGGCCCATACTGCGACGCCCGCGACGCCATCACATACCCAAACCCGGAGGAAATGGTCCCCCACGGCCCGACCAACTCCTCGTCTAATGATAGCCAATCCTGAACCGGAGCGCATCCCCGTCGATGTCCCCGGTGCTGAATGGGCGGGGGAGCTATGGTTCAGATCTGAAGAGGAACCCGAATTCTATGATTCAAACGGATTCGACGATGCCCAACTACTCGCTCCAGTAGAGCATAATGATGTCATGGCACCTTCGTCTACTGCCCCTTCTCGTCCAAAGGTCACTCCGAAATCGGATCGCATCATTATTCTGGGGAAGATGTCATACGAAGACACTGATTGGCTCGAGGATCAGCTGCCAGAGTATGCCCCCATAGACCAATCACTAGTCGATCACAACCGTGCCAATTCTAACTGAATTCTAGATGGCAACACGCAGTTTACCTCGTTGATGACCCCGAAGCATCCCTGCAAGTCGAGCAAAACAAAGGCAAAGAAAGTAGTGCCTACCTGCAATACATTTTAGACAACTACGACAAATTGCCCGAGTACATGGTCTTCCTCCACGCTCATCAATATAGCGGCCACGTCGAATTTTGGGAGCAGGACAATGTGTTGACCGTCCAAAGACTGCAACTCGACTACCTCCGACGAGTTGGATATCTCAATCTACGCTGTGACTGGAGTCCCGGGTGTCCCGACGAGGTCCAGCCATTTCGACAAACGGCTGGTCGCACGACCGAGCTTGCCTTTGCGGGTGCTTGGATCCGTATCTTTAACAACACCGATGTGCCTGAGATAGTTGCTACGCCCTGCTGTGCTCAGTTTGCTGTGACCAGGGAGCAAGTTCTCCAACGCCCACGGACCGCCTATGAGTCGTATCATAATTGGCTTATGACAACCGAGTTGGACGACGAGACGAGTGGTCGTGTCTTTGAGTACATCTGGCACATTATTTTCGGGCAGGATCCCGTGTTGTAAGTTGTAGCCCACAAAAAAAGCCCAGGGAATTGATGTTAACCCGACTGTGAACAGTTGTCCGGAAAAGGCTCAGTGTTACAAGGATGTATATGCCATGGATTATGAAGAGTCGGCTATGAATTTCTTTGATGATGGCATCTGGGGCAATTGGTACGATGAAGCACCTATGGACGAAATACCTATGGATGAAATACCTATACACCCAACGCCTGTGAAGGAAACACCTGTACATGCGACACCTACACATACAACACCTGTGAATAGGATATGATTGTATTTATCTAACGGATGGAGAGCTTCTGGGATGTATCAATACCTGGACTTGCGCTAAAGTTCAATCTGACTGCTTTTTAGTTCTGTTCCTGTATATTATTTCCCTTTTCTGCTTATTCTAGCCAGTCATTGACATATCCTCCCCAAGTGTACTCGATCATAGCTATACTTTCTCTCACTCGGGTCTTTTCCAAAAACTCGAAACTGTCAATTGCTTATACTATGGATTATATCAATACTGGACATAAATCATCGATATCATCTGAAAATTCAAAGGAAAACATTGGACATATTCATAAACCATCGAGTATACCTTCACTGACTTATCTCTGACCGAGCTCCAAATCCGTTGACTCACAGCCAAGCAAAAGCCATCAGCCCCATGAATCCTAACATGGATGTAGCACCGGGAGCCGAAATACTAGCTGCAGCATCAGGAGTAGGAGTAGGGGAGGATGCAGAGCCTGATGAGGCACCGGCGGAGTCAGAGGATCCGGAAGAGACAGATGAAGTAGAGTCCTGGCTGCCTCCGCTGGTGCTAGAAGAGTCAGTTATGGTTGCCGTGCTTGAAGTAGCAGTGCTAGTAGATTCTGTGCTGGTAGATGTGCCAATCAAAGTAGTGGCAGCAGCAGAGTAGGTAGTCGTAGTAAGCGAGCAAGAGCGGACAAGGTCAAGGGCCTCTGATTAATGCATTAGATTTATTTTGTATCTTATTAGTGTATTCACATTATACACACCGTTATCGTCGTCATTATCATCGTCGTCGTCGTCATCATCATTGTCGTCGTCGTGGTGAGTTATGTTATGGTTGCGCCTGTCGGTTTGATACTGGGTGATGCAAGCGGAGCAGAGCGGAATCTCGGTTTTGGCAGCATCCCAATCACAGATGCATTGGATCTCAGCTGAATCTCGTTCGTATTTGGCATCACAACTCTTGGCAATTCCGACGACAGAGCTGCAGGCAGGCCAGCAGCGGTTGGGGACATCGTCACGGTCCAACTTGGATGCAATTGCAATGCTAGCAAGTAAGAGACCGCAAATAGGGAGGAGCTGCTGAGTATGCATGATTGTTGAAGTTGATGATTGTATAATAAAAAGGAATTTAATTGTGTCTTTGTTCTTGACCGAAAGCAATGGCGAGGATTCAGGACATATTTATATTGTTGAAGTTGATATAACTCTTGTTCGCTAAGCCCACTCCAAGCAACTGGGTAATTTATTTTCGCTCTACATGTAGAAGATATTATTGTCGGCATTCTCCGCACGCATGGTCAGAGTTCTGAGATAGAAAACAGACCTCCAAGGTGTGTCCACCCTTGTATCGACCAGCGGAGTGCCGCCAATGTTGATTGTGTAAAAGTAGCTGCCTGGTTTATGCCATCAGCCAAGACTGCGCCAAGAGCCTGAATGGAAATTCCGACGAGATAGTACTAATAATATCGTGCATTTGGGTTCTGCGTTTGGTATATTTTTCTATCAATATGCAGGCACCGTGGCTATGCTCTATCCCTGACTGATCTGGCCCATTCTGAAGGTTTACAATCTTTCACTTACTCCATACTTCATACACCTCTCCATTTGCCAAGGAAGGGTCTTATTCCACTCCGGAGATCCTATACGGACAAGCCCACCTGGGCAGTGTCTAAGCCACATTGTGGGGCTAATCGGTGCATACCATTCAAATTCTGCAACCTTGACCATAGGTTAATCGACATGCTTTGTTGTAGCTGTGCGGAGTACTCTATATCAAACTTTGAGTTCGAGAAATCAAGTTTAAACCTATATCAAGTGGAAGAAGCTGCCCATGTGGGTTGCCGATAGCCACCATTCTGCTATATATAGATAGCCCTGAAGTATACAAGCGACGATAGGTGCTATATGAATGGTTAATCTCCAGGCTTCAGGATTCTTCAAAAGTTCTTAAATTACCGCTTGTCAGTCTATCGACACCATTCGATATGATCTTGGCGGCATACCCTTGACGTCGCTCGAAGTAGCTTGGTAAACAGCTAGTCCAGACTAACCGACTATTGATAATTTTGCCGAATTTGAGGAGATCTAGTGGGCTTATTCGAGTCGCCATCAATAACACTCACGAACCGACGAGATATGACCGGCAACGTGTACGAGTTGGCCAGGACAGGGCTCAGTAGAACTCGCATATTTGGTCGCAATGGCCTCAATAACCGCGTTCTGGAGATCACCCTTGCCCTCTAATATTTTGAATGGCAGCTCTGTCCTGACCCGATCGGTCATGGAATATACAGCAGCCTGTCCGAGACCTGCAGCACTCAATGCAACCATAGCAGCCCCTGCAACTTCTTTCAGTCTCCGAATAAAATTGACATAATGCTGCTGCCGTGGCGATCCTTCTTCGGTAGCTGTGGCGTTGAGGTGCCTGAAAGCACCCTTCACACGCTTTGCTTCCGTAGCTTTGAAACCCCCCCTTTCCCCCGCGAGCTCTGACACGCCCAGGAGCTTACGAACAGCCTCATTCACTGTCAGTGACTTTGGGCGATTTGCTACATGCTGAAATGATCGGGCCATCTTGTTTGATAGTAAAACAGTGGGAGGTCCTACCGAAATTCAGGTAAGATCGATGGGAAAGTTGCGATGTGATGGGCTATCGGCGGAAATCGATCGGAATCAATGGAAAGACGAATTGTAATCACGTGGCATATCACATGGCCGCAACTATCATGCGGTATTACGTTGGAAAGACTGTGAAGAGTCTGCTTGGAGTGGGAAGAGAGCTAGAATATCCTAAGAAACGTGGCTCACTACCTAGCCTTAAATGTGAGGCGAGATAGTCTCAGCGTAGCATGTGCAAATTGACCGAGTGAATTTCTTTGACTTGGACAGCGAAGCACAATCGACTGTTACCTCACCTGCATATTGGGAGCATTCGGTGTCAGTTGGCTATCAAGTATTCTATGGCGTAACTGGGATATCTTCATTGGACCAGCAAATCAACTGGCGTTCTGAACTTGAGAAGACTTGGGAAGAATTGATAACTGGCTTCGAAGACGCACATATGTTGCAGCCACATAGTTCTTTCAATGCTCCTATTGGAACTATCAATCTTCCTGGCTATACTAGGGTCGTTCTAAGAACTTGTGCAGAAACGGGTGTTGCGTTGTGTCTCGCAATCACGGAAATCAAATTCTGATGCTATATATACTAAGTATTACCATCGTATATAAGAAGAAAGAGATAAAAAATGTTAGGAATTGACAAGAAATATATGTGGTTTGCAGGAATAACTAGAGAAATCGGTAAAAATGGGTCTATATCGGCAGTTTCTGAAGTATTCCCGTGACTTTGATCCAGAGTCCATAATCAACTTGTGCTCAGCCGCGATTCCGATATTGTCGTTGCTATGAGGTGCCAGATTGACTAAGAAGAAAGAGCACATTCAATTAAATAACTAAGATAGAGAAAGAATGAAGAAGCACATTGCAAAGTAGAAGCAGTTGATATAGTTGAGCAAACTTCGAACGTCTGGCTTAGCTATCTAACAAACAATCTACTTAACTAGTTATGTGAATGCAAACTAGTAAGCGAGCAAGCAAGCAAACTTGAATGCCTTTAGGGTTGCCGTGCCCAGGTGAAACCTAACCATGTTGTTAGTAAGAAAGCGTTGAGGTGGACCCCCGCAATCATAACATCATTTCCAAGTTAAACGTACTTCTGCTCTCATTTCTAATTCAATCAAAGCTACCCAATTAAGTACCCCTTCTCAATTCCCCCATCGACATAGATGACTCGAGCAGTCGGGAAGATGTGGGAAAAATACTGCTTGCGTCCAACTCGGGGCACTATCTCCACCACCATCCCAGTTTTCATCTACGGCACAGCCTGGAAGAAAGACCGCAGTGCTGATCTGGTTTATGGTGCAATTAAAGCCGGTTTTCGGGCTGTGGACACAGCGGCCCAACCCCGCCATTACCAAGAGCATCTCGTGGGGGATGGCATCCGCAGAGCAATTGCTGATGGGATCGTCGGCCGAGCAGACTTATACGTGAGTGGACAGCTGCGATTTTTAACTTAGATATATTCAGGATTGATAGCTAACCATGATTAGGTGCAAACCAAATATAGTCCTGTCTCGGCACAAGACCTGGCCAATATGCCATATGATCCATCAGCGACGGTGACTGACCAGGTCCATGCATCTATCAAATCTTCATTGCATAATCTTCGCTCAAATGTTGACCCCGACTCCGTGGATGATGCCTACATTGACACCGTGATCATTCATTCGCCACTGTCAACTTTAGCCCAGACCCTGGAGGCCTGGCACGCCCTTGAGACCTATGTTCCCCATCGCATCCGGAATTTAGGAATCTCCAATTGTACATTGCCTATACTCCGAGAATTATGTACGTCGTCGCAGACAACTGTGAAGCCATCAGTGGTACAGAACAGGTTCTACGAGGATACTCTGTTTGATGTCCCCCTGCGCGCGTTCTGCCGCGAGAATCAGGTCATCTACCAAAGCTTTTGGACTTTGACAGCAAATCCGGACCTCGTTCGCTCTGAGCCAGTGCAGAAACTTGCTCGCCATGTTAAGATAACTCCGGCTGCTGCTTTTTATACTCTGGTTATGGGCTTGAAGGATGTGGCAGTGCTGAATGGGACCAAGAATGAGTCGCGCATGAAGGAAGACTTGTCTGCTCCTAAACAGGTCGAGGATTTCACACAGAAGCAACCTGAGTTATGGCAACAGATTTTGACGGAATTCCGGGGTTTGATAGGGGAATCTAGTTGCATATAAAAACTTGAGCAAGCCGTGTCAAGGCTTCTGCGGGGAACAGTTAGTGCTCAATGGTAGTGCTTACTGCAAAAATCAAATAATCGAGTAGATGTAAGTATGAAATGGCATCTTGAAATTGCAATTGTGAACTCTAGGCTCACGATCCTGAGATAGCGACCAGTTCATCTGTACTGATACCTGACAGACACGCGCGATCACATGGCAAAATGAGGTACTTGTAAGTACTCGTCACCACTTATCTTGCTGACTCAGTCAACGCCATCCGTGGCCGGACCGGGGCAACTTGGATTTGCCGCCGAGTGGCATGAGGGTTCATATTGATCTTGTTGACAATATAGCTGCATTCGTTTGATTTTCTCTTGGTCTTCCTACCTTGTGCCTCTAGAGCTAAATACTTGCCATATCAACTCATTCACCGCCCAGTGGGCGCTTTCTGCTGCAGCCTCCCGCCTTATTCTGGATGTTGGACAATTCACGCGCCCATTGAGCATCATCTGCCTAGTATTGATCACTGCTGGTCCTTGATTTGCCGCCTGCTATCGATTCCTGTGATCCTTCGTTTACTTCAGTGTCGATACGACAAATTTCGCGCTCTGCTCAGTGTTATCCACTTTTTCCACCTCTCGCTTCTGTGGTCAAAGCCGTCGACTCAAATTAGAACCGACTTGGATGAAAAACTTCCTGCATACTGAGTTCGCTTCCGGTTCCTTTGTCTCCTAGGCAAATTTCCTGCGGCCAACTCAGTCTCCTATTCAGAGACTAAAGAAAATCGAGATACAATTCTATATCGAACCCCACCGCGATAAGAGTCATTACGCCAGCTTCTTCACGATGAGCTCGCAAGGAATGACCCGCAAGAGACCAGCACCGGGAACAGTACCGCCCGTCCATCCTCAGATGAACCCTGTACCGAACTTTCCGACCACTGCGAACCCCGGGTCTCAGCTCTCGAACGATCAATTCTTACAATGGGGCCAGAACCCCCCCGTCAATGCCATCAATACCTCCGCCTTCTCTGATCCCACCTACAACCCCGTGGCCTTTTCCTCACCGCAGGATGTCTCTGCACCTGCTGCGACAGCATCCAATCAACTCGCCCGCCGACAAGCGAACCAGGTGGTCAGCCGAAATCGTGGCTACGAGCAACCTCCTGCTTCATATGTGGAAAATGGAGGCAACAATGGAAATGGGGAGAGTGGCGCATGGGGGGAGTCTCTAGAGGAGCTCTATCGGCGAGCCTTGACTGCGAAGAGAGATTCACAGGCAAAACGAAAGCAAATCCCGCCATTTGTACAAAAATTGAGCAGGTATGATCCGACCTATCGCTTTGTGATCAATTATAGGGCTAACGAATGATCGCAGTTTCCTAGATGAATCTAAGAATACGGAACTGATTCGATGGTCTGATGATGGCAATTCCTTCGTCGTCCTAGACGAAGATGAATTTGCGAGAACATTGATTCCCGAGCTCTTCAAACACAATAACTACGCCTCATTTGTCCGACAGCTGAACATGTACGGCTTTCACAAGAAGGTCGGACTTTCCGATAATTCAATGCGCGCCAGCGAGCGGAAAAACAAGAGTCCCAGCGAATACGCCAACCCCTATTTCAAACGAGGCCACCCTGATTTGCTATGGCTCATCCAGAAGCCAAAGAACGCTGGGGGTGGCGGACATGCGAGCAAACCTAGCAAGGGCGGCACGCGCGTGAAAACGGAGGATATTGAAGATAACGAGATGGACGATTATGTCGAAGAGGGTGCACCGGCCCCTCGCGATACCCGTGCTCCCCGACCACAGCAATTGTCATTAGCCACAGACAGCTCAGTACCTAATGATCAACTTTCTGGAGTGTATCGCGAACTTCAGGCGATTCGTCAACAGCAGTCAATCATCTCAACTACAATCACCAGGCTGCGAAAAGAACACGAGCAACTCTATGCGCAGGCAGCCAACTTCCAAGAGCAACACACTCGCCATGAGAACTCCATCAATGCCATTTTAACATTCCTTGCAACCGTGTATAACCGCAGTTTGCAGGGGGAGGGCGGGCCACAAAATCTCGCCAATTCTTTTGCGGGAGCCATCTCGCAGGACCAAGGAAACATCGTGGATGTTGATGATGACTACCTTAACAATGCTCTAGGATCAATGGCTAGCCCGAGTGCCCAGAGAACAATGAAGAAGCCGCCGCTACTTTTGAAGGCTCCGCCCGCAGCGCACGCGTATAATAATCGACCCTCAACAATTTCACCGTCAGGCAGTGGCTCCTATGACACGCGGTCTCGTGGTCATGCTCGGCAACCCAGCGCCAACCAGCACGGCCATGTGGAGGAGGTGTTTGACCACAGCCCACGTACTGCAAACGTTTCTCCGGGACAGCCGACAGACCAGAATTCCCCTCAACGGGACATTATGTCTGTAATCCAAAATTCCAATGCACGCAATGGGCTCTCAACAAACTTCTCCGAGTTCCCCAATGTGCTCTCCTCCCTCGAAAACCACGGTGGTAATGTTCCCCTCACGGCAAATCAACGCGCCGATATGCTTCGACTCATGGCCAACGAAACAAATTCATCAGAACCCAACGCTGGCGTATCGCCCAACAACGCGCTTATCTCGCCGAATCCACCCCTTATGCCGCACAACTACTCGGGCAGGCTAGCCAGCACACGACAAGAAATCGACAACCTAGTCAAGATGCAAGCTGAGCAGGATCGTTCTGTCCAGAACTTGACTAGTCTTCTCCAGCCGCTGAGCCCGAATGGCACCATCCCCGGTATCGATAGTGAGGGCAATGTACCTCCTCCGCCGCTCGACCTTGACCAAATCTTCAACAACGACTATTTCACCGACATTGGAGACACAGGGTCCGATATGAAGAAACAGGAGAATCCAATGGACCATTTGGGGGCAGGCCAGAATACACACGATCCTATGGGGACCACCCAAGGCGATGATACCAACGACCTGTTCGATTTCGATCACATCCCTACCGAGCCTGATCTTTTTGAAACCCCTCATAATGCGCAGGGTGATCCCACCTACAACTATGGTTTTGACGGTGTTGGATACGATGAATCTGGGCGTGTGATCGAGCAGCTGACGGATAGCGAAACCACCAGCCCCACAGCCACGGGAAATTCAAGCGAAGCTGTAAATGATGGTGGTAGTGCGTCGAAACGGCGCAGAAAGGCGTGATTCTGCCGATAGCATGAGGAAGATCAGAACGGAGCAGATTCACAACCACGGTGTGGATGTGGACAAAACTTTCGGCGATTAGGCGTTTTTCTTGTTGATATGAGGTTTCACATACCTGGAGATGTGACTAGGCTGTAAAAACCTATGATGATCCATGAATGAACCAATTCCTGGAATTTTAATGAGATACCTTTGCTTTACCTTCTTCTTCCTTAATGAGTTTAATGTACATAGGTAGAGGTTTTTCCAGAACTTTTCGGAACCCTCGCTCCTCCCTTTTTTTCTCCCAGTTGCTTCATCATCTTATGAGTCCATCGAGCACTGACTTTCTACAAAACATGTGCCATATTGTGCCAACGGTTGATCACGAGATCTGGTTTGCCTTTCCACGCCCTTCGAAGCTCCAATCTATCCTCACCTTCACTCCTAGCTCATTAACAAAAACACGAACCAAGCCAGGGTTCTGCTGGAACCAACGCCTAGCCTGCACTGCATCAATGCCAGGTTGCACCAGCTTCTCGGCCAGAGGCCCCGTTTCAATCCCGCCGACAGCCGTTATCCATAGCTTGTCGCCCACGGCTTTCTTGACCTCCTTGGCCAAATGCACCTGGTAGGCAGGGCCCGGTTTGATAGCAATCGCGAACTTGTCTTGGGATGGATGCCGCCTGAGCTGATATTCACCAAGTCAATGCCACATTCGGCTAAGAGTGGGACGAGTTGAACCGATTGAGGCTGTCCAGCTCTCGGGAAAGTCTTTCTTCAATTCATCGTTACTGAATTCGAACCAATCAGTCGCACTAATTCTGATCATATAGAGGCATTGCTTCCGGGATGCTAGCGCAAATTGCCTCCAAAACTTCTAGCAGTAGTCCGATTCTGTTAACGCTTCCATTAAATTAGCGGAGCACTGGTTCAGTAGTGTTATGCACTGATCACACCAGAGGCGTGACCACACCAGAGGCGTTGTTGTAAAACGTAAGCCTGTGGCATCACCGTCCCTCTATTATTCTCCTCCCAAATCTTCAACTCGAATCTCTGACTTCAACCCTCTAACTCCCTCGCTAACTAACTCTGTAATTGACTTGCAAATGCCTCCGCGTCGCCATCGACCAAAGCTCTCTCTGTGGGTCCGTTTTCGAAGATGGCTTCGCTACTGGAGCTCACCTCTCCGGCTACGCGGTAGTCTCATTCGACTCAAACACCAACACAAATACCCCATACTGACGCTCCTTCGCTTGTTCATTCCCTATCCGTCCTGGTACTTCCCGATCCCGGAACGATTTTCTCTTCGCGAATTGATTGAAGACGAAGAAAATGGGACGGGGATAATCTCTTCCCATTTTGGCGCCATACATAATCTTCGCTGTATTCCGATCTGGCGAATGCGGGACACGCCATTACGGTCTATTTACCGGCTCTACGAGCTCCATCTCGCGGATCGGTATGAGCTGATGGGCTATGAAACCGAGTATTTCTTTTTCCAGAGAAACTGGAAGCTTGGAGATATACCAGACCCGAGAGATCCTGATCCGCTTCGTTATGCGATGGTCGCTTCGATCACGGAAAAACTACACGAAGCAGTTAACTGGAGGTTGAGCCTCGGTCTGCGGAGAAATCGGGAGCACGTCTATCGGGAGGAGGACGGAGACCCATGGCCTCCTTTCATCCCTGAAGAACTGCCAGACTGGACGAAAAGTGTGCCGCCTATGGATAAAGATCTATTGAGACGCTCAGTACCACCAGAGTCACTGGATGCCGAGGGGAATCTGGTGCTCGAGAAGAATGGCAAAGGCCCTAATTTTGCACGGCGCAATATCATCACCAACACAGGTTGGTTCTATACAATCTAAGAGCACACTTGAACAGTTGTCATATCAATCATCAACTTCATGGGTCGAATTCAATTGAATCAGCGAGCGCTAGCATCCGTGACATCCTCTTTGAAGATATCCTCGTCATATTCACGACGTTGGGCGTCAGCCACTTGATGCATTGTCCTATAGTCGGGAATCACGTCGAACCCGTTCATATTCATTGTCCGGATGGTCTCCAAATCCAGCGGGCCATTATTTCGGGTTCTCGGTTGCTTCAAAAGAGCAACTGCATCCGTCAGATCTAGATCCGCCTTTCGGTCTCGCTTCGCAGCATATATCCTCCTCAATTTACGCTCCAGGGCCCATTCAATCGGAGCGGCCAAAATTTCGAGGTTTTCTCCTTTGAACAGCGTTATGTCCTGTTTCTCGGCTAGTTCAAACAAGGTCTGTCGAGTCTTCTTCGTTACGAAGATAGCTACGGCTTCTTTGATCCAGTCAGTGGGGAAGTGTAGTTTCTCTGCCACAGACATGACAGCCTCATGGAAAGCATTCTGTATCTCCTTGTCATCGGCAAACTCGGGATCGATCAGATAATCGACATCGCCTGTGCTCTCGCGATTCTTGAGATAGGACACCGCAAGGAACCCACCCGCACTGATCAGTCGGATGGGCGCGAATGCAATGAGCCAGTCATCGCGACCCATTGCACTATCGAGTGCTAGAAGGCCTTTTTCTTTTCGTAAAGTTGGCGCCAAAGACAGCCTCTGTATAGTAGTGTTTTTGGGTGTATCTTACCCTCTTCAAAATTCTTCGAATCGAGATATTTCTTTCGATCAGTCATGATGGACACTGATTGAAAAAACGAGAAGAAATATGAGTTTAGCCGATGAGATCGAAAAATGGACAGGAGATGAGATTTATATGGCAGAAGCCTTCCAAGGTTAGAACCCCATACATCGTCATTATGGTGTGTTGCTTTCAATCATCATTGGACACATGGGATACAGGATGCAACGAAGCTGCGAGGCGAACAGAATAACCAATCCCAGGAGTCCCTGGAGATGCGCGTGTCTTGAAACTGCCTTTTTGTAACGTTGGAAGACGCCGGCACTTACCTGCAGGGCATGTAGCGTCTGGCTAATAATATCCGACAAGTAAGATTCTAGTACATATGTGGGATCAGGATATTGATAGGCTAAGATGGAAAGACTTGATATTGAGAGAATAAGATCATTCAGCGCCCCTTATCCCATTCCAAATCACCGACTCGCTCTCGTTTACGCTCGCGCTCTCTGTCGCGTTGGAATCCCCGCTTTCGCCCAACCACTTCCTTCTCGCGCTCGCGAGGATCAATCACCATAAGTGAATCTGCCTCACCTCCATGCTCGCGCTTCCAGTTCAAGTCTTTGCCTAGGGTATCTTTCCCAAACCGGAGTTCATGCGAGAGCCAACCGCCGTCTTGCTGTTCGGGGTCGTCCGCCTCTGCCTCGGGGTCATCCCATGCCTGGCAGGATTGGCAGTTTGCAATGAAGTGCAGGTCGCAGAGTTGGGCCTCTTCGTCTTCTTCGTCTTTCTTTTGATTTTCGGTGTCTTTGTCGATGTGACTTTTGCTATGTGATGGTGTGGCAGTTGGTTTGGATTTGGCTCCTTCGAGCTTGGCTTTGAAGGCGTTAAAGAGCTGCAATGCTTCTCGTTCAGCGGCGCTACTAGGTCCTGTCCCGTTACGACTGGAACCATTTGCGGTTCCTGGAGGTGGCCGTTTCCGTCCTCGGATGGAGGTCTCAGGGATCATGGCTTCGAGTGCAGACTTCTTTCGGCCTGTGTCCTTAGGAACCAGGTCAACGTCGCGGCGCATTGACGCCATCAGAGCGGCAATCTGAGCGTTTGTCCGCGACAGCTTGGACTCCTTTGCGGGTGGGGCGTCCGGGGTCGGAGACCGAGTAGGCGACTCAGGGTCAGGCAGGGGGAGTTGTGTTTCTGGATCTGGTGTCGTTGGGCGCCTTTTACGCTCGGTAGATGGCGATCTATCTAGAGATGGCGACCGGGGCCGTTTGCGCGGCTGTGATGGAGCATCTGCTCGGGGTTTGGGGCTTGATGCGTCGGGCTTTGCACCTGGCGCATCTACGACCAAATTGGTGTTGAATTTCGGCTTCGCTGGGCGCATGGGTATTTCTTCGTCTCCATCGTCTCCAAAGCTCAGAAGCGTCTTCCCGCCTTTGGGTCCCTTCTTCTTTTTCTTGGGTGCACCTTTATCCGCCTTCCCGGCAGTTGAGACTGTCTTTCTGTCCTTTAATTTGCCCTCCAAAGGCCCCAGTTCTCCAACCTCGCAGGATGTCACCTTAATCGGATAAACAGGACGCTCGGTGCCCGCAATGCGCTCGGCGTCTGCAATCTTCAACACATTGTAGATACTGTCCCCTTCCAGTCTCCCAAAAATTGTACATTGCCCATTCATCTCACGCTCCGTGTTCGCTAGCGTGATGAAAAATTGACTGCCGTATGTCCCGTCCTCGCTCTTGGCCATTCCTAGCAAGCCACGTCGGTTGAAACGTAACCGACTGTGCAGCTCATCGCGTAGAACGACGCGCTCATGCGGGTCCCGAGCTTCAGGATCAAACTCGAATTCCGGGTATTCATAGATAGAAGTTCCGCCGGAGCCAGTGCCGGTGGGATCACCGCCCTGGATCACAAAATCGGGGGCCACCCGGTGAAAGATTGTGCCGGCATAGTAGTTGTCCTTGCAGTGCTGAAGGAAGTTTTTGCAGGTGAGAGGGGCCTGGTTTGCGAAGAGCGCGAGCTGGATGGGGCCAACCGTTGTGTTGAGCGTCGCAGACGCAGTGGGATTGGGCTCGCTGGCGTATTGGGTAGACATGATGGGCAAGTAAGCTACCGGTTTACGGCGCGTGCCACAAGTGATGTAGCCTGAGGATTTGGAGTGTATTCGGGGATAGGGACACCCTCTTATAGTGTTGCGATTCAATGTGTTGGTTTCTCCGATCAAAAGCTCGGAGGGAACGTCATGGCACGTGACGTTGATCTAGCCCTTATTTACTTGGTGTCTAAGGACAGTTTTAGGAACATAAAACTAACTGAACAAGGAATGAGCATCATTTCTTTTGACTTCAGCACTACGTGACACATTTCGCACATTTCCTGCAGTATCGGAATGAGACCCCAAAGCACCTATGCCTGGCTAGGCAGCATGGGATGGGAGTTTGAGCGTTGGGCATGGAATTTTGTCGCATTTGGGAATGATCAATAGCAGAGGGGGCCAAGACATTTTCGGGTGGGTATTTTGATTTGCTGGTGGGCATGTCGAGCGCATGCTGAGGATTATCAGGATTGAATGTTTGGCAGTGGGTGCTGTAGGTGGTTGAATGATCCGAGGAAGATCCACTCCCGGCTCACCGAGTCGTCAGTCCGAGATCTTGCTTTGTGAGAAGATATTTGTCGTTGGCAAATGTCTTTTTTCAGTTGGGCAGTCGAAGCTTGCGTCAGCCATTGAGAGGCTAATCTTGGAAGGACATGTCGGCTAGATGGGATCCAAGAAAATGGTGGAGACTTGGGATCATCATTACCGGAGTGTTGATAAAGATCGAGATGAACGGCCGTAGGTAAGTCGCATGGGGAGTGGTCCAGTATTGTCGCGTAGGGTAAGATTACTGATAATCGTGGTGATTTATCGCGTGGGATATTGCTTGATGGAACCCAACGGAAGCTCAAGCTTCAGTTCCAGCAAGTCAGATTCACACCGGCCGTCCCCTCCGCCCGGGGTTGTGGAACAATCATCTGCTTCTGCATCTGGTCCTGTTCCTGGTGCTGGTGCTGCTCTTGATCCGAAGCCCTAGCATGAAGGCCTAACTTGAACCGCAGACGGCGCAAAGTGCGTTCGGAGATAGCGTAACCTTCTTTCTGCAACATGTTGAGCATGGCTTTATCGGTCAGCCTATCCTGTATAAAAAGCATCTTAATGCGCGCATGCAAAGCCTCGTCGCCTGTCGTCGTCCGGTGTCGCTTGCGGATGCCCCATTTGCGAAGGCGGGACTGGATGGTTCGTTCCTTGACTTGGATATTGTGACAACTTTCGAGGGTACGGCTGATAGAGTCGCTACTGATGCCATGGTGGTACAGAGTAATGATATCATCCCGGTAGGGTTCTAAATTGATTTGTTGGCGAGGCATTCTGGGGTTAAGAAGAGAAGAGAAATGCGAAGAGAAGAGAGTTGGGGAGTTTCGAGTTGTTGACCCAAGGCGGTGAATCTGCGGAATAGTCACTTGTCTTGATATGGATATCGTGATGTTTTTCGATGTTTTCGAGGTGAGACAGATGTGATTGAAATTACTATTATGCTCATTGGCTTGGCCAGGGACCTGAAACTGCAAATCGAAAGAAATTGGATCAGATACGCTTCACGGAACATCCCGATACGATTACATACTACTCTAGGCTCTCAGATGTCATGGATTGTATAGTGCGAAAAACAGATTCAACTTATTATTGCATTTCATAGATTCATTACGCATTGCAATCTTACCAAGCAAGTCACAATCTCGGGATTCACCCATTGATCTGATCCATTCGGAGAAACCAACAATTCAAACCTTTTTACCCGCCTCCATCACAGACGAGCTCATGACTTCAGGGCTAGGACTAGCCTTGTTCCGCTTTGCAATGCGGAAGCCACCAAGTAGGAAGAAGATAGCCTGCAGACCAAGAATCACTGCGAGGGTAACCATGGCACCAATGACGCCCGCCACAGCGAGTGACATTCCCGAGCCACCAGTGCTAGAGGTACTAGCAGAGCCGGAGTCGCTGCTGGTGCTGTCCGAACTGGCGCACTTGCCGTCGGTGTTGCCACACATGGTACACCACTCGTCATCGGAAGTAACGGCGATCGCCTTGGTCTTCGAGGCAAAGTCGTCCCAGGAAAGAAGCTCGCTTGATTGACCGTACAATGGGTATACGGTAGGCTCAGAGGAACCGGTAATGGTACCATTGTGGAACATGAAGCGCACGCTCAGGTCGGACTTGTCAGTTGGGAAGTCGGTGCCACTGGCATTGGTCACCAGCTCGAAGACCATTGACGAGGCGTAGTCCGGGATTCCGGTGAAGTTGACGGATGCAGCAGGCATCTGCAAAAGACCGAAAAGGGAGAAGATGGTGCCATAGGAGCCGAATCCGATGCTCAGCTTGGACGTGCCCTTGGTAGTGATAGTTTCGTTAAGTCCGGCCAGGATTTCGCCTGCCAGAACGGCGCCGTCGATGGCGCGCACTTTATCGGAGGAGTTATAAGCCAGGTTGAATTCATGGCTTCCAGCTAGAGCAATGAGCTGATGATATACCTCGTCGGTCAGGTCTGACTTGTGAGGGAATTGACTGGTAGAGTTATGGATGTTGCCAACGTTCAAGTAGTCGAAGATGGTATAGGCGTTCTTGAATGTCATATCAGACGAGGCAAATGTACTGTCCAGCATAGGCGAAAGCGATTGGTAGAACTCCTTGGTTGAGGATAGCAGCGAGGTGTAGATTTCGGAGAAAAAGTAGTTGTTGCTGCTCACGGTGGCCTTCTGGCATCCACTGGAGCCTTGCAACCAGGTGGAATCCTCGGCGTTCTTGCTTGTAGTGGCAGGTATCAGCTGAATGAGCTGGTAGCCGTTTAATGGTGCCTCGACCGAGGTTCCATTGGCCAGGGTCTGGGAAGCCACTTTTCCCACGGGGGGATAGACGCCCTGTAGGAAGCCAATGGCAGAGTTCTGCAGCACAGTATCCGAGGGAGCAGAGGCACTGATCTGCTTTGGGTTGACCACATCGGCACTAATGCCCTCGATCTGCTTGGAAGAGTTCGACAAGATGTATCGCTCGTTGTAAAAAGAACCGGTCTCAAAGACCTCCCGATAGCCCAGGTCGGTCAACTGAGTACTACCCAAGACCTTTGGCGTGCGATCTCCATGGCGGGCGAAAATATACGCACCCAACACACGCTCAGCATCAACAACGGGGGACAAAGATGCAGCCAGTAAAAGGCCAGACTGGATAGAGTACCGCATCGTGAAATATTGGGAGTAAACAAGAAATTAAGAAGCAGCAAAATCTGCGGGGGTTTACCTTCTTTATCTAGTCGTGGATGTCAATGTCAAGCTATTGCGGGCAAGACCCCTTGACTCTTCCGATTTTTCGCTTTTTTTTCGCTTCGAGACCCTTGCGATTGTAAACTTGGAAGCGGGGAAAGAAGATAAGTCCCTGCAGTGTCTGAGAATAGTCTAGTGGACGAATCTCACCAAGTCATTGGTTAATACGGAGTCTGAAGGGAGTCAACAAATAATCATTAGCTAATTCTTGGGAAACATTGCATCTCCGCGGTACCGCGGAGCTATGATAGCGTATCCATACATAGATAGAGAAGAATTGACCTATAACAGATAATAAAACCGTTGACTGCTTACTAGGTATTAAATATGATTCTCAGATCGAATTTGCGGATATTCGGATATTCTTGTTCCTGTTCGCGCTCCAGACTCCATCCAGTACCCAGATTGTACATTTATATCGTGACATAAAATTCAGAGAAGGTTCAGATCGTATCGCTGGTCCTTATGCCGTCGTGACACCCTTGGCACCCATTAATTCACATCCATTTCGAACTACACCGACGAGCCCTCCAGTCTGAATGGCTTCAGAACCACCCCCTGCAAGTCGCCATTCAATCTCGGCCAGTCCTTCAAGCCACGTGATACGTGTTTGGGCGGGAACTTCGAGCTGCTGGAGTTGATCTGCTAGCGCGGAAAGGATGTCGGCCAAAGCCAGACCCTTGGTGGACTTTAGGGTTTGCACGGTGTTCAGACAGGAAGTGACATCGCTAGTGGAGAGGATGGTAGACATGATTTCTTGGATATCGGACGGGTGCGGCGCGGCAATGCAGTCATAAATCGTCGCATTGGTGACAATTTCGGGCTCCGGACGAGGGGCTTTCGGGGCGTCTCTCATCGGCAGCGGGATACCTAAAAGATAACATTAGTCAATTAGGATGAATGTGACCAAGGAGAGAAAGGACATGAGCTTACTGCTGGCAAAGCATGCCTGAAGCACGTTTAGGGCTCGTCGCATATCACCTTTGCTCAGGGTCACTAGACTGTCGACCGCATCGGGCTGTATCCTGACACCCTCGTTCTCAATCACTTTGTCGACCAAACTCCGAATATCGGCTTCCTTCAGTGGACTGAACCGGAATCGAGTACACCGCGACAGGAGTGCCGGGGACAGCTTATGTGTGTAGTTGGCAATGACGCAGAATCGGGTATTGGCCGTGTAGCGCTCCATAATACGGCGGAGAGCCATTTGTGCGGTCGACGTCATCGCATCGGCTTCGTCCAGAATGATAAGCTTAAAACCCGCCAGAGGGGAGCCGGGAGTGCCTTGGGGGGCCATGGTGAAGATCTGTTTGGTGCCTGTTCGTATTCACGGTAAGCTTGTAGTTCATAACTCGAGACTCCTAGAGCACGAACTTGCAAAGGTCTTGATTTGTTCTCGGACAACTTCAATACCACGATCATCACTTGCATTTAGCTCCAAAACCATCTGTCGCATGTTCTTGGTGCCGTAGATTCGCCGCGCCAGGGCCAGGATGGTAGAGGTCTTTCCGGTTCCTGGTGGTCCATAGAGGAGGAGATGAGGCAATCGCTGGACGAGAATGTTAATCAGAGGCTATCGTACATCCGGCATCGTAGGCATTCGTTACATTTGTCTCCACGAACCGATTGATAGTCGCGAGGATGTCTTGATGGCCAGAGACATCATCCAGGCTGCTTGGTCGGTATTTCTCGACCCTGGGAAGGGTATTAGTGATATAACACAATCGAAGCAATTCCTAAAACTCACCATGGCAAATTATCTTGAGCTTCGACTGGCAGATCAGCGACATTCCTCTTTTTTCCACTGGCGTTGTCGGAGCTAAATTGCACGTCCTTGGGCGCATCCACGTCCATTTCATCCTCGTAATCCGACATAGTGAATGTCTCTCTCTTGGGTAGAGATAAATGATCAATATCAACAGGCCTATCAAGAGCAGGTAAACCGTGAAAAGTGCCCAAAAGGTTTGACGCGTGGAGCGCGTAAAGAGGCTCGGGGCGGAAAATCATGGAGCTTGGGAACTCCACAGATGACATCCCTCTGCCTAACCTCCAACGGGTCAACTTGTCCCCTCCGCGGTCTCTTTGATTGAACCTCCTACGTTTTAATCATTTGACGCTTTCAAAATGCCTGTATGTTCCCTACCTTCGTATTTGTCCAAAGCCTGTTGTTAACCCTCAATGCAGGCATACCACTCCATCTTCCTGGAAGACCGCGATGTCCCCGTGATAGGTAGGAGACTCCTATCAAGTCTACACAGAGTTCCCGAGCTACAAACCGACATTTCAAGGACCAAGTTGACCATCGAATTTCTCCTGACTAGGAAACTTTCCCATTCTTCCCCTCCGAACCCGTACTCGCGGCCCCGCATACACATTGCCCCCGCTTCCTAACACCGACGACCTCGATGTGTCGCCCGAAAGTGAATCATATGATTGTGTCGATGAGATCCTATCGCTCTTCCGTGCCAATGTCTTGTTCCGCAACTTCGAGATCAACGGCCCCGCAGACCGCATGCTCATTTACGGGACTCTGTTTATTAGCGACTGCCTCGGAAAGGTCAAGCCAACTATGACTGCCCGTGAGGCGGAGAAGGTAAATTTTGATGCTATATATCAAAAGCCTGATATAACAGAATGATCATTGACAATCGTATTCCTAGGCCCTGACCAACGCCGCCCTCGACAGCTTTGCTATTCCCGGCGATGTGTCGTTCCCCCTTAACCAGGCCTTTGAACCCCCGCGTGACCGCCAGGATGCCGAGACGCTTCGCCAGTGAGATTCTTGATGCTATACATTGCAACTCAATATCAGCTAACCGGTTCTTGCTTCCAGGTTTATCTCGCAGGTGCGACAGGAGATCGCCATCCGCCTACACGCTAGATTATACCCCGGTGGTGTCGGGCCATCAAAGGTAAGAGGAAGGAAAGAATAGACTCCTCGATATCTACCAAATACTGACCAACTCTAGTTCTGGCTGAGTTTCACGAAGAGAAAGTTCATGGGGAAGAGTCTCTAGACGACGAGCGTTGCTGTATATTGTTTGATGAAATTCAGCGCATGAATGAATTTGATACTTGATTCAAAATCACACCAAGCGCTTTGCGTAACTTCCAGAGGCTTGGATGGGTCTACTTGCATATCTGGGAGTCAAAATTGCCCTCGGACTAGCCCTTACTCGATGTCCAAAGAAAGGGTAGCAGCTAGAGCAAGTCGGATCACACGAAATATCAGAAGTAAGTTGTTGTAATTGTACATTAAAATGCTATTGGAGGCTATTTTGAGGGCGTTCATTCGTGAAACCTAGGACGTCATCTCTACATCTCGATCACTGATCGGGGTAGATGTCGTTTCCACCTTTCGTCTCTTACGAACATTCCCAGCAGCCTGGATATTCTGGGTGGTAGGGAACACGCGAACGCCATGGAAGAGATATCCCTCTGCGCCACCACGTCCAGTCATGAGGGGATGGGTCCGACCGGGCAGTACTTGCCAAGGGCGCACACGCGACGTTTGCAAGGTAGGTGGAAGAAGAATCGTCGGATCAACCACAAATTCTTCATGGAGTGAGGATAAATCAACGGCCTCTCCTTCGGGACTCTGCGACTCCAATTCTCGCTTTTTGTTGATAAATGCGGTCCTCCGAGCAGTGGAGTACATGTCTGTCAATTCAACCAGAGACTCGACTGTCGGAGAATATACGACAACAGGGGCAGACCCTGCAAGGAGCGGGACCATCGTCTTAAGGACGCTTGCTGGCTCTAGCAAGGTGGAGACGATCAGACCGTCAAAGTTACCGGCTCGGCCCTCGTCCACCACTGCTTTAACTCGCCCCCATCGGTTGCGCTTGTGGTAATACGCAGTGCGCTTGCTTTGTTTAAGCTCCGCCAATTCCTCTGCAGGTATGATGGGTGGTTCGTTGGCGTAGAGCGGATCGGAATTGGGGTCAGCCAACTGCATCCAGGAAATTGATTTGAGGTGGGTGTGGAGTGGGTGGGATTCGTCAGGGTTGTTGGTGTCATAGCCAAAGAATTTCAAGAGTGACAAGTTCGGTTGTGAGTATGGGTGGATAACGGTAATGGTGTTGGTAGTAGCGGACATTGGCTGGGGACGTATGCGCCGGGGCTTTGGGGGTTCATCGGTATGTTGAGATTCTGCGGCATTGTGGGCTGGAGGATCTTGCTCCTCGGTTGGGTCTTCGTCGGCATCGTGAGGATATAGAATTCCCATGCGCTCAGCCATCGCGGCAACGACAAGTCCGCCAGTCTCATCGACGATAGCATAACGTCCATGCGGCTTCATCCCCTCACCCACCTCAACGTTTCCGCTGTGATGTACATTACCCCAGCACCCGATGAGACCGATGTGTTCGTCCCGTAGCTCCATTGCCTTTTGCGCATCCCGTTCTTCGATCAGATAATTAGCGAGAAGGCCGACGTCCAGTGGGAGGACGGTAAACCGCTTCAGATACTTCTTGCGTTTCCGCAGCGTGTATTTGGCAAGAGAGAATGCGGTCTTCTGGTCTATTGCGCTGTGCGATTCCAAGAGCTTTGCGACAATGTCTTTCCCCGCGCCACCGGCCTCTCGCTTCAATTCTTCAATTTCCTGTAGAGTCAATTTTTGGGAAGAGTTTTCGTCATTGATTTGACGATTTGTTCGCATCGGTATTCCATTTTCGCCAGTATCCACGTCGTCCCCCTCCCCATCTCCCTCTCCGTCCGCGAGGAGGGTCTCCGCATGCAACTCGGTTGCTGACACGACACGTAGTTGGTGGCCAGCATCGTCGCACGCATCGAGAATTTCAAAGGTGAAATAGAATGGGCGTCCAATAATCTGATTGGCGGTAAAGTTACCAAATCGACCCAAATTGACGACTCTGGTCCAATGTTAGTTCTTGCGATGGAATCTTTCCCCGCATAGTGCAGAAAGTACTTACGTATCGGGGATAATCTGGATGAGTCTTAACTGATCCGACTGGAGCCGGATAGCCACAAACTGGCCCGGGCGAATATAGGAATGCATGATGGCGATGGAACAGCTGTGCCTCGAGCTCTTCCACAAAATTGTTCTGGGGACTTTTATGGCCGATAGAATGACAGCCAATCAGAGGACGAGAATACTCCAGCCGGGTGGATAGATAGTCCGGGACATTCATGCCTGAAACGTATGCCTGATATTTATGCCTTAATTACTGGCTTCATACCCATTTCGTCATCAATTTCCAACATACCGGCCCATACTGTACTAGCACCGCCACTCCACCCGTTGCCCCTCTTGCATGTGAATAATACGGTAAATACGCATACTGGCGTAGCTTCCCCAAAGTCAACCAGCGATCGCTGGTGGATCTGCGGAATCCCGGTGCCTTGCGAGAAGAGAGAGACCTCTGAGATCATCATCCACCTCCGTCATTGCCTTGTTCAACATAGCTTTCTCTTCATTTAGGGCATGGTATTTCCGAGCACACGCTAAAGGCTAGGCTGTTGCCCATCACTCGCGTATCTGCGTAGACGGGCATTTCAGCCCCTGCCGTCCCAGCGCAAGGCGTTTTTCCTATACTAATGGCTTATTGTTATTATTCTGAGCTTACGTCCTGATTCAACTCTCAAATCGAGCTACAGACTCTTTCTGAGTGTGTTCTGAGTGTGTGTCGATCGACGTTGAGTGCTTTATTAGCCTTCCCGTTCCTAGAACTATACGCGAACTCAACCCTTCCCTCTCCGCTTCCCACAAGGTCAACGGAGGTCTTCATGGGCCTGCGAAAACAGCCCCCACCGCGTCTGGAGAACATTAGCAAGTCAAATGTTCGATCGGACGCACGCTCATCCAAGTCACCCAACTCTGCTTCCTTCCATCGCCCGATTCGTTTAAACCGATTTCCTTCTGGGGACCCTATCTACTCTCCCGACCTCAATACTTCACCTGCGTTTGACCTGATGCCACTTGAGGAAGCACAGCGGTCGCCTGTGGGGTCTCCCACCAGCCAACCCCCGAGCTCATGGCCAGACAATAACAGAAGACCGGAAGACGGCCGCTCCGGTCAGTATAATCAGTATGAGGGAGCATACAACGAACCTGCAAATACCAACGGACACTGGGTTTCCCCGACATTGACGGCAGGTCAACAACTAGGAGCGGCCGAGAATGTGTGGCGGTCAACGACTGATGGCGGTCGTGCTTCGACTGGAGAGCTACCGGTACAGCTGCAGTCGAATAACCCATTCTTGAAGCCTAGGCCGGCAGAGCATACTCAAGATCTCTTGGATCGCAATGAGTGGGGACGTGATTCACATGCGACTTCAAACAGTGACGCATTGAGCCAATGTATGGCATTAGTTCCTTCTGAAAGTTCCCTCAAAATGATATTTGTTGCTAACAACTTGTAGCCGAAGGGTATATTCCGATGACTGCGCGGCTCTCTCTTTTAGATGAGCCCGAACAAGAATCCCCATGGACCGAGGCTCCTCGTCCTCAATCCAATTCCCAGCAACGCCCTGTATTAGGCGGTCACCACCTCGATGATAACTCACCGTGGGACTCTCAACAGTCCGCCAAGGTTCCGGTTCCCCAGGGTGTCTACCTACAAGGAGAGCAGTCTAATCCATATGCCCCAGCGGTTGCGGTGCAGCCGTCTGGCCTTTCTGATTGGGAAACCTATGCCGGCCAACAATATAAGCCTCCATCCAATTCAGGGAGACTTGGATCGGATGCTGGAATCAATACTCCATCTGTTGCTCTTTCTAATCGAACCTCTGCTACCTCTCATGAACTAATTGATTTTGGTGAATTGAGCGCCACTGGGAATTCGGTGGGCGAGACCAGGTCTCCTGCTGCATCTACGGCGTACTCAGAACCTGCCGCGAACGGAGCAAGATCATTATCAGAAAAGCAAGACTTCGCAGCTCCCGTGATACAACAACTACAACAACCCCAAGCAAGCCCTATACTGTCTCCCGCAGAAGCTGCACGACAAAAAGAGCAAAGATCAGAAACATATACTATTCGACACATCCGATGGACCGATCAGAGTGGTCAACTGCTGGAGTCCCCGATTTTGGTCCAAAATCAAAACGGACCTTGTCCTCTGCTAGCCCTTATAAATGCATTAGTGCTACGAGCGAACCCTAACGCTCACCCACCAATCGTTAGAGCTCTGTCAACTCGCGAGCAAATCTCTCTAGGTTTGCTAATCGAGGCGATGTTTGAAGAGCTGACAACATGCCTGGGCCCTGATGAGGAGTTCCCAGACATCGAGGCCCTCACTCAATTCCTGACAATGCTGCACACGGGTATGAATGTCAATCCACGTTTGACAATGGTGAGTACATGCGATGTATCTGTCAAATATCACTTATACTAACCTAATGTCAGAATTCTACTGAAGGATTTGGCACTTTCCTCGAAACCAGCGACCTCGGACTGTATAGCACGTTTGGTATACCATTGATCCATGGCTGGCTAGCCTCATGGTCCAGTCCTACCCATGCTGCGATGTCACGCACTGCCCAGTATTACGAGGATATTCAAATGCTTCCCTTCCGCAGACACGAGTTTGAGGAACGGGTGGCGCGGGGCGAGGCACTTGAACCTGCGGAAGAGAATATCATGGCGGATATCCAAACCATCCAGCGATTTGTGGAAATTGAGAATGCGACACAATTGAGCCCATTTGGCCTGACACAGCTCTCAACTAAGCTTACGCCCGGATCTGTCTCCATTCTTTTCCGCAACGACCATTTCTCGACATTGTATAAACACCCGCAATCCCACCAACTCTACACTTTGGTTACCGATGCTGGCTATGCGGGCCATGCCGAGGTGGTTTGGGAATCTCTAGTCGATGTGACAGGATTCAACACAGAATATTACTCAGGCGATTTTCGACCTGTAGGCGCTGGTCCTTCAGCTCCATCTGGCCCTGATCCCGCGGTCCTCCAAGCCTCTAATGAGCCAGCCACTCATTCTCCAGAGGCAAACGAAGGATCGAAATCCCCTGAGCTGACTCAAGAACAGAGTGATGCCGACTATGCATACGCGCTGTCACTTCAGTTCCAAGAAGAAGAGCGACGCGAAAATGCTAGGAATGAGCAGGCTCGTGATCGTCGCACATCTGCGCCGAGTAATTCTTCCAATCGGCCATTGCCTTCGCCTCGCTTGAGCAATGTGCCTAATCGACCATTGCCCTCGCCTCGTTTGAGCAATGTACCCAATCGATCTTCGAGCATTGCCAATACGATTGGTTCTCGGCCTAGTCCTCAGCCACAACATGGACCCGACCCTGAGGACCCAAATGCACCCCCTCCTCCATATGAACAAGCTGCTGCTAGCGGGCCGCGTTGTTCGCCTCCTGACATAAGGCCATATGGCCGTGCCGCAGGAAATCAGTACCCTGGTAACCGGAATCCGCGGAATCGAACCTCGCAGTCTTCTCACCGACCACGCCCGCCTGTACGTGCAGGGGATCATAATATAGAAACAGAACGGAACAAAGAATGCATAGTGATGTGACCAATGTAAGATCTGGAAATGATAAGAGGCGTTGATACTTGCTTTACGCCAATGCACTGGATGGATGAATATGATGCCTACAAATGATATATACTATTGTAGAGAAAGAACATGTCTTTGATTGATTCGATTCCATATGGAACCTTAATTTCTTGCTCCTCGTTATCCTCATTCTCCACGGCGTTATGGAAATTAACAAGGACCTTCTCCGTGCCTCTAACAGGAGCGGGGCTAATAAGCATATATCAACAAAGTGACATGTGAGATAGCTACGTATGTTCGGACTTGTCACGGACTACACCTATGCCCGGAGGTTAAGTAAATTAAAGGACTCACATGAGGAAGAGGTTTCTCATTGGAGGAGTCATTATCCAGATAGCCCTAGATCTTCCCCCGGGAAAGACTAAAAAAGTGTGTATAAGCTATGTATTGCGATATATGCCGACCATATTGCCCTATAGCCTAAGTCAAAGGCGATTTGGGACGCTCTTATGTCCTGAATGATACAACCCCGGTCCACCGGCCCGTTGACTAGGATCAGGGCATACGTAGTATAAAGAATGCTGCTATGCTAAAATTGGCCTATAATCATCCTTCACGGTGCTGATTTCCTTGCGAGCCATCAGGATCTGTATATTTCCTCTGACAGTAGCTCTTGCGATGCAGATTCTTCTTTCTAGTGCTCTAGCCCTCGTTGGGATGGCCCAGGCCACTACTGTTTGCAGTGGAACATTTAGCACAATCTCAGCTGCCGAGTTTGTGTCTAACCTGCGTCCCGGTTGGAATCTGGGAAATAATCTTGATGCTGTCCCCGATGAGGGATCTTGGAATAATATGCCAGTTGTGGCGTCGACAGTTGATACTATAAAGGATGCCGGCTTTAGGAGTGTCCGACTGCCAGTTACCTGGGCATATCATTTCACCGGAGGCTCACCTAATTGGACTATTGACCCAGCATGATTACAGCGAGTCTCTAATGTGGTTGATATGATTGTGGCTCGTGGAATCTACGCTATCGTTGATGTGCATCATGGTATGATATATGATCTTGTATCGGAGAAGGGCCTTTACTGATATAAAACAGATTCATGGGTTTGGGCTGATGCTACCCAGTCTGGAACCAATCTTACTATGATTGAAGAAAAATTCTATCGTCTCTGGTATCAAATTGGAACGAAGTTGGCCTGACAATCCAACCTAGTTGCCTTTGAGCCTATCAATGAGCCTCCTTGCAATACTGCGGTCGACGTTACCGAGTCCAACAAACTGAACAACATCTTTCTCCAGGCTATCAATGATGCTGGTGGGTTCAACTCGCAGAGAATTGTTAATCTAGTCGGAGGTGGTGAGGATAGCGTCAAGACTGCAGACTGGTTTGTAGCACCCTCTGGATTTTGGAATCCATATGCTATTCAGTTCCACTACTACAGTCCCCGTGGGCCATAGATCAGTTTATACTTCAGGTATAATGCGTTGTGGGTTGAACTGGCCGAGTGGGCTTCTAGACGACTTGATATTCAGCGCTTGGTAAGAGTATAGACCCAGTTTTTTTTTTTTTTTTTTTTTTTAATTTTTTTATTTTTTTTTTTTTTTTTATTTTTTTTTTTTTTTTTTTTTTTTTTTTCATTGTTTACTGATTTCAAACAGGGGAAAGACCATTTGGGGCTCGGGGCTCTGACAGTGACAAGACTACTGTGCAGTCTGACTTCCAGCTGCTGCGCAACGCTTTCCCTGATGTACCTCTCCTTTTGGGTGAATACGATGCTTCACCCACCAACACCGAACCCGCTGCCCGATATAAGTACCTTGACTTCTTGATCAAGACTGCAGCCAGTCTCGATATCTCCTGCGTGTTGTGGAATAACGGATTGGACCACTTGGATCGAACCGCAGGAGTCTGGCGTGACTGTAACTCACTCTCGATCATCACAAAATCAACCGAGTCTACTGCCAATAGTTTACCAGATAGTACCGAGGACGCTTCTGCAACCACACATTCATAATCAGCTTATATTTTCCATCAGTATGGAACAGTTGTGACAGCACAAACTCTTCCATTCATCTTCAACGGTAACACCCTCTCGTCAATCAGTGACTCCACTTGCTCGGCATTGTCGTTGGGAACAGACTATTCTGTTTCGGGTGCAAATATAATATTCACAGCTTCGTACTTATCCAAGCATCTTTCATCTACGACAACACCGGGTATTAATGCCACTCTAACTCTGAGATTCTCGGGGGGCGATTCGTCCCCTGCTGTCCAAATTGTTCAATGGAAAGCCCCAACTCTGTCGTCCACATCGGCGGTGGCTTCGACTGTCTCTGGCTCTGCCCTATCAATTCCAATCACATGGGGCGGACTATCAACCGTCGCTGCATTAAAGGCCTTGACCAAGAGTGGAACATACCTGGTCGATGACTGGACGGTATCACTGAGCCCTATCCAGCAAGCGAGAGTTGTAAGCCAAGCCCTATTTCTCTTTGTGTACCATTTACTAATACTACTAATATATCGATCTAGACCTACAGCAACCAGTATAACTGGGATGACTCCAATGTAATCCTCACTTCATCTGCTATTAGCTGTCATCTCTGCTGGCCAATCGACCGTGTTCACCTTCGAGTTTTTCCCACGGGATAATGGTGCTGTGAATGCCGTCAACTTTACCTTGACTGTTTGATAGGATTTATACCTCGATCATGATAGTTGTACTGAAGAAATAGTTCAATTATATTATAAGTATTATCAGGCTTTGCTTAGCAGCCTAGGTATCGAATATCAGCATTTATGTACAAAAAAAAGGTAAACCATCGCTGTCATCAAGTCATTAAATTCCATGGCAGATAGCTAAAATCAATACAAGATTTTTAATTCCCGTAAAGGAAGATGAGGGTCATATTTGTCCCAAACGATCTTGTTCTTCTCATTCAGGTGTGCGCCCTCATCCGTGATGCTGATTACTGGATCTGTCTCCAGAACCTCATGGTTACTGAAACCCCACTTATCGCGTGGGATCCACAGAGTTGGTGGTGGCGATGCTACACATGGCTCGAAATATGCTGTACGCATCTCTTCGGGTGTGTAGGAAACCCCCTCAACATTGCGGCGAATCTTTTGACGCAATGCCGCATAATCTTTGTATACGTTTGGATGGAACCATTTCCAGAAGGCCATAGCGCGTGGGCGGCGCTCTTCGTTGATCGCTGCCACTTCGTCTTCTTTCTCTTGGAGCATTTCCTCTTCTGCGTCAAGGGATCGTGGTAAGAAACTATTCAGCGGGGCGAGTGCATCGTTGAGCGACATGTGTGCCAGTATGTTGCCGACCATGAATAGAGCCATGATTATGACTGGGCCAATAGCGCCCTTAATAGCGCAGAGTCCAATCAAGCAAATCTCAGCCAGGTAGAGACCTGTTAACAAATGTTGCAGGGCTCGTGGGTAGACTAGTCCCTTGGTGTCGACTTGGATGTCATATACGAAGAGGAAGTTGTATCGGTAGGCTTGGTATACAAGATAAAGCCCGAGGAAAGCAAATCCCAGAATCAGAGGTGCGATGCATGAATAGGTCAATGCTAAAAAGTCGAGTCAGTTCATCTTCGTTAAAGAATGAGTCCTGGTATAGGGTATTACTTACCAATTACAGCCATGTTGGTGAAGATGGGGAAGACATTGCCCCAGCTGATGCTAGCAAGTTCGACCCATCCTTGAAACAGACGACGTGGGGAGTAGGCAAAGAATGTGGTGACAAATTTGAACACCAAGGCGCTGACAATTTGAACAAGGGCCAGGGAACTCATGCTCAATCCTTGCAGCATGAAGTAAGAAATGTAGAAATTGGTCGCCTTGGGTAAGTTCTGCGCCAGCAGATCCTTGACCGAGAGAGGATCCTTGACAATCTGTGCGGTAGCTGCCGACGCAGCCGATGTCAAGGTCGTGACCAAGAACACTTGAACCACTTGAAATACAAAGTGAGCGCTTTGTGTGAACAGCTCAACTCGTGCCCTTGATGGGACTCCGGCTCGTCTAGCGCATACTAGGTAGAAGTCAGCAGGAATTCAAGCAACAAAGAGAATCCGGAGAGCGTACTACGACAAATGATCGGCACTAGTGACATCAACGCCGCTAGTGATGCGGCAGGCAGAAGACCCTCAATTGCTCCTTTTATGAAATCAGGCAAGTCAAGAATGAAGCTGAGGAAGGGAATTATCCTGCAGATGTATGTGATGTTCGAAATTGCACCGACGATTGCCGCAGGAAATGACCAAAAGATGACCATCGCTGCCAGGAATCCCTGGACTGCGAATCTCCTCACGATTCTTTGCCACCAGCTCAGATTCAGTGCCGACCATACAACCTCGCGAGGTGAGATTCCAATAAAGCGAGGCGTCATGTGAAATGGTTGGTGATGCGACAGGGTTTGTAGCGCGACTTGTGCATCGGCCTGGCTGTTGAATTCGACAAAGATTGCACTGAGCTGTTTTGCTTCACCATTTTGGTGTTTTGCTTGCAGGTTTGCTACTTCTTCGGTTTTCTTTGCCAGCTGAGCCCGATACCAGTGAATAGAGTCGACCTTTTCACCAAAGAACTTCGGTCGATGCATCGGACGTTTGACCTTGTGAGACCATGCCGGGTTGCTTGACTCGCAGTCCAGGCACATGTCAATATTCAATTCGCCTGTTTTGATTGCTTGGGTTCGGATTTTATTCGCTCGCCGAATGAGCTTGGTCTCTGCGGTTTCCAACTTCTCGGCTAGTCGATCTCGTTCACTAACCATCTTCTTCAATTTTGAGCAGTCGGAGGTGATCCAGGTTCGGCGGATGGAGTCACCAAATACTTGTCGTAGTTTATTTTGGTTCTTGTAAGCGTCCGGAACTGACATGAAGAGGACTGTACGGGACGACATTCGAGATGCGTAGGCAGGCGAGTTGAGGTAGGCCTGGCGGAGGTTTGCATAATACAGACTTTCTCTAACCACGACATAAAACACGAAGGCTATATATTTTTGTCAGTCCAGCTGTGTTGCGAGTGAAGATACGGACAACTGACTGAAGTAAACACATGCCACTATAGCATTGGCATAGTATCTGCTGGGGTTCTTGACGTTACTGAAACTCAAGATGTCGAGCTCAGTATTGCCGTTGCCCCCAGTAGCATGAAGAGGCAGCAGAATCGGCCATGTAATCACACAGCCTGTCAGGCATGTCGCAGCCAAGACGCGCAAAAATCGCAAGAAAAGATAACCGTCTAGCGATGAGTGGTGGAGCACATGATTATCTTCAATTTTCAAAAATGTCCCGAGCCAGTTAACCCAGCCAGAAGGCAACTCGGGACTCCGTTGATGCTCGTGTATATCTGGTAAGTAGGATCTCGGAGCGTACCAGCGACGCTGAGTTCGACGAAAGATCAGAAATAGGCTGACCCAAAACATAGCGTATACAAGTGCAGGCAATAGAGTCATCATCAGGGCCGAGCCCGATGAGCCCCCTTCGCCGGTGAGACTGCTGGCGATATCACCGGAGGTGGTGGACGCGTTGCCTCGCGACGATCCAATATTTGTGTCATTATCCTGGATCACATTAGCACGGATTTCAGTATATGGGGTTTAGATGGGAGGCGTACCGTTATACTTGACATGGTGAGTATCGTCTCCGAGTTGAGAAACAAAGAGATGTACAAGCCAAGGAAATAATGACAGGAAAGAGGGGGCTATATGGAGTTCGAAGTAAATTCCCCGTCAAAAAGAAGCAAAGAGAAAAAGCAATGCTCTTTGCATGGTCCCCGCTTGCGACCTGTCATCCACAGCGATCCACAATGGATATAGACAAATGGGTGAGATTCGTGAAATTCGTGCATGTACGAGCTGATAGGTCAGCCCTGAAGATTTGATCCCAAAGCCGAGGTGTCGTCGATCCGATAGTGTGTGGGTCTTTTTTGCCTTGGCGAAGATGTGAAGTATGTGCTCTATGTATGTGTCAGATGGAATTTCAGGAAATATCAAACTCGTGAGAGATCTAGCATTTACATACCTTTCGTTTGTGCAGAAGAAAAAAAAAAAAACAAAAGACGGAAAAGTAACGAGAGAGAGGAACGAAATCTCAGCCGATGCGGGTCTTCCAATCAAAAACTATTCGGCCGATCCCCGCTGATCGAGAAAAAACCCCTGAATGAGATGAGAACTTTGAAGATTTGGAGTTCATGCAGGTTGTGGACCAATAGACCTATTGATCTTATGAAGCGTAGTATATGGACCATTCTACCCTCCCAAGACTTCGCTTGGAGAGACTTTTCGGCTCCCCTCTTGTTCCCCTCAATGGGCTTGAGCAATGCAAGGGGCCCTTCTGGCGGTGGAGGCTGGACGCATGGGATTACAGCACATGGGGAATGTTGAGTCTGGATCCCTGTGAAGTGTCAAAGGATGCATCATGCAGAGAAACCGGTATACTCACGTGGGGTGGTTCGAGATTATCGGCTACGGATCTCACTGGAAATGGCTTCTAGATAGATGGTATGGTAGACAGTCGAAAGAGGCTTCGATATACGTATTACTTGTATCACTTAGATCAAGGTGATGTACCTAGACCGTACTTCGTATATGTACCTCGACTGCAGACTGTAGTACAACACAGAGGAGAAACGTGCAGGTCTTGGCATATGCACATAGGGATCACTCAACATTCTCAGTCCTTTCCAGTCTTCCTTTTTCAGAGCCCTTACTTGATCTAAAATCTATAGCCAACCTTGAAAAGGTTACACTACATTCGGGGTCCATCTAAGCCTGGACACAAAATATATATCCAAATATCCGGATGGTCAAGCGGGAACATATATGGAGATGCATCATGCGCAAGTTCCGATGGGGGAGATGGGTGACGCATGGGATGTTGCCAATGTGACGCTTTCCTGGTTAGTGACGAGACGTAATATATCACTAGGAACTCATCGTGGACGAGGGCATGATTCGAAATATTGGAAATAGAACCTTCCCGATAAATTGCGCAGAGATGTTGAAGAATCGGAACGATTATATGTCTATATACAACATCTTCAAACTAAAACTTCAGCTCTTAGGTTCACGATTCTCCTTGGAGACAGGCAGGAATTTGGTGTGTGAACCCTTCGAAACCAACGGGCCCACTTCATCGTCGACGACTCGAGATATTTTGACGGTCGTGAAGGCCATTGACTTCCCCACCCGATCAGCAACGGCAGAAATATCCAGAGTATCTCCAACGGTAGCCGTTGACAGGTATGAAACGTGGATATCAATGCTTGCGCCTGTTCTCTCATATCCATGTGTGGCTATCGCCATGCCCCCGGCCCAATCGATGATGGTCGCAGAGACAGCCCCGTGAATGGTGCCCCTGGAATTGACATGTTCCGCTGTGAGTTTAAGTCGAGCCTGCACCTGGCCGCGGATGGCACTGATGATATCGACATCGGATAGAAGAAGACGGTAGATAGGACTGTCATTTTTGGTCCGCTTCCAAATCCCGCGCACATGCTCTAATTCGGTGCCATTCATCGTGGGTGAGTACGGAAATCAAGTTGGGAGGATGAGGATATGGCCAAGAACACAGGGCTGACGAATGTGTAGACTTTTTGAAGTCGGAAGTCAGAGTCGGAGGGGCCGAGAGCGGAATGGGCCGCCTTTGCACGGAACATACCGACCATGTTCTTCTGGAAATAGGGAGAGTTCTTGTCACTGAAGTCTGCCCTGGATACATTGATAAACTATCCGAGACCAACATTGGCACCCTAGTCTCGGTGCTGGCTTGAACCGAGCTTTATGACGAACTGGAGATCTTGCACGCCCAAACTACACTTGAAAGTGGGAATACTGACGAGTGCATCGACGAAGACAAGATATTGACAAAAGAATCCTGAAGAGATCCAGGCTCTAACGCATGGCGTTGATGTCAAGCTACGTTATATGGAGGAAGTGTGGCACCTAGCTGCAAATGTTTAGGTAGTATTGGAGGTCTCGTTGTGCCTTCTCCGGGATCAAGCATCGACTTCATCTTTCTGATGATTCACATTCTTCAAGTAACGTCTGTCATAAATCTTGGCGGTGTGTAGCCTACAACATACCGTCGTGGAGTGTGGCATCCCTGGGAGACCGACATAGGGCGGTGAATCTGGTGATGATTGCAGAAAAAGGGGAGATACCAACAACACAAACTTGTCGTCATTTCGCAAATGGAGAAGTCAACAAGGACGTTCAATTCGTCTTTAGAGGCCAAACAGCCCTTCCCGCCTCTGTTGGCTGAAGACCATATATCCCCAGAAGAATCGCAAGAGAGTTATGAAGACGAGAGTATCACCTCCCCCGGCTATGAGGAGATTGAGGTGGATGACGATGCAGATTTCCAGTCGCATTACTCGTTAGATCAATCGTTCTCCGATACAGACTCCGATGAATCTTCCAATATTGAGCGAAACCACCCATTTCGCCAGTCCTCCGGCTCTCTCTATGGCCCCAATGCATTTGCGCCTCCATTCTACAATCGTCCACCCACCCCTCTACCGCCCTCACCATCCCTCACTTCTCTTCTTCGGCCGCCCTTCTCGACTACTACATCACGCCCAACTACTCCGGACAGTTCAGATGTCGAGACTCCCAACGATACCGAGGCGGCAGTCGCCAAGTCAGCTCGTCGCGCAACCACCGTTCCGCGCGCCAGCCCCAAGGTCCCCACCTATGAATACTATGGCTTCGTATTATACCTAGCTTCGTCCTTGGCCTTTTGTAAGTCTGACGAAAACTTGCCGGGCCAGTTCCTCGTAGTCTCCTGCACACTAACCGGATCAACTTAGTGTTTTATCTCCTATGGTCTTATCTCCCATCACCGTTCCTCCACCAGCTAGGCATCTACTATTATCCCAACCGTTGGTGGTCGCTGGCGATCCCTGCATGGTTGGTGATGTTACTTATCTACATTTATGCTGCGCTTGCCACGTATAATACAGGCTACCTTACTTTGCCCATGCACAGCATCGAGAACATTGTTGATGAGGTCGCGAATGTATCGGTGATTGACGGAAAGGCACGGAGACGTCCCGGTGGTGCTACCAAGATGAAGCCTGGTGCTACCTCCTATCAGATCATGGGCCCCCAAAATCGCAAGGTCAATTGGCGAGAAATTTGGAGTGAGGGAACTGACGCCGTCATGGACGTGCCGGTAGGGGGCGTGTGTGAGGTTTTGTATGGCCAGGATCGAGAAGAAGACTTTGACTATCCGGCTGCAGACTCATAGCTTCTCGGTTCAATCAATTTCCTTGCCAATTCAGGCTGATAACTGCAAAATACTCCGTATTGATTTCAGTGTTCCTGTCTACTTCGATCCACCTGGGAAATGACGTCGAGTTAGAAATCAAATAGCACGTGACTAGCAGTGTCTGGCCCCCCTTCCGCCCTCCGCCTAACTGCCCATATCCCCAAAGCCGACTGTTGAGAGAATAATTTCACAATGTCAGCAGAACGGCCCTCAACACCACCTTCGCAGCCCAAGGGCTGGGAAGCAGGACAGCTTCCCCGCGCTCCTATCACTCCAGAACAACAACGGAGGATGGTAAGTTCCCTCCAAGCTTGCGCCATGGTCAGCCCGAACTAATCAGTCTTACTGATAGGAAATCAGTCGCATGAAAGCTAAAGCTCTTCGGGAGAAACGTGAAGCCGAACTATCTCAAGCCGGTCCAAATAACTCCAAGTCGGTGACAGGCACCAAGCGCTCGTTCACCTCGATGGCGGCATCCAACCAACCTGCTAATATGCGCGATGCATCTTCTTCAAATCGCCCACTAGACTCGATTAAGCCAGCCCGAAATTTCACAAGCTATGTCGACTATGATTTTAGCAAGATGACCGACACAAAGGGTGGGTTTTTGACACAGGAGGATGACCCGTTCAATAAACAACTACACGTGCCCGATGGGAAAGAACAAAAGCCAGCACATATGACGCAGAAAGAATGGGAACGCGATCAGATACTCCAGTCACTGAAGCGAAATCGGGAGGGACCCTTTGAACCAGGTCTCAGTGTCCTAGATGATAAAAGCAAGCAGAAGACATGTCGTGAATGTGGCAGTATCGAAATTGATTGGAAATGGGAAGAGGAACTTAAATGCTGCATCTGCCATACTTGCAAGGAGAAGCACCCAGAGAAATACAGTTTGTTGACCAAGACGGAAGCCAAAGAAGATTATCTCTTGACAGATCGTGAGTGCCTAATCACCTATGAAAAGAGAGATGTGCTAATCAGCCCGCGCACAGCTGAACTCCGAGACGAAGAGCTTCTTCCACGCCTCGAGCGTCCGAATCCACACAAATCTACATGGAACAGCATGATGTTGTATCTACGATACCAGGTCGAAGAATATGCGTTTTCCGACAAGAAATGGGGCTCAACGGAGGCGCTGGATGCCGAGTTTGAACGGCGAGAAAATGATAAGAAACGGCGACGGGAGGCTAAATTCAAAACGAAGCTGCAGGAGCTGAAGAAACGCACACGTGTGGAGGCCTACCGGCGCAATCGACAAGGTGCTTCAGGCGGAGAGTTTGGCGATGATCTCGGTTCTGGACGGAAGCATGTTCATCAATGGGGCCGATCCATCGAGAATCCAGAAACTGGAATTGGGGTCAAGACGTGTGTAGAATGTGGGATGGAGGTGGAAGAGCTCGAGTTTTAGACGACCAAAATACCATAGCATGATTGATTATTGTATGAGACCACGATTTAATTTAGCGCTTGAACCTATTTGTGACTTCCATTATTCTTGTGCTGTTGAAGTATAAAATGTCACATATACACCACAGCAGTCAAAATATATAGTTCCCGAATTAGCAATCAAACTCGACACCAGCGATCCTATCCTAGGTCAATCTTTCATACCCATCAAACAATAGCAACATTCGAATCTGCGGTGCATCTATGCTGTGGAGTATATACTTGCGCCTTGTATAACTAGTTAGTTAATGGGTCATATAGTTGGCGCCTGGAAATCAAGGCATCAACCATCCTCTCAACCTCGCTAGTCGGCCTGTCATGATCCCTGCGGAACTTGTCGAATTGGCGATCAAATAAGAAACTACTTTTATATTCACCTTTAATACAAAGACCCTCCCAATTCATCCAATTGCTTACTCCAGGGCTGGAGGTAACGTGCAGGTCAACCTTCTCCATCTAGAAGGCGGTCAGCACCCCCCGAGGCCATCTTCACCATAACAAAAGATCAGTGAAGGCACATTCTCATCCTCATAACTTTCCTATCATTGCTCAACCTTGCTCCTCTCCTTTGGATATTCCTCCTCAGGACGCCTCATCCACAGGCTGAGTCGGCGTGGAACGTGGTTCCTTGCCGTCGCCATCAAGGGACTTGGTTCGCTTATTGCGGATACGATTTACTGGGGTCAGGAGAAATCGAAGCTCGCACCTCACACGTCACTTGATTTACTATCGGCCTGATTTTCCCATCGGTACCTCCTGCAGTGCTTTGACCCTTCCGAGACTCGACCCGTCCTGTGTTTGTTCATGTCCTGGCAATCTCCATCAGCTATGGCTGGGATTGGAGGAATGCCCGGCGCCATGGATGGTTCGAATGGCCCACAAGGGACGGAATACACATTACAGGGTGAGCATGAACCGACTCGATTTCTTGAATGCCATTGACTAATATTCATCTCTAGGTGTAATGCGCTTCCTACAGACAGAATGGCACCGACACGAGCGTGACCGCAATGCGTGGGAGATTGAACGGGCGGAGATGAAGTCTCGCATTGGTCGATTGGAAGGTGATCTGCGCACAAGCAAGCGCTTGCATGAGGCCCTTGGGAAGCATGTTCGTATGATGGAGACCGCCCTGAAGAGGGAGAGGGAGAAGGTCAAGAAGCTTTCGAATAACGAAAAGTATGAAGACGCTAAGGATCCCAAAGATGCTGCACGTGAAAGTGTCAACTTCCTGAAAGGTATGTGCCTCGCAATTGTATGCTAGCACGCTCGGTGAGATTTACTAACTGAGTTATTCACCAGCGCATCGCCCCAAGCCGAGCACGGACCCCAATAATGACGAAGAGCGCGACAGCGAAAATCAGCATGAGTGTCAAATCGAGGACATAGACAAAGTCCGGGGATATCTGTCCAAAGCTTCCCACGAAATCGCGTACCATGTTATACCCGCCTCTCACCCGCCACCTGACCTGAACGACTCCGATATGTCAGGCCAGCTCTATGGCAATTCCCAACTGTCGCAACAGAACCTGGAAGAGGCTTATCTTCAGCAGCAACGTCAGAAGGCAAATCACGTTATGGCACGTGAAATGGCCTTACAGAACCACCAACCAATGTCTAATCACTACTCCGACAATGCCATGGCTCGTGCTCAAAACCAGTATCTTCCTCGAGATGCCATGGATCGACGGTCAATGGACCCGCAGCAAGCCCCCGGCACAGCAATTGAAAGTCGAACCCAAGTATACGAACAGGGTATAGTACACGATCGCCCAAACCAGGCACACGAGACCCAGGGCCCTCGAGTGATCGTCAAGGAGGATGTGAATTTGGAAAACTTGACCGAGGAAAGAACAGAGGATGTGGATGGGTGGAATTTTGACGAACCGGCGGAGCAAGAACTCGTGGCCACCGAAACCGTCCCGCCTCATCGCCCGGATACCGATGCTTTCCCAAATGCCAACTTTACGTACTCTGAGTCGACCAAGGACGGGTCTTTCCCTCACCGGACGAAGAGCACGGAATCAAGTCGTAAGAGCGATGGTGCAATTGATGCCCGGGAAGCGGGTACGACGTTCAAACAAAAGCAAGATTCCAACTTCGAAGTCCGGTTTGTGCTGCGCGGCCACTTAGATGTGATTCGATCTGTCATCTTCACTGGTGGTGGTAGCTCGGACGAGCCCGAAATCTGCACTTGCAGCGACGATGGAACGATCAAACGATGGATCATCCCAGGTACTTCTGGTGGCTCTGGAGCCGGTTCTAGCCATAGCTCGGACATTACGAGTGACTTTACTCACCGAGGACATGAAGGCGCTGTGACTTCTCTTGCCGCCTGCTCACCGTCCCAGAACACCTTCAATGGTGGCTCTGTGTTGGGTGATGGGTTGGTGTTTTCAGGTGGCCAAGATGCCAGTGTGCGTTTATGGGAGCGTGGGCGGATTGATCCCAAGGCCACCTTCCACGAGCACAAAGATGCAGTCTGGGGACTCTGTGTCCTTCCCGGGACCATGGGCTCTGTTTTTGGCGACTCAAGTAGCCAATATGGTGGATCGGATCGCATCCTTCTAGCCTCCGGCGCAGCAGATGGCTACGTCTTGATTTGGGCTATCGGCGCCTCACCCTCGGCTGCAAACCGCCGTCAAGGCAGAAGGGAGCGGTCGAACTCAAATTCAATGCCCTCCGGTTCCAACTTCCCAACTTTGCCTCAGCCCAGTGTTGCTGCACCCCCAGCTTTCCATTACACTATTGTTCATCGCATCACCCGCCCTAATTCTCCTTCCCCCACATGCATTAGCCCCTTGTCTCTTGCAGGCGTCAATTTTGTCGTCTCTTACTCGAATGCCTCTATCATTGTCTACGACACGCGGACCGGCGAAGAAATTGCGGGTATGGCCAGTCTCGAGACATACGATGGCACGCCAGCTACTGGGGTGAACTCAGTCGTCGCCACGACTGTCGGCTTTGATGGAACAGTTAATCTCGATCCCAACCGCGCGATGGCCGAAGAAGAAGAAGTTGTACACGGAGCTACTGGATCAAGCAGCGTAGAGGGTGTAATCATCAGTGGTTACGAGGACCGATACATCCGCTTCTTTGATGCCAATAGTGGTAAGTGGCATCCAAAGTGCCTTGATATTTCCCGCAATACGCTAATATTCGATACAGGTCAATGTACATACACAATGCTTGCTCACCCTGCTGCGATAGCCTCACTGTCATTATCTCCGGATGGACGTGAGCTCGTTTCGGCTGGTCACGATGCAAGCTTGCGATTCTGGAACCTCGAGAAGCGAAGCTGTACTCAAGAGTTGACAGGCTACCGGCTGATGCGTGGCGAAGGAGTCTGTTCTGTAGTATGGAGCCGTGATGGCCGCTGGGTCGTTGGCGGTGGTGGAGACGGCTTGGTCAAGGTCTGCTCTCGATGATTGAAACGACGGAATGAAAACCCGTGTATGATTCTTCTTGCGTTATACCTGTGTGTGTATCTCTTCGCGTTTGCTCGTCGTTTTCTGTATGATCCCATGAACTGGATGAGCGATTGGCCGGTCCAGTTATTTCGAGCATTTGCAACGGTGTTTACTGACGTTGTGTGGCCTCCCATACTCTCCTACTTGATTTTGCTTTTTTTTTCTCCTTTCTTTTTTCAACATGTGTACTTTTTACTTCGCTGATAACATGTTCGACAAAGATTCCCTGGCGTGCGTGGATGTTTTCTTCCCTTCAACTGTTTTGGTACATGCTCTATTCTCTATGGGAGCTAGATCCCATCTTGTTCGGATACTGTTCCATTTGCTCTTGTGATAGGGTCTTGATTGGGTTTGAAGGAGTGCCTGATAGGCCTTGAAATTATCCCAATACTTGACGTGTCGGTTGTTTGGTGTGGATGGCTTTTTTTACCCCAGTTCTGCTTGAACGTGCCTATGTAGTTTGTGCCTCGGAAACCGATAGCTCATGTTGTGTGTATAACATTTGAATCCATACCATTCATCGAGCAAACTCAGCCTTGTTACTCTGTAGACTATCATTGACACAAGACATGTGAAACGACGGGAACAAATACAGGTATTATACGATATTGACATTATTTCGCTGCGCTGCCATGAAGATATAATCTATTTGGATGAGCTCCACGCCTCCTTGAACACCAATCTCAACCGTTTTGCTTCTTCCTCGTCCTTCAATCGCTGCTCGAGATAGCCTTGCAGGTCATCCCAGAAAGCCTCTGTATGCAACACCTCCTCACCACTCGGACCTATAGCAGCCTTGGGCGGTGATTCATCCCGCTTCTCTGTAATCTCTGGTTGAGCCATAGCAGATTCAACCACCTGCGCGCCACCGATGATCATCACCCCGATCTCAACCTCTTTGCCTCCCGCCATAATCGCAGGTTCATCTGCCAATACCTCGGCCAATGTCTTCCCGGTACCGGTCACTGGCTTACGCTTGTATAAGATTTTGATCTTGTCTAGCGGAACTTGGCCTCCCTGAGCATCGGTGACGCGCACCTGCACAGCATCCCGGATATCCTGGACCGAGGTGGTCGAGAGAGGGGCGTTGGAGATCAGGAATTCCAGAGCAGGGTTGCGGGCAGACTTGACGCGGACAGTGATTGATTTGGATGAGCCTGGTGCCTGTACTGACCTCACCTTTTTGGGCATTGGAGGATGCGCGGCTGAAAGGCGGGGGAGAGTGTACTATCGTTTTCACAGAGCATATTAGAATGATCTTCCTCAATGAGTAAAGCTAGAGAATGTTCGCATCAAGACTCACGGGCACTCGTAGTCCAATTTGCTCTGGATCGAAGACATAATCAGCGCGAAGCCTGATAGGTCGCGAGTCTAGCGTGGACAGAAATGATTTGGTAAAGGTCAGCTCCGACATGGTGAGAAATTTGGTAGAAATTCTCAAGGCAGAAAAAGAGAGAGAGAGAAAGCAAATCCGAGCTGATAGCTGTTGGAGTACGGAGTAGTGGAGGTCTGGACCTGGGGGTTTCACTTGATGCCGGTGGGACAATAGACACCTGGATTATAAGGCATAGTTGTAAATAAGCACACCGCCTTTCATTGCTTCTGTACTGCTGGCAGTCACCGCCCGAAGAAAAAAAAAAAAAGACGGAAAGAAATTACAAGCTCCCCAGAAAGCAAACACTATTAACGTCCCCATACACACCCCTTTTTCACAATGGGTGTCGGTCGCCGTATGAAGAAGCAGGGCCCTCCGGGCCCGCTCGACGAGTCAAAAGTCACAATGCTCAAAAAACGCAAGGCTAGTTCGGCTGAAGCGCCTCCGAAGCCTGTACCAGCGAAGCGTCGCAGATCTAATGCCGATGAGACTGTCTCGAAGAAGGAAGCCTCGAAGAAGAAAAAGGTCAATGGTGCTGCTCCCAAGGTTGATTCAAAGGAACAGAAGAAGCAGCCGTCGGTCACGAAGAAGGCTGTGCCGGTGCCTATGTCTGATGATGATGATGATGATGATGAGGATATGGATGATGATGAGTTCGGTGATCTCGATGAGATCAGTGACGGCTCAATTGATAGCGACGATCAGGCTGAAGGACTGTCCGATCTAGAGGATGATAACTCAGTTGTCGACTCTGACGAGGAAGGCCACACCCGTGGTGCCATGTTCTCCGACGACGAGGACTCCGATGCTGAAGAGAGATTGACCGCTGCAAACATCGAGGGTCTGTCGCGGAAGTTGGATGCTGAACAACAAGAGGAGGAGGAAGCTGCTGAGCAGGAAATGCAGGAAGCCGCCCTGCAGACTAACATCGCTGCACCCGATGTGTTCGCCGACCAAACCCAGCAGGGACTTGCCCCCGACCTGCAGCTGCTTCGCCAGCGCATCACAGACACGATCCGAATTCTGGGTGATCTGAAGACCCTCGGCTTGCCCGGTAGGTCGCGTACCGATTATATAGATCTCCTACTCGACGATATCTGCACATACTACGGCTACACTCGATTCCTGGCAGAGAAGCTGTTCAACCTGTTCACTCCCAGGGAGGCCTTTGCCTTCTTTGAGGCTAACGAGACTCCTCGCCCTGTGGTTATCCGTACCAACACTCTGCGCACCAATCGCCGATCCCTCGCCCAGGCCCTCATCAATCGTGGTGTTGTCCTCGAGCCCGTTGGCAAATGGTCCAAGGTTGGCTTGCAGGTTTTCGAGTCTCCGGTCCCCCTGGGTGCTACCCCCGAGTACCTGGCCGGTCACTATATTCTCCAGGCTGCCTCTTCTTTCCTTCCCGTCATGGCTCTCGCCCCCCAGCCTAATGAGCGTGTCCTCGATATGGCCTCTGCCCCCGGTGGTAAGACAACCTACATGTCCGCCCTGATGCGCAACACTGGCTGCATTGTCGCAAATGATGCCAGCAAGCCCCGTGCTAAGGGTTTGATTGGTAACATTCACCGTCTTGGCTGCAAGAACACCATTGTGACGAACATGGATGCCCGCACTGCTTTCCCCAAGGCCATGGGTGGCTTCGATCGTGTTTTGCTCGATGCTCCCTGCACAGGTACCGGCGTTATCTCAAAGGATCCTAGTGTCAAGACGTCCAAGAACGAGCGTGATTTCCTCGCCATTCCCCACATGCAGCGCCAGCTTCTTTTGGCTGCAATTGATTCCGTCGACCACGCTTCCAAGACCGGTGGATACATTGTCTACTCTACTTGCAGTGTGACGGTCGAAGAGAACGAGGCCGTTGTGCAGTACGTTCTTCGCAAGCGTCCTAATGTCAAGATCGTGGACACCGGTCTCGGTGGCTTCGGTAGCCCTGGATTCCTGAGTTACATGGGCAAGACTTTCGATCCTAAGATGGCGCTCACCCGTCGTTACTTCCCTCACCGCGAGAATGTTGACGGTTTCTATGTCTGCAAGCTCAAGAAGACTGCCGTGACTCCCGTGGCCAAGTCGGACGACACCGAACCCCGTTCTAAGGGCCCCAAGAAGACCCGTAGTACTTCCTCGAATGCCTCCACGGACGACGAGTCCATTGACCGGACCCCGATCGTTGATGAGAACGGACACGCCGCTGATTTCGAGGGTGGTGCCTTCAGCTCCTTCGAGGATCCCGAGGACGTCGAGCGCATTGCTCGCGCTGAGCGCAACCGTCTGCGTCGCAAGGGTCTCAATCCTAAGGGTGTTCTGAACAAGCCCAAGAGGAGCAAGCCAGAGGTGTCGGAGAAGACAACCGAAACGGTGGCACCCATCCAGGAAGAAGAGACCAAGGCCATTGTCTCGAAGAAGACCACCAATGAGCCGAAGGGTGAGAAGAAGACCGTGGTTAAAGAAGATAAGAAACCCGTCACCAAGGCTAAGGAAGAGAAGAAGACCGCAGCCAAGGGCAAGGTCGAGAAGAAGGATAAGAAGTCGGGCAAGAAGGCCAGCAAATGATCAATGACTTGATCATTCGTCTCTTTGTGTATAATCTTCGTTTTTCGTTCTTCAGGCAAGTCAAAAGCATCATGTATTAGGTCCGGGATCCGGCGCATTGGATATACCTTTTGTTCAATCAAGATCAAAGTGTTTCAAAAAAATCAAAAAAATCAGGACAAAGAGTACAAAGAAATTTAATGTAAGATTGTGCTAAATCAAAGATATTCAATTTATCCCAAGTCCTAGGTTTAATAACTGTTCTTGTCTATATAACCAAAATGAGAGTATAAAATCAATCGCATCACTCCCCGGCCAAATTACCGTTCGCTAAAATCAATGAATCGAAGTACTCGACAATATAAAAATAGCCCGTACCACTTCTATGCCCGATAAATCTTGATCACCTTCTTGACCTCTTTGCGGCACATCGGACATAGGCTCACGAGGTTCGCACAAGCCACACAGGAACAAAGGTGTCCACACTCGGCGAAAACTGCATCCATTTCCTCGGTGTAACAGATTTGGCACAAATCCAACTCTTCGTCGGCCACTTCCCAGTAGCTGATGCCCTTGCCGTGGCGTTTGCCATCCTTGAAGCCGCCGACATACTTGTTGCCTGTCGTCTTCTCAACGTAAGTACCTTGCCCATGGCATACATCTTCGACCCAATCACCATCGTACGAATCGCCGGTGGGGTAAGTTAGCTTGCCTTGGCCGTGGCGTCGGCCGAAAACGAAGTCGCCTTCATATATCATGCCTGTGTTGGAGATGTGCTTGCCTCTACCGTGGTGACAACCTTTGAGGAAATGACCACTATAGTAGTCATTTGCGAAGGTGGCTTCGATAGTCTTAGTGCCGGTGAAACCTTGGATTGGATGACCGCGAGAATAGGCCCACAGGTACTGAACAAGACGGTCAGGACTGGTGAACAATCCCGATGAAGCCAGTTGAGTACGCCTTTGTTTGTGTTAGGACCAAAAGCTAATCAGATATATGTGTACTTACTTCTCCTTATTTAATTTATCCCCTACGATGAAACATACCCCGTGCG